CAAAGGTTGACGAGAGGGCCAGGGGAGCTCCTGGCACCTGGGGGCACTCTGTCACCATTTACTGTCGTATACTAGTGGGATTTGTATTTCGGGTCCTGACGGTTGTGCAAGAAGGTTTGTAAGGCATTGAGAACACCTTGCACCCCAAATATAAACAAATTACAGGCGCCTGGGCCAGCTGCCACCCAGCCTGCCACTGCGCGCAGCCTGGGGAACAGGTGCAGAGGCCCGCACAGCCTGGTACACCGCCTCCGCAGGCAGTGTACCAGGAAGCTTGCTGGTCCAGGGCGGGGGCAGGGTGGCGGCCAGGGGCCGCTCTGGAATCTGGAGGGGAACCCAGGCCCAGACAGTGCTACCCCAAGGATCCTTCTGGGATGTTACTCAGAAAAACATCGAAGCCTGGGAAACCCTGGTGATTTTGGTCTCTACTGCCAATCAGCTGACATTTGTGGAACACTGACTGCACTGCACTGAACCAGCCACTTGGGTGAAAACCCGGTACTGGCAAGGTCTTATCATAACCCAATGAGGCTGGTATTGCTATTCTTGTCACAGTGATGTGGCCCCATGGTTACAGCAACTCCCCAGGGCTATCCAGCTGTTCTGGGACTGACCTGAGACTTGAACCTTCTGGTATTCTCTCTGCTGGACACAGCACTTGGCCTTGCTTCCTGCAGCACCCCTAGTCTGCAGGACACCTGGCAACCCTGGCCTGGAGGGCAATGGGGTACGTTCCCAGAAGTAAACAGCAGGACAGGACTGTGCTCCAGGGAGCACAGAGATGGCGCAGCTCCATCTGTAGTCACCAGGTTCCAAGCTACAGGGACGGGCCTCAGGGTAAGAGAAGCCTGATTCACTATGGGTCAGGATGGCTTAGCCAGTGCCAGGGACCAGGGCCAGTTGGTCAAAAGGCAAGTGAGATGGGTGTAGTGGTTCACGCTTATAATCCCAGCACTTTGGAGTCTGAGGCAGGAGGATCACTGCAAGTTCAAGACCAGCCTGGGCTACAAAGTGAGCTCAAGACCAGCCTGAAATGCACAGTGAGACCTTGTCTCAAAAAGATAAATAAATAAAGGCAAGCAAGACTTCTGGGGACCAGCTGGCTCAGGTGAGGGTTCTGTATGCCTCTCCATACACAGATGGCAGGAAGGAGGGGTCAGGGACACTGCTGTTCAGAGCCCCAGGCCTTTAGGTCTGTTCCTAGACAAGGAGTCAGACTTTGGCTGGAAGGAACTGAGGGTGGCCTCTGTGTTTCAAGGAGGCTCAGAATCCCGCACCGTCATGACCAGCTGAGGCACAGGTTTACCTGAAGCCGGCATCCAGGACTCCTGCAGCAAGGTCACTCTTTGGTGTATATACAGTTGCAACAGGGGTTTGAGACCCGATGCCATCCCTGGCTGGCCTGTGTGTCATCTGGGACTCATCACTGAATGTTTCTCGGCCCATTTCCTCCTCTGAAGGTCAGTGGCTTCCTCACAGCTACAGCTGCTGTGACACTGAGCAGGCTAAGCTGACAGAGCAGTCCAGCAGGAAGTCCTCACTGGCCAGGTCTCCACCTCAGGACGTGAGCTGGGGCTGCCACACCTTGGTTGATGGGCAAACTGAGTCATGAGTTATAGCTCAGCTCACAGTTGCAGTGACACAGTGGGAAGCACAGTGGCCAGGTGGGCACCACTGGGACTGCAGGTCATCATGGCCCTGGGGGCCAAGCCCTGTGAGGTCCTGGTTGCCCTATGGGATGCCCCTTATCAATCACAAGGGCACTCAGGAGGGAATAGTGTCCCCACAGGCCACCCTTCTCTGCTGCCACAAGATGCTGTCAAGTTCCTCAGAAGATCAGCACACTGGTACCCCCAAAAAGAGACCCTCCTTCCCTAATTCTAAGGTCCCCAGCAGACCCTGGGCGGCACCTGGGCTGTACCTAGCCTGCATCAGCCCCACTTTATCTTTCCCAGCCATATTTCCTGCAGACATTAGGGACCATGGAGGAAAAGGGAATAAAAGCCAGGAGGGGCCAAGCAGACAGCTGGGATAGAAGCAAAGGTCATTAGCAGCGCTAACACGTGTGGTGTCTGCAGGGGTGCTCTGTTTTTGCTACTTGCCCAGATCCCAAGATCTGTGTTCCCCGTTGGGCGTATCTGTCTGCGAGGGAAACACCTGCTTTCCACGCCACCAGCCAAGGCAGCCTGGAATGTACTGCCCTGTTCTGACTTCCTTTGGTGTGCAGGGCCACACGGGGTTGTGTGTGACTGGTGAGTAGGGTCTCTGAGAAGGAGTCCATTCCTTCCATGTCCACTTGGCAGTGACCACACTAGAGATGGCAGCCTGCACCTCCAAGAGGTGCCAAGGAACAGTCTCCTGATAGTCAAACACCTCACTCCAAATGGCAGGGCAGTGCACACCAGTAATTCTAACAGCTTGAGAGGCTCCGGTAGGAGGATCACGAGTTCAAGGCCAGCCTGGGCACCCACCATTTTGAGGGCACTCAATGGTAGGGCACTTGCCTGGCATAGTGAGTTCAATCTCTAGAACCACAAAACCAAACACTCCTGACCCCAAACCCCAACTGGATAAGATATATTTAAACCAGGATCTTTAGCTGGGGGTGGTGGCCAATGTCTGTAATCTCAGCACTTTGGGAGACTGAGGTAGGAGGATCGCTTTGAGTCTGAGGCCAGCCTGAACCACACAGCAAGACTGCCTTTTCCAAAAAGTGGAAAAGAAAAATAAATGAATCTGAATTAATTAAAATAAAAACAGGAGCCAGGGATACAGCTCAGTGGCACAGCGCCTGCCTGGCAAGTGCAAGGTCCTGAGTTCCATTTTCAGTACCAAAAAAATACATAAATACATACACACATACAATTTTGGTACCAGGGATCGAACCCACAACCTAGTGCTTGCCAAGCAGGTACTTATGTCACTGAGCTGAATCCCTGGTCCTCACATATAGGATCTTTAGAGATACGGAGAAAAGGAATGGTCTAGAAAAATTGGTTTGAGCTCACTATTTCCCAGCAAAAGCACTCCTTCAATCAGAGTGACATGCTAACACCCTCCTCCCAGGACATAGCAGGGGCCCCACCTTCTCCACAGCAGAGCAGGGCCAAGCACAGGGCCTGGGCATCTCCTGCTGGCCCGTTCCTCCTGTGTCAGAGTACCTGTGAGCTGGCACTGCCTGGCATCCTGGTATCTTCCTGCCCCATCAAAACTTGCTGCTGAGGCGACAGAAGCATTGCTTTGCTACCTTGTCCCAGAGAGATCAAGTTTAGACCCTGACACCAGTCTTTTCCAACAGGAACCACAGCAGGGAGGGACGCATCTCAGCAGGCACGGCTGGAGACCCCAAGGCAAGAGACACACACAGTCCCAGCTGCTGAGCCTGCTAAGCACTGAGAACATGGGGCTTGGGCGACACAGCAAGAAAGCCATGGACCCAGCAGAAACAGATGCTGCTCAGTTGCCTTCCAAGAGTCAACAGCACCCCAAGAACCCCGCATCTTTTCCCCCAATGCCTTCACTCAGACCTCAAATGCCACACAGACAGGGGCACTCGGGCATGATCAGCCCCTTCCAAGCCCAGCCTTCCAGGCCACCCAAGGCTGAAGGGGCCTCAGCATCTATCCACGGCCTCCTCTCCAGGCCTGATGGGAAAGCCAGGATTCTCCAGTCTGCAGCAGCCTGAGAACGACCTCTATTACTAACTGCGCTTTAAGAGTAACTTACTCAGATGGTCTGGCCTTGCACCGGCAACTTTATCTGGCAATTTCCAAACACCAAGTGGGAACAAGAGCAGTAAGAAAGAAGAAAACTGGTTCTGGCTTTGTAGACCTCAAATCTGCTTCCTTCCCCTCCCAGCACAATCTCTGCACTGGGAGAACCCAAAGCACTAAGCAGCAGCTTTCGATCCGGAGTGGAGGCAGACTTTCAGTGTGCTCCAACGCATGCCACACACTGGCCAGGGTCCCTAGTCCCTAGAAAGAGAGCAGGAGCTATAATAGCAACACTCTGGGAGGCTGAGGCAGGAGAACCACACAAACAAGCCCTGCCTGGGCAATTTAATGAGATCCAGTCTTGAAATAAAATGATAAAAAAAGGACTGAGGATTTAGCTCAGCCCAAAGGCTTTGAGTTCAATCTCTAGTACTGAAAGAAAAAGAAACTGACCGACAGACAGACAGACCAGCACAACAGGCCCAACACCCTTAAAACTATAGCAGAGACCCCAAGTTCCAGACTGCTGGTTTCAAATGCAACACCCTGATGACAGGGCGGTCCAGAGGGCAAGGGACACAGGAAGGTGTACAAGTTAATGATACGTGAACCTGGCCCTGGTCCTCCACTTCGCCTTGGGGCTGAGGCTATTTTCTTTTCTCTGTGCAGCTGTGGGCGCCACTCACCCTCACCCCAGAATGAGCTCAAGTCCTGCCTCCTACAGAGGGGCAGGGGCATGATCCTGACCCAGGACCACGTGGCGTCAGATTTTCAAAAAGTACTGCTCTTTAAAACTTGCAGAGGACTTGACATAGCTGGAATAGGGCCCAGAGCACTGCACACACAGCAGGGAGATCTCAGGCCTAGCTCAGTACACAGCCCCAGAGCCAAGAGAGACTAAACCCTCTCCACCCCCAAGTGGTTCTGCTAGTTTCTCCTTTTGCCTGGCGGCTGGGTTCTGCTGGGAGGCAAAGTTCTTAAAGGCAAACTGAGCCACGTGAGCCCCGGAGGGTCAGGTGCTGCTCAGGTGTCCACAGGTTGGCTGGGACACCTGGACACAGCTACCTACTGGCCAGTTCCCTCCCCCATCACCACATGGCCTGGAGCCCCAGCTGCCCTATTTCCAACATGCCTGTGGAGGGTCCAAGAGCAGCTTGCCACAGGGAAGGGGCTCTGATCATTTGAGCTCCAGGAGGTGAGGAAGACAGCAGCGCCTGCTTGCTCATGTGGGTTAAAAACGCCCCGAGGGCAGCACCTTGGTTTCCAAGAGCCAGGCCGGCCTCGTACCTCTGCTGATGCGCTGCTTCTCTCCAGACAGGATCCCAGGGGTGTCGATGATGCTGATGCTGTCCAGCACTGGGTTGGGGAGCTGTGCACACATGAACCTGCATGAAAGCACAGCCAAGGAGCCGTCAGGACAGGGTCCTCACTGCTCCCGAGGCCACAGGGTAGGACTCTGGTCCTCCGTTGCCCCCCAACCCCAGATTCTCGGTTCCTACCATCTTGATTCCCAGGGTGGCTAGCAAAGCGACAAATCTTGCTTTGGAGGTTGGCATGGGGCCTTGCACATGTTAAGCACATGCTGCACCACGGAGCCACACCTGCAGGCCCTCAATAGCAGGCCTCATGGCTTGTGGACCAATGGTTCCAAAATCACGCTTTCATGTCCTCTTTGCCATCACTTCATCCCCACCTGTGTTTCAACTGGAAACACAGCCAGAGGTTTCCAGGGACCCCCACCAGTGGTTCTCTCAGGCTTGTTTTCCCTCTGGAGTTCGAAAGTTCAACTTCCAAGCTGCTGACTTGTTAATGACAGCTGGGAAAGCCTAGGCCACCAGTCAATCAGAAGGGAAACAGCAGCCTGACACGGGGACCCAGTGATTCCACCAGACAATTCCCACACACCGCAGAGATGGCCTCGTCCTAGCCCTGCTGGGGCCAGCCCTCCGGTGTGACCCAGCTGCTTGGGTGAAGGGGGTGCAATGGGCTACTGGTAAAAGCTAGGGTCACTGCATGTGCTGGCTGATGGAGAGAAGTACAGACAGACCATTCTCTGACAGTTAAAGCCGGCCAAGAACAAAGCTGCAGACAGGCCTGAACCTGGGGGGAGGGAGGGGTACTTGGCTCTGTTGCTCCATTCCACGGGGGGGCTCAGAGGAGCCCAGAACAGCATGGGGCTGTCTCAACTGAGAGCAGCGATTCTTCACTGAACACAGAAAAGGAGCCTTTAAAAACTCTGAAAAAGGTATTGTGAGTGAAGGAAATACAGATCCATTGTCTGTAGGATGCAGGCGCAAAGCTACCCTTCCAAGGGTGGGGAAGTCTGGGGATGATTAACCTCTCCTGTGGCCCCACCCCCAAGTGACCAGTGGCCCACAGGCTGGGGGCAGCTGGGCAGTGTGAGAGGTGCTCTCTGCAAATGTAAGAGAGCAAAACCAGCTGACCAGCAGGGCGAGCAAACTTTGGATCCTCACTAGCCCAGCCCAGAGCACGCCTGCCCAGGGTCACTGCAAGCCACACTGTGCAGGAAGGCACTCACCAGAGAGGAGGACAGAAGCAGAACTGACTCTGAGAAACAATGTATATAAAAAGGCCCCATAAAGGGGACCTGGTGAGCAAGGGACTATTTGCAGTGCTCAGGGACAGGATGCTCAGCTGAGCTCAGGCAGTGTGACAGGCAGTCCCGATGCCTCACACCTCATTCCATCTCCATCTCACTGTACAAGTGGGAGGGCTGGTTCTGCAGCAAGCCGGGCTCAGGACTTGCTACGCATGCCCTACCTCGCTCTGTCCCATCTGACTGCATTTGGACAGCAGTCACTCAAGGAAAAAAGGCCCGAAAGTCAAGTTCCTGACTCAATGGGTCTCTTTAAAAAGCGAACTGGGAAGATGCTGTGTGGACCACAGAAAAGCCCCTTTTGTTGTATCCTCTCTGGCAGGCAGCACCCTGTGTGCCATGCATCCTGACACAGCTGGAGCTGGTGCTCTGGCCGCTAAGGCGCCCTTTGGCAGGGCTGTCAGCCATCACAGGCCCTTTGGGTGGGGATGAAGTGATGGCAAAGAGGACATGAAAGCGTGATTTTGGAACCATTGGTCCACAAGCCATGAAGGTTCCTGTCTCTGACCCAGGGGTCCTGAACTGTCCTCTTTCCAAGCAGAAGCAGATGCTAGCTTAACTTAATGGGTAACCTTCACACATCAGCTGGGCCCTCAGAGCCTTAGGAACCTGATCAGGTGGGGCTACTGAGATGGTATCTAAGATCCTCCCAGTTCTGAAACTCTAGGCTTCCAAGGACAGAAAATGGGTCATGTGCTGTTTCTCCTTTCAAAAAAGATCAGCCCGGGGCTGGGAATTTAGCTCAGCGGCATAAGCACCTGCCTTGCAAGCAGGCAGTCGTAAGTTTGATCCCTGGTACCGATAAAAATGAGTAAGACAAAAAAAAAAAGATCAGCCCTCGAAATCAAGTGAAGATCTATGGACAACAGAGATCAAGACAGCCACACTTCCTGTCACTCCCAAAGTTCTACCTAGAGAACTCCCAAGTCAGCCCTTCCAGCACAGCAGCCTGGCTTCTTATCAAAATGAAAGAGGCAGAGGCAGGGATTACAGGTCAGTGACACAAGTGCCTGCCTGGCAAGTACAACGTTCTGAGTTCAATTCTTGGTCCCCAAAACAAAACAAAACAAAAAATAAACAAAGCCTATATTCAGGCAGATACTAAGCTAACACACAAGTGCGGTACGCTAAGATAATGGCTAAGAGGACCAGCCCTTGAGAAACCTCAGCCCAAGGGACCCAGACAGTCAACACCATCAGTATAATAAAACACACAGACAGGGATGAGAAGGCTGGAACAGGCAAAGATACTAAATGTTGGGGGCTGGGGATTTAGCTCAGCGGCATAAGCTCCTGCCTTGCAAGCAGGCAATCGTGAGTTTGATCCCTGGTACCGATAAAAAGGGGAAAAAAAAAAAAAAAAAAGATACTAAATGTCAGGGGCGCAGGCAGGCCCGGCCTTAACTGGCTGGGCTCTGGGGCGCTCTGTGTGCACTGGACAGTGTCTGGAAAGGAATGTGATCTCCAGGGGCGGAGACTTGGCAGGCGGGGTTCAGATTCTTTCCTAGGCTCTTCTCCTGAGGCAGACTTCAGACTCCAAGGCATGTGTGGACTCACTGCCTGAACGTGGGAGTAGCCGGGCAGGGCGGAAGGCCTGTGGTACCAGTCCTGAGGTGGGGGTAGGATGCCTAGAGTTCCTTCAGGGACAGATATACTCTGCCACCGAGAGGCCATTGGACTCATTCCTAGCATCATAGGGAGTGCTGGAGGAGGTTACATCACACCCACTAAACTGAGGAACTGAGGTCCCCGTAGGTTAAAGGGGCTCCTACCGAGTCTACGGTGGGACTTGGGGCCGAAGTTCATTTCAGAGTTCCCAGCGTCACAGTTTCCTGAAGTCCCTGGAGCAGCACTGACTCAGAAGACCTGTCTTGGGGGTAAAGTCTGTTCCTTGCCACGTCTGTTCCCTGTCTGCAAGGGGCTGCCCCAAAGTCAGCCGGCCACAGCAGACCCTCCTTGTCCCTCCAACACATAACCACCGGTCCCAAGAAGTTGAGCAGGAACACACCACACTGGAAGGAGTAGGGTTTTCCCAGAAGTACAAACAGATTCCCCAGGGGGTTGATTTAAATGAATTAGGTTCATCCAGTCTAGAGAAGAGGTGGAGATCGAGAACAGCAAGGGCAATAATGGCTTGGCTTCCTGAATGCGGCCCCTGGTTCTACGCAAAGTGGGGCTGGGTTCTGTGAGAAGGTTTGGGAGTTAAACTGATAACTGGGAAGACCGAGGGGACAACAAACGACTGAGGAACCCGCGATGGCCACTCCCAGACCCTCGGGTGGGTTAGGAAGGGTTTTCCGCGTGGCGCAGCAGGCACCCTGTCCCTGGGAGTGGTCACCCAAGGTCTGGCTGAGGACTCAGAGACAAAGGACAGCAGGGGCGACGGCCGCAAGACGGTAGCGCCCTAAATGTGGGGTCCTGGCCTGACAGGCCCTCGCGCCGTCAGAGGGAAAAGAGTGGGATACCTGTTGAGGAAAGCGTTGCCGAAGGCGTTGAGCTTGCGGAAAGGGCGCCGTGGGTCGACGACGAGCGCGTTGCCCGGCACCACGCCCTCGGTGGGACCGTGCATGACCGCGATGAAGGAGTCGGTGGTGGGTTCGGGCCCGATGCGCATCCCGGGAAAGTCCTGCTCGATCAGGTGCCGGATGAAGGTGGTCTTGCCCGTGCTATACTGGCCTACGAGGAGCACCATGGGCTTGTTGTCGAAGTCAGCATCCTCCAGCGCAGGCGAGTGGAACTCGTGGAAACGGTAGTGCTCCTCCAGGGGTAGCAGCTTCTGCGCGTACAGCTGCCGCAACCCCTCGGCCACAGTCTGGAAGAGCTCCGGCTCCTTCTTGCGGCGGGCATCCTTGCTCACCCAGCTGAACATGCTGCCGTAGACGGGGCTGCCTGCTGCAGGGCAACGAGGCGGCTAAGCCAGGAGCAGAGGAGGGGCCGGCCGGCCGTCTAAAGGCGGTAGGCGGCTGCGGCGGCTGGGCCGGGGGCGGGGAGCTGCCCGTACTGCGCAGCCGTACTACACAGCTCGCGGAGGCGCCCTCTGCCGAGTGGATCGCGCGCCTTGCCCAGCGTCCTTTATACGGTCCAGTCGCGTTCCGCGCCGCAGCCGCTTAGCCCGCGGGACTAGGAGGAAGAGGGAGGGATCCTGACCAGCACCACCCCCAATTGCGTGCCACGTTCTCCCCTTCGCTGACTTCCATTGGCTGATTTCAAATCTCGCGAGACCGTGAGTGCGGTGTCGTAGCAACCACACCTGTTTTCCCGCCTTGTGCGAAGTAGGTTGGAAAAACCGATGATGGGGTCCGGCGCGAGGTCCTATCCTTGCACGCCTTCCACTGGACGTTAGGCCCCTCTCCCTTTTGGCGCACCCGCAGTGCCTCCTTTAGAATCCCCACAAGTGTGGGAGAACTCCGGGAGCGCTGGCACCGCGTCCTCTTGCCGGTTTCCCGGACACGCCCCCCCATTGCCGCATCTTTTATCTGTTCTGGGGAGGGAGAGACAGGAAGGAGGCAGCAGAGGAAGCTGAGAGAGTAGAGAACTCAAGGTGGAGAGTGATCGAGGAACGAAAAACGGGAACGAAGGGGTGCGATGGGAAAGACACGCGAGCAGCTGGCCTCACCTCAGGCCCGCGGCTCTGGGACTGCAGGTGGACCCAGCCGCGGAGGAGTTCGTGACCTGCGCGAGAAGACGAGGCGGCCCCCGAAAGGCTGGAACTGTGACAGGGAGGGAGGGGGTAAAGAAGAAGTGGGTCACTTGAGTTTTGAAGAAGTGAAATCGGAAATTCCCTATGTGGAGCAGAGGGGAAATGTGGGGCAACAATGAAATTTTGTGGGGACTGGGAGAGAATTAAAAAACCCAAATGCTTCCGCTTTCCTGTCAGGGACACCACCAGTTACCATCTTGTGCTCTGGGCTTGTGTGCCCTACCCGCCCCCGCCCTCCTTACCTCTTCCTGGCTGTCCCATTGGGCTCAGGCCCCCGCCATCCCTGACCTGCCTAGACTCACTCTCGGCTGCCCAGGCCAGTGAGCAGCCTTAGTGGGTGATGTCAGAACTCTGGGGGCCCTGATTGTTATGTAACCGTGGGGTGGGTCTGAGGGCTATTGGAGAGGTCTAAAGTGAACTGGGGGAGCTGATGGGGGTGGCACACTCATCTGTCCCAGCCACTCAGGAGGCAGAGACAGGAGGATCACCGCACAAATTAGAGTCCAGGATGGGCCACACGGTGAGCCTCGGCCACACCCAAATAAACAGCCAGGCATGACAGCTCACATCTATAATTGAAGCTACTCAAGCGGCTGAGGCCAGCCTAAGCAATTAAGTGAGACTGTCTCAAAACAGTCTAGGGATGTAACTCAGTGAAGCAACCTGGTTCAATCTCTTACTGGGATGGGGAAAAACTGGTGTGTATCTTAGTGGTGGAACATTTGTCTAGGTTAATGAGGTGCTGGGTTCAATTCCTAGTACCACCAAACCCTGAAACAAAAACCAAAAACAAAACATTCATTTATGGGGCTGGGGGTTTAGTTCAGTGGTAAGTGCTTGCTTAGCATGCACAAGGCTTTAGGTTTGGCGCACAGCATTGCAAATAATAAAGTGGCTGGATATGGTGACACATACCTGTAATCCTAGCATTGGGGAGGCTGAGGCAGGAGAATTACCAAGAATTTGAGGCTAGCCTGGACTACGTAGTAAGCTACATAGTTCAGGTTGGCCTTGAACTCACTGTGTAGCCTAGGCTGGTGTTAAAGCATCTTCTCACCTCAGCCTCTCCCGTGCTGGGATTACAAGTGCCATACCCAGCATATTGATGGTGTTGGGCAGGGAGAGGCTGTCATCAGAGGCTGTGTGCCAACTGGTGAGCCAGAGCCTCCTGTTGGCATAGGCCAGACTTCCTGGGTCAGCCTTCCAGCCAAAGGACTTGTCTCCTCCATGGAAGCAAAGAAAGATCCTCCCCGGAGATGTCATTTCTGGGCTGGTCCAGAAAGAGCCTGAGGCAGAAGATCCTAAATGAGGCAGTTGTTGAGTTGCATGAATGGCCGTGCCAAGTTCTGTGCCCAGCAGTGCCTCATTGACCCACTATGGTGGTTACATCTCCCCAGAGCCAGTGTGCTGGGAAAACCCAGCTCCAGAAAACTGAAAACAAAATGTTCCTGGGTTATTTATAAATGAAGCCAGGACCCTGTTCTCTAAATCCACTCTTCTCCAAGGAGCTCAAAGTCCTGGAAGAAGGGTTTCCCTCCATAGTAAGAGTTCCTAGAGACCTGGACTTAGTTCCCCCAGTTACCCAGCACTGGGCCACTTCCTTATCTTGTAATGTCCTAAATTGTGAAAATATCCTTTCTTTCCTCTGTGTTTCTTCCCCACTTGCTGTTCGGTAGGAAAGTTTTGTGAAATGTAAATAAAGCATTTCACTTTTGGTTCCGCTCCTAACAGCTGCTGCTATTGCTCTGTTGCCCCCGTGCTGGGCCACTGATCAGGGTTTTAATCTCAGAAACTGTGCCCATCCCCCCTCCCAGCGATTCCCTGTTCGGATTAGCAGAAGCACCTGCACCGAGGAGCTTGCTGCGTCTCCTCAGAGGGAGCCCCTGGCCAGGAAAAAGGGGTCCTCCTGCCTGCCTTCCCTCCCTGCAAGCAGTCCATGCAGTCCTCTGGCAGCCAGGTCCAGGGTTGTGTCGACAGTATCCCTAAAGACAATTTTAAAAAAGTTTTTATCCAAATATGGCAAAAGTATCAGGCTGGGAAAAGCTGAAAAGCACGTTTCTCCCTGAGAGAAGTGACTGCTCACTCTTTCCACAGAGAAAGTTTGTGTATAAGCATGAGTTTTTGTTCTTGTAGTCATGAAGAAATTTGGCTGGCACATCCGTTTTGCCAAAACAAGGTAAAGAGCTAGGGGGGCAGCTGGGCATGTGGTGCATGCCTGTAATATGTACGCTTCCATGGGGCTGGGGATTTAGCTTAGTGTGTAAGCATCTGCCTGGCAAGTGCAAGGTTGTGAGTTCAATCCCGGGCACCGGAAAAAAAAAAAAAAAAAAAAAAAAAGGAGAGGGAGAGAGAGAAAAAAATATGTATGCTCCCTCTCTGTGAGGCCAAGCTGGGGGTTCACAAGTTCAAGCCCAGCTTGGGCAGTTAAGCAATTGCATCTCAAAGCAGTTTTAAAAATGCTGGAGATGTAGCTCAGTGGTGCAGCTCCTGCCTGACAAGCACAAGGTTCTGAATTCGATTCCCAGTACCAAAAAAGCGCTGCAGGGGGTGTGGGAGTTCATGCTTGTTTTTTTTGTCTTTTTCCTTTTTATCGGTACCGGGGATCAAACTCACGACCGCCTGCTTACAAGGCAGGTGCTTATGCCGCTGAGCTAAATCCCCAGCCCCTAGGAGTACATGCTTGTAATCCTAACACTTGAGAGGCTGAGGCGGGAGGGTCACCACCAGGTTCCTGAGTTCAGCGACCTACTTAAAGCAGCCTAGGCTGAGAGAAGCTGGACCTGCAGAATCGGAAGCTGTGAGGTGGAGCAGGTTAAAAAACAAAGATAGTTTCAAGCCTCTTTCTTGGGCACAGGCCCAAGTGGCTCCAGGAATCATGGGATTCCTCGGTGGTCCCTTTGCTCCTGGGTGACAGGGGTGACAGGTGTGCTCCTTTCCCAGGGTGACATGTGATACTCACGGGGCGCTGTGGAGACCTCTGAACACTTTGGTTTGGGTGATGGTCTAGCATTAGGGTTTAGGGCTGGATGACCCCCTGCAGCCTCAGGGGGTCACAGGCCAGATCTTTGGGAGGTGACTGGGTCAGGGGCCCCACAGCTGACTTGCCATTAGAGGTGGGGTCTGGTTGGAAGAGGCAGTCATTGGGGTGTAGCCCTGAAGGGTTTATATCCCTCCCTGGCTCCTGACTCACTCTCTGCTCTCTGGGTGCCTTGACCTGAGCTGTTTCTCTTCCACCATGCCCTCTGCCTTTTTGTTCTGTCCTGAAGCCAGGGAATTATGGGCTGAGCCTGTACAAACTGAACCAAAAGAAGTCTTTTTTCCTTTAAATTGCTGGTGTTGGGCTGGGTTTGGTGGTTATGTTTGTAATCCCAGCAGTCTGAATGCTGAGGCAGGAGGATCGCCATGAGTTTTGAGACCAACCTAGGCTACATAGTGAATACTAGGTGAGCCTGAACTCAGGGAGACCCCGTGTCAACCCCCCTAAAAAAAAGTCTCTACGGCGATAACATCAGGGGACTTGGCAGGGTCTGCGTGGATGAAATGGTGGGTGTGACCCTGATTCCCCAGCCTCAGCAGCCTAATAGGACAAATGAGGCCCAGCTGCTGCTGCCTGAGTGCAGCATGGTCTGAGTCCATTTTGTGTGCATGTGAGTGCGGCCCTCCTCTTGTCCCCTGTAGGGACTCTGGGGGTGGCTGCAGTATCTGAGGGGCACAAGGTGAGGTCTGCCCTGTCCCAGGTCCCCCATGGCAGTCACTGCCTCGAGCTGGCAGTGGCAGAGTAGTCCTGTCTCACACTCAGTGTCTGGGCCCAGACCTTGCCACTCACACCCACAGCCCCCCACCAGGCCCCTCCTCTGACCTGACATCCCACCTCCACCCAAGTTTTCAAGCAAGTCTCCTGGGGTAGCCCCTGAGCAGCCTGCAGGGCTCAGCTGCCTGCTATTTCTCAGTGTGTCCTAAGACTAATCAGGTCCAGTGTGTCCTGCACCATACATGAGGGCTCCTCTGAAAGTGCAAAAATACTGGGGTAGGTGGGTGTGGTGGCATGCTCCTGTACTCCCAGCACTAAGGAGGCTGAGGCAGGAGGATCATTGCAAATTTCAGTCCAGCCTGGGCTACAAAGTGAGCCTAAGTCCAGCCTGAACTGCATAGCAAGACCTTGTCTCAAAAAGCCAAGAAAAAAAAAGCAAGGTAAGGGGCTCTGGATTCAGCTCAGTGCATAAGCGCCTGCCTGATAAGCATGAGGTCTGGAGTTTGATTCCTGATACCAAAAAAAAACAAGGTAAATCTGGGGGTGTGGCTCAGTGCTAGAGGGCTTACCCAGCATGCATAAGGCCTGGGGTCCCTTTCCAGCACCCCCCATACACACAAGGATGTGTGCACATGCACACATACTGTGAAAATACCAAGGCATTGGGGGGAAAAAAAGCTGAGGATAATTTCAAATTTAAAAGGCAGGAGAGACCTGACACAAAGCCTGAACACAATCCCAGTTGATTGGGGACACTTGGTAACATCTGAGAGTGCACGGCATAGTGGAGAACAGCGTTGCCTCACTGTTGTGCACCTAAATTTGGTAACTTTTATGCTTATGTAAGAAGTGCCTTTTTTTTTTTTTTGAGATTCCTGTTGAAATATTTAAAGGTGAAGGGTCACTAGCTATGTATGTAACTTACTCTCTAATGATTCAGAAAAAATGTATCTGGAGGGCTGGGGGTTTAGCTCAGCGGCATAAGCACCTGCCTTGCAAGCAGGCAGTCGTGAGTTCGATCCCCGGTACCGATAAAAATGAAAAAGACAAAAAAAAAAAAAAAAAAAAAAAAAAAACAACCAAAAATGTATCTGGAGGGAAGTGAGAGAAATGTTAACTATTTGTGTTTATTTGTTTCTTTGAGACAGGGTCACCCTATGTAGCTCAGGCTGGCCTCGAACTTGCAGCAATCCTCCTGCCTCAGCCTCACCAGTGCTGAGACTATAGGCAAGCACACCACACCCTGCTACAAATGTCAACTATTGATGGATGTGAGTAGAGGTTACACCTGTGGATGTTGATTGTACTTTTCTTACAACTTTGTTTTTTTGTTTTGTTTTTTGTTTTTTATCTTTTTGAGACAGGGTCTCACTATGCAGTTCAGACTAGTTTTGAGCTCACTTTGTAATCCAGGCTGGTCTCAAACTCAAACTGCCTCAGCCTCCCGAGTGCTGGAATTACAGGCATGCACAACCATGCCTGGCTTTTTTTGCAGCTTTTCAGAAAGTTTCACAGTTGTCTCAAAGAAAAACACAAAGGCCTGTGTCCCTCTTGCAGGCCCCATGTGGTCTGGCCAGCGTCCCATCACTGCCCAGTGACCCAGCATCAGGAGCATTGCAACACTCACCGCAGCTTGGCTCCTGGTAACTCTGAGCAGGAGGTGCAAAAAGCAATTATCATAAAAAGAAAAAAGTAGATCGAGTCCTATTCACCCCACAGATCTCTATAGAAATTCCTGAAAGTGCAGGCACTAGGCGCTCCAGAGCTACATGGGATCAGGACCCTGCGGGCCCATTTGCAATCTCAGCACCCTAGGAGGCTGAGGCAGGTGCAGTGCAAGTTTAAAGCTCAACCTGGGCTGCGTAGCAACCTAGAGAGGCACGGTATTAAAATAAAAAATAGAGGGCGCGGATATGGTTCAAAGGCCCTCAGTTCAGTCCTCGATACTGAAAAGAAAGAAAGAAAAACCGGTGGGGCACTCCTATTATCCCAGCACCCCAGATTGTTGTTACAAAGTTCAAGGCCAGCCTGGCCTACAAAGTGAGCCCAAGGCCAGCCTGAACTGCATAGTGAGACCCTGTTTCAAAAAGACAGTAAATAAATAAATAAATAAAATGAAAAAAAAAAAATAAAAACAAAGACACAAGACAAACATACAAAGCAGGCGGAGCATTTGGGGCCCTGGAGCTGGGAGTTGACCTCAGAGACTGAAAGGGAGCAGTCACTGTGCCACGACTGCAGGCTCGGGCTGACGTGGAAACTCGTGAGAACAGGTCTGGGGGTCCTGCAGGACCCGGAGGTCCTTCCTCCACTCTCTCCGCTCGAACGGCTGTCACACAGGACACGCACCGGATAGAAAATCCTGCGGGTCGCCGGGTGCTGCTCAGGCAAGGTTGGCGGTAGGGGGCGGAGCGGTGGCCAGCGCGCCCCCTGGCGGCGAGTGCAGGGCAAGGGTTGTAGGGGAGCGAGCCTCCCTCTCCTACCCAGGGATTCTGTATCTTTGTGCTTGTGGGTGGTTATTTCCAGGCTTCACTGTAACAGAAGCTGAGCTCTTTATCTCTCTGGGGGGACTCCTCTGAGTGTGTGCGTGTGCCTGCAATACTTTGCACTGAGGGACATCGCCACCCCTTTATTATTGTTTTTTAAATTTGGAAACAGGGTTTAAATCACTGAGTTCCCCAGGCTAGCATCAAACTTGTGATCCTCCTGCCTCAGCCTCTCCCGTGCTGGGATTGCAGACATGCACCAGCAGACCAGATCTCAGAATCCTTCCTGATCTAGGCTGCGCCTTGCCCTTCAGTCCTTTAAGAAGCAGTTGGGACTCAATTCATATATGCATCGCTGTACCGTAATGACAGTGGTGGCCACGGCTGGCGTCTGTCTCTAGCCTGCCTGCTCACCCGCCCTGTGCTGCCCACTGCCCCCAGGCCTGGTGCCCTACCAGCATCTCTGTCCTCCCAGGCGCATGTGTCCAGGGCTGCAGGAAACAGGCAGTGACCACGGGAAGCTGGGTCTACCTTTACCCCATGCAAGAGGCTTTGTGGCATAAGAGTTAGGAGAGGCAGCTGGGGGAGGAAACCGAGGGCCAGGGACTGCCTGCCCCTCAACTTTGACCTCAAACTGGTGCATCAGGCCTGGGGCCCCACACCAGAGGGAAAGGCCAGTGTGCATGGCCAACTGTTTGCTGAACACCTACTGTGTGGCGGGTGGGGAACCAGGCCCAGGAAGATGAGTAAGTGGTGGACTTTGCCCTCAAGGGTCTGAGGGACTAGATAAGGGCCCAGAACTCTCTGGCTCTGCAGGGAGGGAGATAAGGGTGTGTGAGCAACCAGCCACAGAGCCAGGTGTGGGGGAGGCTCAGGCTGCTGGGCCCTGGAAGCATCCAAGCTGGGCCTCAGCAGGATGGATGGAGCCAAAGGATGCCAAGTGGCAGAATGGCAGAAGAAAAGCCACTCATGGAAAAGGGCCACGCAGAGGTTTGCTACAGCAGAGGTCCCTGGAGGGACCTGGTCCCACCTACTCTGTGACTTTGGCTCTCTCGTTCTCTCCCAAGGGTGCCATAGGGACCCCAGGGGACAGGCACCAGTACCTGGCTCACAGAGAGGGCTGGATCATTCATTCCTCTTATTAGGCAATTTTTTGAAATTTTATTTTTTAGCAGCAGAAATCTTTATTTTTTTTTTTCTTTACATGGAAATTTTCCTGGAACCGCACTGTATAAACTCAGAGTGGGATTTTGCTTTCATGGAGAGAGGCAGGGGTGGGCAGGGCTGTCCTCTGCTCTGCTGCCCGATCACTTAGAACCGCAGAGGAGTCTGCAGTCAAGGCTGCGTCCCAAGCAGATGAGGCTGGCTGGAGGAGAGGCGAGAGAGGGCAACTGGAAGGGGAGGCCAGTCGGGTCCCCACGCTTGGCAAGGGTGTCTGACAAAGCCCACCAGTCGGGCCACACTGAACATGGGCATGGGGGCACTTCCTGTGGCGGAAGCCAGGCTGGGGATCTGCACAGCAAAGGCTCCTGGAGCTCAGGCCTGGCTCTTCCAGAGCATGCGCCAGGTGCAAACACAAGTCCATACAGTACTGGGCTCCCTGAGGGGACCGAGGGAACGTGGGAGTTTGGGACATGCAGGTGGGCTTGAGGAGCAAATGCTGGTAGTTGGGCATGGTGACCCATGCTTGTAACCCTAAAGCACGGGAGGCTGAGGGAGTAGGACCTCGAGTTCAAACCTAGTTCGAGTAACAATTTTTTTTTTTTTTTTGTCTTTTTCATTTTTATCGGTACCGGGGATTGAACTCATGACCACCTGCTTGCAAGGCAGGTACTTATGCCAGTGAGCTAAATCCCCAGCCCCCTCGAGTAACAATTTAATGAGACCCTGTCTTAAAATAATACAGCCAAGCATGGTGGCACACGCATGTAATCCCAATGCTTGGGGAGGCTGAGGCAGGAAGATAGCTGTGAGTTAAAGGCCAGCTTGGGCTACATAAGCAAGTCAAGGCCAGCCTTCCTTTCTTGGCGGGGAGGCAGCAATGGTGTAAGACTGAGCCTGGTAATAAAGCTGGGAAGTGCATGGGGCCAAGGGAACCGCACAGACAAAGTGCAAGAGCACAGAGGCAAGTGAGGGTCACCAAAGGAGAGATGGAAGGGTGGGAAAGGGAGAGGGGGCCTTGAGGGCTGTGCTAGGGGGCAAGGTCTTCTGTCCCCCCCAGGACACTCCCACCTTACCCCTGCCCCACCCTGCCCCTGCAGGTCCCAGCGGCGGCAGGCATTGAGGCGAACATACCTGTGACCTATGGAATTGGCAGCCAGAGGGGAGCTGACAGCACTGGCTGTCAATTCATAGGTCAGAGCCCTGTGCACTCGGTCTTGGGCAGCCCACCACCCTGTGCCATCCTGGGCCTGAGGACGTCACAGTGGAGGTTCTTGCTGGCCTGCTGTGTGGCAGCTGCTTCTCCTTGGCTGTGGATCCGGGCCCCCGCCCCAGATAACAGCAGCCCCACTGGAACCAGTGGGCACTTCCACATGGAGTTGCTGTTACAGGGGGAGGGAGCCCCTCAAGGTTGGGCCCTGTTGGGTAGGGGTCTGGGGGCATCCTCTTGGCCCCAGGTCCTTGGTCGTCTTTATCGAGGCTCCTTATCATAGGGGCCCACACCTGGCACCTTGTCTGGTGCCAACGCCCTGCTGGGCGAAGTCCAGGCTCAAGCCCAGATCTGCCTCATAAAGCCAGGAGCGGCTTTTACAGCTCTGGGCAGCCTTTGCCCGCTGGGCGCCACATGCACTCCTGCCCCAGGCCTCTGTTTCCTCTTTTCCTCCCCAGCCAGAGCGTGCTGGGCCCCAGTTTGGTTTCAGGCTTGGCCACCATGGCCTTTGCCCTCTGCCCACCCTCCCTGCTGCAGCCAGGAAGATGAGGGACAGAAAGGGACAGCTGGGTATGAACAGTGCCCTCCTGGATGGAATAGAGGAGGGGGAGGCACAGAGTGAGGGGCTACGGGGCAGAGGGCCCCAGGAGCAGACGGAGAACAGGAAAGGAGCACAGAGAACAGGGACCCAGTGGTGAAGGGGGCAGAGGGCAGACTGGAGAAGATGCTTCAGGCCAGGGAGCCTCCATGGTACAGCCCTTGCCTAGCAGGTGCGAGGCCCTGGCTTCTGTCTCCAGCACTGCAGTGAACAATCGCAGATGTCTGCTGCGGTCAGCAATGCTAAGAATGGGGCCGTGAGCCATTGCCCGACTCAAACCTTGAGGTCTTCGAGCAAGTGGCTGCCGCTCTCCGAACCACTGCTGGCTCCTCCCCTGCACAGGCCTGGGCCGCTGGGCAACCTTCACCCCCACTGTCTGTCCCCACGGTGCCTGTGGAGAGGGAAGGAGCTGCTAGCTGGTCTGTTGGGGTGCAGGCCAGGGAGTGGACCTCCTGCAAGGGTGCCTCATTCCGCCAGGACCCAGCGGGGCTTTCTAAAAGGAAAGGAAGCTTCTCCTCTGGGCATGGGCTGTGACCCCTGCTGAACAGAGTGGGGCAGGCCCAGATAGGCCAAGAAGGCTGGCAGCCCACGGTCATAGTGCAGGCCCTTGGGTCAGTGCTACCTAGCAAACCCTCGGTGGTGGTGCCTCCTTCCTGTGTACAGGCAAAGCAGGACGGAGACGCCTGGGCAGAATTGCTTCCACCCAGGGGTGGGGAGGAGCCTGGGCATGGAGAGGCCAGCGCTGAGGTACCTGCCTGCAACCGCAGGCCTGGGGAGGCTAAGGCTGTGGGCACAAGGCTGCTCTGGGCTCCACAGTGAGACTCAGTGTCTGGTGAGAGAAAGATGTCAGAGCCGGTGACCACAGCCCATGAGGCCGGCAGCCATCCCAGGACCTGTGCACAACTGGCCTCCCACCCTGTGGCTTCCCGGCCTGGCAGACACAGCACCCCATCAGGAGTCCTGGGCCCACAGCTTCAGGCAGCTCTCCAAGCTGACACTAGTCTCCTTGCCCCCTAGGTGGAAATGGAAGCACAGGAAAGAGAGCTGGCCCAGGGTCACCCACAGGTTCTGTTCTTTCTGGCTCAGAAAGACCTGCACTCCTGAAGGAAGAAGCCTGTGCCCTGGAGCACTTGGGGTACAGGGGGTGCAAAGTGCCCGCTGGTGTCTTACCTGGCTGCTTGGCTGGCCTCAGGGCATAAGGAGGAAGTGGGGATGCCCTGGGCCTGGAGCCTTTTGAGCCGTTGGCCCAGCCCGGCTGGGGTTAATCATTAGCCGTCGGCCATCAATACCGATCACAAGTGCAGTTCGAAGGGCAGGAAAGCTGGACTGTGCCCGGCAGTTTGGGTGGGCCCAGGAAATATCACAGCGGGCCCCTGCCCCCTGGTGGCATCATACCTTGGCTGCCCCAACCCTTTTGCTTGGCCTATATCCCTGGCTATGGGCAGCTGGGACCTAGGGTCCCCTAGGACAGAGCTTCTGCCCTGTTCACAGTACCCGGATATTCCCCAAAGATCTCCCCATCTGCAGGGGTAGGGTCCGGAAGGGGCTGCATGCACCAGCACCCAGGACTGGGAGCTGAGGGGTCTGCAGGTTTATGGCTGGAATAGCAGGCCTCAGTTTCCCCAGGGGATCACCCTCCTCTGGGGTGCTACTACAGAGGGTTTGGAGAGTACAAGGGGCGCCCTCTTTTGTTTACAGGAAACAAGATGGGATTCATAGGGGTGCATTTCCCCCAGGACCCGCTGAGTAAGGATCAGTCAGGATCTTCCGACACCAGCACCCCCAGACCCCATCACTCCAAAAAGCTTCTGCTAGGGATGGTAGGCGCACCCCAGGGCTTGGCCTCTGGGTAACAGCCTCAGTGACAGTCCTGATCCTCACTTAGCTTGCAGGGACCCAGGGCGCAGGCTGCGGTTGCACAAGGACAGATGGGGGCTGTGTGGTGAGGCGACGCTAAGGGACGGGACAAGGGTGAGGCTTACTCAGCCCCTGCCACTCAGAAGTGGGACACGGGTGACAGTCCCTTGGGATGGTGGTGGCAGGGTGCGGCCAGAGCAGAAGGCCAGAGCAGAAGGGGAGGAGTCAGGTGTGGGCAGGTGGCTGGACAGTGGTGACAGTCAGGTGCTGGGTGCAGGAACACAGGACCCCGGGACAGGGCCGGCGGCGGGCAGTTTATTCCACTCATGCAGACACTGACCCACGCCCTCGTGGACTTTAAAAATAACACGCCGACGCCCCCTCGGCATCTGTCCCCAACTCCCCGGGAAGACAGACACTTGGCTGAGTGGGGTTGGACCTGAGGGTCCAAAAGCCTCTGTCCTGGGTCAAGGCAGCAGCAGCGCCCGGGTGGCGGGCAGGGCAGCATCCTTCTCCCCAGAGGAAAAGTACAAACGAGGCTGAGGCCCCACTCTTACAACCAATTGGCAACGAGCAAGTATCTTTCACAGTGGCTGTCCTGGGGCCTGCGTGTGGCCCTGGGGTGGCGGCCTGGGCTGGGCCAGCACGGTGGTCAGGGCCCGCGCTCAGTCCTGGGCCGTCTCTGAGCGCCACTTGAGGGCATGGTCCTTGTGGGCATCGGGCAGGATCTGGTTGCGCATCCCCCCAAGCAGGTTGGACGTGGCCTCTGATGCCACAATGAGCGGCTTCACCACGGTGGGGGGCAGCTGGCGGATGACGCCCCCCACGGCGCCGGTCAGCCCCTTCTGTTCATGACCGCGCGACGCCACATCACAGATGGTCTGGGCCGTGTCCAGGATGCCCTGCAGAGGTCAGAGGTCAGTGCAGAGGTCCTAGTGGGAGCCAGGGCCAAGCCAGGGGGTGCTGGGGCCCTCACCTCTCGCACAGCGTCGTAGGCCTTGGCCATGCCCTCCCGGAGGTCAGCGGGCTGCTGGCCCTTGCGCATCCTCCGCGCCGAGCGCTTGTCCTGCAGTGAGCGGGAGACGGGCGCTGCCGGGGACAGGATGTCATAAACCGTCTCAGCAGTGGCCTGAGGGGCACAGAGAGCCAGCTGAGGACATGATCAGGGTACCAGGGTATCCAGCCCACCAGCAAGGACCCCAGCATCCCCTGGCCTCAGCTATCAGTGGCAGGGCACCACCCCTCCCGCACGTGGGCCTGTGCTTGTAGCCCTCCGACCCACTCCCCGCCAGCCCAGAGCCTCCACATAGGGCAGCTGGGGTGGGCCTCAGCCTCTGCTCCTGCCCACCTGGATGGCCTGCACCAGCCTGTTGCTCAGCTCTAGGGCAGCGGAGGCCGTGGAGGAGCCGAAGGAGGCAGCCCCGCGCTGCAGCCCCCGAATGAGGCGCCCATCCTTCCTGTACTGCTCAATGGGCAGCCACAGCAGGTCCCGGAAGCCTTGGACTGGAGGGGCAGGGCCGTCAGAGATGCCAGACGCTGCCCTGGCCCCACCCACCCCTGGGCCATCTGCCGCCTCCTTTCCCAATGGCAGTTTTTAGGCAGCCCATGAGGGAATGAATGGGAATTTTGAGGGTCTTCAAATGCGAACACTCACAGAGCTGGACGACAGAGTGCATGGGCCCGATGCCTCCCAGCAGGCCAGACAGCTGGTTCTTTCGGATGTCCTGCAGCCACTCATTGAGTGCGTAGCCCAGCACCTTGTCCACGCCCAGGAGCCTGAGAAGGAGCAGGGGGAAGGGCGGTGGGGAAGACCATAGCTGTGCCAAGTGCCAGAGCTCCCAATGCACCACCCCCCATCCCACCTGGCTGTGTGCAGAGAGGAAACTGAGGCTCTGCAGGGCTTGACGACTTGGTCACACAGTTACCAAAGACTGCCCAGGGCCATGTGGAGAGGCGAGAGCTGGACTTACCCATGGCGACAGCAGAGCCGCTTGAGCTTCAGCTCGGAGCAGTTGAGCTGGGCCAGGCCGATGAGGAGGCCTGCGAAGGTGCCCTGGGGAGTGAGGGTTCGGCTGTGTGATGGGACGCGAGTACTGGACACCAGGGCGGGCCCTGTCCCCAGCATAGCCAGGAGCCCCAGTGGCTGGCCTGAGCTTACCACCTGGTCCACGGAGACGTGCTTGCCATGGTAATCCAGCCAGATGGGCACTTCGGTCGTGAAGCGGAACTCCCTGGTGGGGGCAGGTGCAGAGGACTTTTGGTCACCACCCTCCCTGGTCACCAGTGCTCCGGCCCTGGCCCTCTATCCCCAGCCCTACCTGAAGTAGATGGGCTGCTGCTCGGTAGGGCCATGTCCACCACCAGCGCCCTCCTGTGTGCCAACCATCTGCGGGCCCTTGGGCTGTCCTTCCAGGGGGCTGCCCGGCCGGCCCCGGGTCTCAGGCCACGCTAGGGAGGCAGAGGTGTCAGATAGGAGACATGCCCGGGCTGGCAGGGTACCTGACCTCCCCTCCCCATCCCCTCACCTTCTGAGGCCTCCCCTGGGGCCACTGGGTTGATGCCAGCCGCCAGGCTGGTGAAGAAGTCCTTGAGGAAAAAAAGGGCGTCCTGCAGGGAAGAAAGCGGGAGCAGGGTCAAGAGGCCTGGGGATGGTGCCCAAGTGTCACGCCCACCTCCATGCCCCCCTGCCCACTCGCCTGGTCCACATTGAGCCGCAGGGGCATCAATGAGATGCGCAGACAGCACTCGGGGCCGCCCAGGGTGGTGGTAGGGGCCACGTGCAGCGCTTTGATGGTGAGCTGAAGGCAGAGGGCCAGCTGTGGGTGCCCATCCCGCTGCCACTGCCTCTGCCTCTGCAGCTCCCTCCCTTCCTGCCCGCCCACCCACCATATGGGAGTGGGTGCGGCGAGGCAGCCGTTCGCTCGTGTGCAGATGCAGGAACTTGTTGATCTGTGAGGAGGCCAGGCGGTCTCGGACCTCCAGCTCCTGCACGATGAGCACCTGGCGCGACAGTGGCCGCTCCTCCACCTCCTGGCCTGGGGCGGGGTACGCCATCGGCTCCTCTGGGTATACCTCGTGCTGGAAGCTCACCTGCTCAGGGATCACAGAGAGGCCTGAGGTGGCCGGAGGACCAGAGTTGGCCAAAGTCCAACCCTCCTCATCCTGTCCCCGCCTCAGCCCCACAGCTGGCTGCTGCCCTGACCTCTCCACGAGGCCACCTCACCACCATCAGACTCCACTCAGCCGCACTGAACTGGACCTGCTTCCTGACATTCAGGTGCCCCTCCCCTACAGCCCTATCTTGCCTAAGTGGCCCCAGCCTGTGCTGCCATCAGAAGCTCCAACCTGCTGTCACCTACGGTGCCCCACGTGCCACTGAAGCTGTGGTACCTCTCTTGCTCCAACCCACTCTCCACACTCCTCTTGGTCCCCACACACTCCAGGCCCCGTGCCTGTCCCTGCTTGGTGGGCTGTTACCCTCAGGTCTTTGCCCTGGGTACCCCTCTGCAGGGTGCCATCCCTCTCCTCCTGGGCAGCTGCTGGCTCCTGCCAGGTCCCCCCCCCCCCCAGCGCCTGCTCAGAGCTGTCACCTGTCCACAGCAGTTCCTCAGGGATGGGACCCTCAGAAATGGGACCCTTCCTGTGCAACTTCTCAAGGCTGAAACCCAAGGCGGGGCTCACACACAACATGGAATCAGACCCATGCTCTGGTGCCTCAGATACCTGTACAGGACCCCAGCGGTCCTGCCCACCTCACTCTACCAAAATCCAAGTGACCTGCCCTCTCGGCCTCCCCCGTCCCTATGCTCACTGCCGTGAGACCCCACCTTGCTCAGCTGGATCTCCATGAGGACCTGGTGCTGTCGCCCACTGCCACCCTGCGTTCTCCATGAGTTCTGGGGCCGTTTGGAGCTGGAAGAGCGGGAAGGGGAGCCCCTAGGGCCTGCAAGGCCAACTCTTGCTCTGGGAAGAGGGACAATGAGACAAGTGGATCAGAGAAACCTGTACCGCCCCCACCTTTGAGCCCAAGGCTGGGGATCTTTCCAGCCTCTGTCCTAAGAGGCAGCCTGGGCCGAGGACCCAGAAATAGGCCAGTGGAAGGGTGTGTGAGGCTCAAGGTCACCAGCATCCCAACCTGCAGCACTAGCGCAGCCCAAAGCTCTCTCCCCACCTCACCTGTGGCCAGGGTGGGGGCCAAAGTCTCGGCCGCCATAGAGGTGCCAGACCAGGGAGACCTCACGTAGCACCACACGACTGCTGGGCATGGGGAAGTGGGCAGGTGCCCGCAGCAGGTCTGTACTGCCCAGTGGCCGGGAAAAGTGTCCCTCCTGCACGATGATGGGGCCTGGGTGCAGCTGCGTCACCACAGGCTCGCCGTCTCGGGGCTGCCAGGAGGAGTGACACAGAGGTGTGAAGATGTACAGAGGTGGCCCTGGCCCAGCTCCTGTCCTCCCATCCTCACCTCCCCCTCTCTGTGTGGTCTGTCTGTGATAGAAGACGGCCCTCTTGGGCTACCACCACCCCTGGAGCCAGTGTCAGTGATCAAAGCCCCTCAGTCCTCCCTCAGTCCCTTAGCTGGCACCAGTGGGTGCTGGCCAGCCCCTCTGCCACGCACTGGAATGCCCAAGCCAGGCGCGTCCAGGATGCAGAACTCGTCACTGTCCAGGGTGTCTCCGTCCCCCTCCTCTTCCTTGTCATCATCCGTGGCCTTGGAGCAGGACCCTAAGCTGCTGGCAGGGCCCCCAGAAGGGGGCAAAGAGGGCTGTACCCCACTCCGCTCCCCGGGGAACAGGTAGACAGAGACGGGCGAGGCCTGAGGGAGCGGGTCACCTGTAGAAGAGAAGCCAGTTTGGGGGAACAGGACACTGGGTGCCTGTGCCGGCTGTCCCCAGGGTGCCTGCACCCCACCTGAAGACTGTGTCAGCCCCCGAAGGTTGCGCTCTGTGTCCAGCAGCGCATCGGTCAGGTCCCGCTGGTTGATGAGCGCTGTCTCCGCCGGGGGGCAGGGCGGCAGTGAGGCGGGGCTCTCGGAGAGCTGAGGGGGGCAGGAGGGTGATAAGCTAAGGCCTGGTCCCCTAGGCACGGTGGCCCCAGGGCTCCCTGAACCTTGGCCCTGAGGGCCATGCAGGGGAGGAGCCTGGTCGAGCTCCGGTAGCTTGTGTGGCCAGGCCTCACCTGTACCTTCTGGCCGGCGATCTCCATGGGGCTGGGGGGCTGGGGCGGGGGGTGCAGGTCGCCCGCGCTCATTACGTACTGCAGCAGGTTGGCCAGCAGGGCGCAGGAGTCAGCGCAGCTGTGTATGTGCACCACGTTGTTGGAGCAGCGCAGCTCAAACAGTGGCTGGCTCTGTGCAGGAGGTGGGGCTGGCTTGAGTGTGGCCCCAGGTCCCCAGGTCACAGGGGCAGGGAACCCCTGAGAGAGCTGGGCTGGGTCTGCCTGGGACGCTGTGCCTGCCTGGGTATCCCCATGGGGTCTCCCATGCACGCTGAGGAGTGGCCTGCTATCTCACTTGTAGACTGGGAAAAATGAGGGCCAACGTGCTATGTGTCACTCCAAAGGCCATGCTCTGCCCTGCCTGCAGCTGCCCTCTGGTGGCAAGGCGGAAACTCTTGTTCTTTCAGCAGGTGGCGCTCTTGCCACCCAGCAGGGGAGGCAGGGGCACCTGAGACACCTGCGACACCCCCTCCACCCCAGGGTCCCTGGCCCAGAGATGGCCACTCACCAGTTTGCCCTCTGTGCTCCCCTTCCAGGTTTTGATCACTAGCTCCAGAAGGTCAACATCCATGACACAGACATAATCTGCAGCAAAAGTGGAAGAAGGCTCCCAAGGCCGCCCTGTACCCAGCCAGCCCCTGGCTAGCCCGTGGCCACCTCCCAGGGCAAGATCATGGTGTCTGAGTGTGGCTGGAGGATGTGCGTGCATGTAGGGGGAGCGGAGATCCAGGCCGGCAGTTGGGGAAGTCACGGGACCATGTTCTGGGTTCGGGGACTCCAGGCCGGGCCCTGCCCACCTCGCCTGAGATCCAGTGTCTCCACCTCACACTTGTCAGACAGGTACAAAGCAGAGTCATCGAGGATGAACCTGGTGGGGAACAGGGCTGAGAAGGGCCCCCGGGAGCCACTGCAGGCGGCAGCTCCATGGCAACCAAGCCAGGCAGGGGAGCTCTGGGAGAGGCAGGGGACCCATGCCCACACAGCCCTCGTAGGGGAGCCCTACTGCCTCGGGTTTCCCTGTACTGTGGGCAGCCAGGCAGACTCAGACAACAGGGGCTTGAGGTTACACACAGTGGCTCTAGGTCTTCAGGCCACTTCGGGTAGGACCACCTCTTAGGTCTCACAGACTCAGGCGGGGTAGTGGGGTCCCTGCAGCAGCATTTACTTAGGGTTCTTTCAACATGAACCCATTTTGTCTTCTAGTAATGGAGGCTAAACCCAGCGCCTTGGCACTAAGCCATACCCCAGTCCTTTTTTATTCTTTACTTTGAGACAGGGTCTTGCTAAGTTCCTAGGCTGGCCTGGAACTTGTAAACCACTGCCTCAGCCTCCCAGATGCTGAGACTACAGGCACACACCACTCTGCCTGACTTAAGATATTTAACAACTACAAAGCAATAAGAAGTTAAAGCCACTCATAATCTGAGAAAAATCGTAACATGCCCCTTGCTAGGTATTTTTTTTTTCTTTTGGAGACAGGGTGTTCACTATGTACTCCAGGCTGGCCTTGAACTTTCAATCCTCTTGCCTTGGTCTCTCAAATTCCGGCATTACAGGAATGTGCCACCATGCCTTCCCTTATTCTTTCTAGACTTTTCTATATGAGCACATGCATGGATGCACACAGCATGCACACACACATGCACATGAATACTCCCTCACAAACATCTTTTTTAAAATATGTATATGGATTTAGCATAAGGTAGCATAAGCACCTGACTGGTATGCACAAGGTCATGAGTTTGTGCCCTGGTACAAAAAAAAAAAAAAAAAAAAAAAACCGTAATCTTGAGCTGTACACAGTGGCACACGCCTGTAATCCACAGCACTCAGTGGCTGAGGTAGGATGATTGCTAGGAGTTTGAGCCAACAAGGGCTACAAAGTGAGCTCAAGTCCAGCCTGAATTTAGTGAAACCCTGCCTCAAAATAATGGAAATAAAACAAAATAAAAACCCCATAGTTTTGTACCCTATTTTTCTCAAAAATGCTACTTCTCTTATTATGCATTTAAAAATAGTTTTCAGTGTTATTCTTTTTTTTAATCTGAGGCAGCTAACTTTATTTTTAGGAGTTCATGTGTGCAGTACATAATGTTATAGTCACATGCGCATAATGTCCCCCCTCTCCGTGTTATCCTTCAACTCCAGTTGGTGGCTGTCGTGTCCCACCAATGCGGGTGTGACCATTCCTTGGGGTGATGTGGAGGCATTTACACTAAGTTTGTAGTGTTTAAATTTTTGTGGTAGGGGCTGGGGATTTAGCTCAGCGGTATAAGTGCCTGACTTTCAAGCAGGCAGTCGTGAGTTCGATCCCTGGTACCGATAAAAACGAAAAAGACAAAAAAAAAAAAAAAAAAAAAAAAAAAAGAATAAATTTTTTGTGGTGCCGAGGATTGAACCCAGGGCCTGGTCCGGACAGCGCTGAATTGTACAAGAAGCAGTCTATTCCATCTTTCTTCCCTACATCCTCGGGGCAACCTCAAGAGAGGTTACCAGCTCAGATAGAGCTCATGGTTCTTTTAAGGCTGCTGTGAGGCACCTAGGTCTGTCTCCCCAAATGGAAAAACCATACACACACAGCAGGCAGGCAGCCACAGCACACATACCTGAGCAAGAAGGTAGATGTGTCCATGACGATGTTGCTGGAGAGCGTGAAGGTCTCGGCGGTGATGAGGACACGCACGGGGAGGTAGAGGGGCCTGTGGGGGACGTCACATGTCGGCTGGGGTGAGCTCTGTATACCCAAGGTGCTGCTCCATCCCCACCACACCCTACCCATCGCCCAGGCACCTGTAGTCCACAGCACAGGAGAAGAGATGTGTGTGCAGGATGGTGATGACCGTCGGGGGCAGGTAGCCCAGCACAGGGTCGTCCAACACGTCCAAGAAATCCAACAGCTTCCGGCCAAGGTAGGGGGATGCTGAGTACAAAGGGTACCCCCCCAGCTCCCCCGCAGCATTCCCATCTCATCCCTTTCTGGGTGCTCCAGCCCTCTGACCTACCCACCCAAACCCGAAGTCCAGGTCCAAGCCATCTTCGTTTACCTGTGAGTGCCAGCTCTGTTCAGGAAGGGACATGTAGTGTCGCAGGGTGGCCTTGTGCAGTCTTAGTGTCACCAGGAACTCCTGGGGGGTGGTCAGGGCACAGTCAGGGTAAGGAATGGAGCTCTCGCATCCACTGGGGAGGCAGCTGCCCAGCCACAGGGACAGGTGCCCTGCCGGGGAAGCCGCACCTTGATGTTCTTGTGAGGGTCCAAGTGGATGCGCACAGCGGCGGTCAGCATCGGGGCACCTTGGCTCTGACCCTTGTGGCCTGAGCCTCCCTGCTCAATCACTCCTTCCTCAGACGGGTAGATGGTCAGGGCCAGGTGTGCCGGGGGGGCAAAGCTGGGCAGATGCAGGTGACCAGGCAGCATGTAGTCATCCACAGCCGCTGGGGAGGGATTTTGTGAGCCTCTTGCCAGGCCCTGGCTGCCCATTCCACTGTAGCCCTAGGGACAAGGCAGTGGTCCAGCCCCAGCCCACCACACACCTTTGTGATAGAGGGTCGCCTTTTTAGCTTCTAGGCAGAAGTAGCCGAGCCCTGGCTGGCCATGGTACTGGGAGACGCTGAAGAGGGTGCCAGTCTCCACGTCCAGCACCATCTCGCCGTGTGTGCCCTCCAGCCGCTTCCCACTCTCGTCCTGCACAAAGAGCATATTCCTGGCTTCACCTGTGGCTCCCACCGACTCTGGGAGGCATCTCCTGAAGCCCCGATGTCAGGCAACATTCAGGGCCTACCTCATTTGCAGGAGAACCACCTATGCCCAGCCTGCCTCGTGGGTACAGACCGGGGCCCATTCTCACACCTATCCAGCATGGTGCTTTACAAGAACAGGGTGCCAGTAAGCAGCTGCTGGGTGCCATGGGGTCCCAGACAGGTGCACGCCACCAACCACTTGGGGCTCTCACTTCCCAAGTTCCCTTGGAGGTGCTGTGTTTATTTATCCTCTTTCCTGTCCAGAGGGCTTGGGGCTCACCTGCACAGGGCCCCTCTCACCTTGGCCTCACAGAGGGCTGTGATTCTACCCTTCAGCACTGTCACCAGTGTGGAGAAGGTGCTCTGGGACTGACGGCGCGGGGGCTCCCGGGGACGAGCCTGGGGGGCACCTGCTGCCCCCACAGAGAAGAACTGCACATCTTCCTCCTCCGAGTCTGAGTCTGGGCAAGATCAAAGTAAAGTGGCCAAGGGGCTGGGGATTTAGCTCAGTGGCTAAAGTGCCTGCCTGGTAAGTGCAAGGTCATGAGTTCGATCCCCCGTACCAAAAAAAAAATTAAAGTGGCCATTGGTAGAAGGACCTGGGAGGCCTGGTCAGCCCTGCCCTGCACCCGCCCTCTGGCCCACACAACACCTCTCATACCCAGCTTAAAGGCAGACTTGCACATCTTGAAGCTGTCGTGCCAGAGGCCCGGGGAGCCAAGGAAGCCAGAGGGGTGAGTGGTAGGCCCGTGGGTGGGGAGCAGGTCCGCAGGCTCCCACATGAGCAGGTCATTATTGACCCTGAGGGAGAGGACAGATGGCAGGTGAGGGGACAGCTCTGCCCCTGGCCAGGCCCCATCCGGCCCAGATCCCCACCTATTGTAGATGCTCTCATAGACCTCCTTGCTGGGAAGGAAGATATGGGCACTGGGCAGGGTCACTTCCAGGCTACAGCGAGATAGTGCCAGGGTCCGGCTCTGGAATGTCCTCATCTCTTCAGGGTCTCCAGGAATCACCATCTGGACACAGGAGAGGAAAAGCTCAGTGTGAAGTTGTCTCAGACATCTTGGGGCCTGCTATCACTGGCTCTGCTCAGAGACCTGTGTCCTGCCCTTCATTCTTTCACAGGAGCCTTTCCTTACCTGTGGGCAGGGTATGTGCCCACCTGAGCTGGTGGCATGCTGACCCTGGTCTAAGGGCATGAGCTCCTCTAATCCCGCCACTGGCCTGAGACAAGAATCCTTGTGCCCACTTCCTGGGGAGGGGAAACTTGCCACAGCCAGAGAGAGTGGCAGGGCCTGCACTCGGCTCTAGGCAATTTGGCCCATAGGCCAGGCCTAGAAATACCCCTCAGTCCATACCCATTTCAGAAAAACATCCCAAGGCCCAAGTGTACACTACTGGTGACAGTTCACAGTGGCCTGGGTCCTGGTCCTCCCCACCAGGGGGCTGCCCTTGCCAATGGTTTCCCTCCTGGCCCTGGACAGAGGTGGGGCTGGACTCCCTTGCTCATGTACCAGGTACATCGTGCTTGCCCCAGGTGGTCCTGTCGCCCAGTTCCATCACACAGCTGCTCCCATGGAACAGGTGGGTCAGGCTTTACCTCTTCTGTCTCATACATGGTTCTCTTGGAGGAGAATGGTGAGGGCTCGGGTTCCCGAAGCTCACACGGGCTCTCGGTGGACAGCTCTAGGTCCTCTGCCTTCTGTGGGGCCGTCTCCCACTGTGTGCCACTGGACTGGGGATTCAGAGTCACCACTACCCTGCCGGGACATAGATCTGTCACTCTGTGACCCCTGCAACCTGGCCCCTTCAGTCCCCCCTCAACAGCTCCCACTTACTGGGGCAGGAAGTATTTGCGGCCAGGGCTCTTGGGGTCCAGGGCTTTGGAGGCACGCAGGCAGGGGACGGGTGGCTTCTCTCCATCTTCATAGGTGACTAGAAGGGGTGTGGAACGGTGAGAGTCATCAGATCAGACACTCATGGGGTGCAGCAGCTCACAGATGAAGGGCCCACTCTACCTGCTGCCCAGGCCAGGACACTCAATAGCAGCGTCCATAGGGCTGGGAAAGGTCTATGGTAGGGCCTACTCCAACTACAACTCCAAGGCCACCTTCCCCAGAGGCCTGGGCCCTTTCCCTGGTGTCCCCTGCCAGGTGTTCTTACCATGCAAGTCAGAGCAGGTGAGTTCTAGGCGGGTAGGGGCTGGGGGACCGGGCCCACTGCTAAGCTCTGACCGGAACTGGGGCTCACTCAGTTCTAGTCGCAGCTGCTCAGCCCGCACGGCTCGGCCTGCCCAGGGGTCTCGTTCAGGCCGCAGGTCAGCGATGGGGAAACGCAGCCTCAGTGTGGCCCGGGGGGCTGAGAGCCGAAACACTGTCTGCTGCTCTGTGGTTGATGGGGGCTCTGTCTGTGGAAGGCTTGGGGTCAGAGGAGCCATCAAGACTCCTGTCACTACAGTCAAGAGCCAGAGGGACCACGTTCCGCTGTCCACCCAAGCCAGGCCCCGCCCAGGACAGCTCACCAGCAGGCCGGCTGGCGGCTCGGGGGGTGTAGTGGTGAGGTGGAGCAGGGCAGCGAGTCGGTCCAGAGCCCCCAGCTCCACATCTGTCTGGAAGTCAGCCAGGTCCAGGACCAGGTCTGAGTGGCAGTGGCAGGTGACAGAGCGCCGAGGCCGGCTCTGTTTGAAGGTGAAGGAATTTAAAATAGTAGTGGATGTGGGGTGGAGGGGACACAGAGGGAATGGGCTTTCTCGACAGGAAACCCACCCGAGTCCTGGCAGTGGGAGAAAAGCTTGGACAGGGAACCCAATCCGGGCTTGGGGTGGGTATCTGATGCCCTGCCCAACGCAGAAGACATGCTGATTCTAAAAAGTCACCTGTCACTTGCCCCTCCCACCTGTGGGGGCCCAGCAAGTTGCTGCATTGAGACAGAGAAGAGGCCACCAAACCGAGAGAGCTGCAAGCACAGAGCACAGAGGCAGAAGGGCCCCCAGAATAGGGTGGGATAGCTGGTTGGAGCACGGATTGAGGGGGTCAGGGCCGAGATGACACTGACAGAGGCCAGGGTGGGGGTCAACAAGCCACGGGAAGTAACCAATAACCCCTGAGCTGGGAGTATAGCTGGTTACCTTGGGCATGTGGCGCAGGGTCTGTACATGGCGCAGATGGGCGCAGGGCTGAGCTGAGGCCTGGGAGCCCCGGTTACTGGGGAAACTCAGGATCTGGGAGGGAAGATGGTGGTAAGCAAGGTCAGGCTCCCCTCCATGCCTGCCCACGCCCCCAGGCCTCATCCCTACACTCACCTCTGTGTACTCAGGCTCCGGGCTGCCCTGGGGCCACAGGCACTCCAGCACTTCCAGCTGCCCGAAGTGCACATCTGTGCTGGTCACTCGCCGGCCCCGACCACTGGTCCGCAGTTCCCACGACAGCTGCACAGCTGTGCCTGTCAGCCTGTGGGGAAGAAGAAGACGCCATCAGAGGGGACGGGTCTGGGGATACCAGGGGCCTCACTGCAGAGCCTTGGGCTTGTAGCTCATACCGGACATGGCTATAGGGACAGGCCTTCTTGAAGCGTGGCCGAAGGTGGTGGAAATCTCGGGAGCCGAAGGGACCATCCTTGGTGGCATCGAACTCAGCAAAAAAGTGGGTGGTGAGGTCAGGTGGTCCTGAAGATGGGGCGCAAGTTTGGAGCAGGACCAAGGTCATGCCCCCCAAGGTCATCTTCAACAGCAAGTCAGGACGCATGGTGTCCAGAAAGGGAGTGGGGGCTGCCTTTCCTGGAGAAACAGAGGCATTACAAGGGGCTCCTGGGAGCTCATGGGGATCCCATGTGCAGTGACAGGCAGCCCTGGACCTGGGGGCTGGAGAAACCTTGGGCAAGCTGCACTGTGAGGGGTCAAATCTGCCCATCATGTGGTTATTAGAGGACTGGCCAGGCCTCTGCCTGGGTTCAACATAACACTCTCGTGGTACTAAACAGATTGGTTGATGTGATTAAAGCCCCAGACCGTTGTCTGACCCTTAATAAGCTCAAAACTAATGAAAACTCACAGCTTGGTCTTTGCATAGAAGAGGAGACTGACTCTTAGAAAGTTTAAGAACTTGGCCAGGAGTGCTGACTTGGCCACCTAGGTCCTGTCCACTGTACCAACACCTCCCCTAAGCCAGGTCTCCAGGCATCACTGGATGCCTCTTGAGTATATCTAATGTCCCACTGGATAAAGGCCTCTTCTAGCCCTTGTCACCCCTAGAACACCACCCAAAGTCCCCAATTCCAACTCACCTGCTGTGTGGGTTGGGGCAGGGGCAGAGAGCCGGCGGGAGGCCACGTTGCTGTGCACAGAGGAGCCCAGGTCGACATCGGAGAGGGACATTTCCGAGACAGCTGAGGTCACACTGCTTGTGAGGCCAGCCATGGAGAAGAAGAGGTCTGAGAGCAAAATGAGAGTGTCAGGATACAGAAGGGACCTGCAGACAACCGCACTTCGATCACACTGGCCCCACACCCACCGCTGCTGTCCACGTTGAGAAGGGGGTTTGTAAGGGGGTCTGGGCTGAGGGGCTCGGCCACAGCACCGGCCTGCAGCTGCTGGTTCAGATCCTGTTCTATCAGCCACAGGTCTTCAGCACCTAGTGGGCGGCTCTTGTTCAACTTGTCAGCCAGGCCTTCCGATTCTATGGGGGAGGGCGTTTCAGTTCAGGCTGGCCGGCCTTCCCCGTCACCACCCCGGACCATCCAGAAGCCTTACCAGTGAGACTGACAGCGTTGAGGAGCTCCTGGAGCTGCTGGAGTTGTCTCGGGGTCAAGAGCAGGTGCAGGGAGCCCAGCTGTCCTGCCACTTCCAACTGGGGGCCAAGGGGACAGACATGGAACCTGTGCCTACCACCCAGCACCTCTTGGGAGCTGCCACCCACCTACTCTCCCTGGGGGAGAAAAGATGCCCACAGTTACACTAAACTGTCACCAACTCACTGTGTGAGCCTGGCCACAACTCAGTGTCTCTAAGCCTCAGTTTCTCTAATTGCCAAGACAAGAATAATTTCTCCTGCTTGATGTCCCGCCCTACTCCCCTGGCCTATGAATGATTGGACTGCTGAGGATAGGGCTGAGATGGGGCATACTCTCTCCTCCCCAGGGGCCTGGGGACCCACCTTGGGGCCTGGGAAAGCCTCATTTTGCTTCAGCTTCACTATCAGCTCCATGTACCCCGAGCAGCTGCCAATCTGCAAGGGGAGGTTTGGTGGTTCTGCCTGGAAGATGAGAACGACAGTCAGAGGGATGGAGGCGGAGGCAGGTAGGGGAGTCAGAAGCATAGGGGCCGGTAGTCGGCTTACCTGGGAAGGGAGCTCCTCAAAGTGCAGGGAGATCCCTGCCAGCTGCAGCAGCTTGTGCAGGAAGGCAGGTGGCTGATGCACATCCACAGGGGGCGCCTGGCTTGGGTCCCGCAATGCCTCATCACAGTACTCCAGTCTGGGGAGCGCAGGGTCAGCCCTTGTCCCGGCCTCCCCAGGCCTGTAGCCCTCTCTCCACACAGTGCTCTTCTCTACGGGCATGGGGTTGGGGAGCCTGACCTGCAGAGCTGCTCATCATACCCAGGCCACCCTGGACCACCACATCCACCTGCGTGGCTCAGGCTGACCCTTGCTCCTCTGATCCTCAGGATCTAACCTGGTTCTTGAAGCCCCATCACTCTGGGCCTAACCTCCTGGCCCTGGCCACCAGTCTAGGTCCACAACACAGCCCGACTCCCCAGCCCACCATGGCCCTGGACCACCCCTTCCCAGGAGCCTGGGCTAGGCAGAGGTGGAGTTGGCAGGCCCATGCCACAGCTCCCCCAGCCCACCCCCACCAGCCTGCCCCTACCTCTGCACATGGATCTCCAGGGCCACGCCATGCTCTCGGTCACTGGGCGAGTGTTCCACCCTCACAACAGTGTTCAGGAGGGTTACCTTGATGCTCCGTAGCACTGAGGGTGGTGTGAGGCTCAGGTCAGGGGAACAGCTAGAGGGAGGTCACTTTCCCCGTGGGAGGTGGGTAGCTGTGCTACTTGCAGCCTCTGCTTCTGGGCCACGACAGGAATTGGGGGGGCGGGGATAGACAGGGCCTACGCACCAGTCTCGATGGTCTGTGCAAACATCTCAAGGCCCTCTAGGAGCTGGGGTGGCTCTGAGGGCTCAGGCAGCCCCTCACGTAGACATTCCTGGGCCAACTGCAGGCTTGTAGTCATACATGAAGCCCAGGTCTGCGAGTCAGCAGCCCCTGGCCCTGAGGGAGAAAGTGGGTCTTAGGGCAGCTGGACTCAAGCCGCTCCTCCCAGGTACCTGCCCCTGCTGTGCCTGACCTCACCTGGGCCCTGGCGGGGCTGCAGGGTGAGCTGAAGGCCTGACACCTGCACAGTGCAATGCTCTGTGAGCAGCGCAGCCCAGGGCACAGCCACCTCAATGGACTGCAAGAAGCCATCCACAAGCTCCACAGGTGACTCTATGGACTCCAGAACCTCGTTTACAGCCTGGGGACAGACAAGGGACAAAGTGAGCTCGAAGCCCGAAGTCTAGCTGGCTACCACCGTCTTACTTTAGCCCTTTGCCTTGGAGATCTTGGAGAGGGCACTCCCATCCTTTTACACGCTATCCAAATGCCTCACTGTGGCTCATGATGCTCCCTGCCCTGGCCTGCTTCTGCCTCACAGCCAAAGCGCTCAACCCTTCAAGCCAGCTCAAATGCTTCCCTCTCCATTCTGCTCAAAAATCATTGCTGGGCATTGTGAAGCACACCTTGTAATCTCAGAGTTCTGGAAGAGTGAGGCAAGTGGAGATACATTCAGGCCCATCCTGAGAAATTTATACAAACCATGTCTCACCAGGAGTGGTGGCACGTGTCTGTGATTCCCACATTCTACTCAGATGGCTGAGGCAGAAGGATGGCCACAGCTGGAGGCCAGCTTTGGATACACAGTGAGTTGAAATCTAGCCTTAATTACAAACTGAGACAGTCTCAAAAAACAATAAATAAATAAGGCCTAGGATGTAGGTCAATGCAAAAGCCTTGGGTTCGATTCCCAGTACAGCTGTAAAACAAAATTTCTGAGCACCTTCTATGTGTTCCTGTCCAGATGACAGGTAAATAAAATGTCTTTACCTCCATCCCAGGTAAACCATAGCTAGTGGACTCTGCACACATCAGGAAGAAACTCAAAGAGGCACAGAGGAGGGGACTGTACCTAATCCAGCCTGGGAACCCAGGGAGGGGAGAGATGGGGGAGGAAAATGACATGTTTTAGGCATGGGCTGGCCCGGCAGGGGGCAGAGCACCCCATATTCACTCTGGGCAAGTGTAGAGTTTAATAAGTGGGCTCCTTGAACCCCACACACTGGTGTAGTTCTGAGGCACAAGACTGAGCCATCCCCCTCAACCCCCAAATGCCTGCACTACCGCTAGCCTGGGAACTCCTTAAGGCAGTAGTCACTTGCCTTCTTCAGTGACCACAGTGCTCTAAATGGTGTCACTAGGGAAGCCTCAGAAAGCACTTGGACACACAAACAATCACAGGCAGAAGTTGGCATGGTGACACACACCTTAATCTCAGTGCTTGGGAAGCTGAGGCAAGAAGAGTGCCAGAGATTTTAGAGCTTGGCCTGGGGGCTGCATAGTGAATTCAAGGCCAGCCCAGATTACATTGTGAGATTGTCTTAAAAAAAAAATACAGCAAAACAAAACAAAGATAAGATGGGCAGAGCCAGAAGACCCATGGAGACTGAGTCCAAATTCCTCTCCCAGAGTCCCAGGGATGGGGAAACCAAGGCCCAGAAGGAAGAAACTGATCCAGTTGCCCTATATACTGTGAAGACTGAAATGGGGACCTAGACCTTTCTTCCCAACCTACCTGAGTCTCCAGATATGGACTCTTTGGGGGCCACCAAGATGGGGCCTGCAGCTGAGCAGAGGAGCTGATTAGCAATAAGGTGCCTGCATTCTGCTAGGGGCCAATCGGTGAAGCAGCCTAGCCAGAGCCCATGAGCTCCCAACAAGCAAGGAGAACACTGTGGATGGCTTTCTAGGGTACCCACGAGTCTGGGCCATTTTTCAGGTCAATCAAGAGGCTGAGATCAGAGGTCAGAAGGCCTCCCATACTGAACCTCATAGACAACACTGCTGGGAAGTATCCCTGCCTCAGGGGGCTCCCAAGGCCTAACTTCCCCTTAAATCTAGCTCTTCCTGCTCAGACCACTGATCCCTGGGGTCACCAATCAACACAGAAGGCCCTAAGCCTGTGCCCACTATGCTGCTCTGGACCTAGAAGGTAGGTTCCTAAACTGGGCCACAATGGGTGGCCCCTCTGCTGTCCCCCAGGTTAGCTGAGGGGTGAGCCAAGCCCTTCACTCACGCCCACGCCCACGCCCAGGCCTCAGGCCTTCCTTCAAGGACCTTCCTCAGCTTCCCAGAATCTCTCCTCCACTTCCTCTCCAACCCAGGCCAGACGTCCCGTCTCCCTTGAGGACGCCCCCCAGGTCGGGATGCTGGGCCTCCAGGCTCTCCCTAAACCTCGCTGGTGTTGCCCTATTCCCCAACAAGCAGGAAGTAGACAGCAGCGGCAGCCGCGGCGGCAGTCACACGCGGTGTTGATCAACACAGGCGCTGACGCGGTTGTTGACATCCACATCCGGAGGCGAACCCCACCCACCAGGTTCAGGATTGTGGGGTCAGGAGGTCAGGGCGCATTTTCCACAGGTGCCCTCGTCAGGGCCCTGGACCCCTCTCTACCTCAGCCTTCCCTACCGGCTGCCTAACTCTGTCAGTGCTTCGGCGCCATACCACCGGAGCCCTCAGTCCCCCAGGTGCCCCTCACCCCTTCCCTGCTCCCGGACCACAATGTTATTATGTTGGCACTCCCAGACAAGTGACATCCGCTCCCTAGCCTGTCTCTGGGAAGCAGCTGAAGCGACCAGCGGGATGGCCTGTCGCCCAAAGGCCGCCCGGCCCCGGGTTCTCCAGCTACTCTTTAGCCTAAGCTCCGCGTCGCGGGCTCCCATCTTTGGCTTCTTCCCAGGCCCGGCCTAGCTGCTCACCCAGATATCCAAGTGGATGTCCCGCAACACACCGCAGCCCTTGTAGAGATCCAAGTTAAGCTGGTTCAGGCTGAGGGAATCCTGCAAGAAGTGACCCAAGTAGCGTTGCAGCAAGTAGCGGCACGCCCGTTCTTTTACAGAGTTCGACCACGCACTCAACCATCCTGACATCTCGGGGATCCCCGGGCCCAGGACGCCTCAGCGGGCCTCCCGCCTGCTATCCTGTCTGGCTGCGCCGTTCGCTAGAGCCCCCAGCTGCCCTACAGCTTCTCTCAGTGCCAGGCCGCGCCTCCAGACGCCAGGCCACGCCCCCACACTCGCTACCATTGGCCGTGGCAGAGGGCACGTCCCGCTGATTGGCCGCCGGGGGCGGAACCTTCAGGAACGAAAAAGGGACTGGGCTCACAGCGTGATATAGTGCTCTCAATCTTGATATGCGCTTGCGTAGAAGTACCCGGTGGGAGGACCTTTAACCTCCTTACTGCTGGAAGGCTGCTGTGAAGTGGGGTATCGTGCTGCGGAATGCGCATGTGCAGTTTTACCCGACTACTTCAGGTGGTTGGGAATTATTTAAAGAGACAGTGTCCTATCAAACCTCATAAAAGGCTTTGCAATGAAATCAAGTGTATGACATCTGGCAGTTTGCGTCTCTGGAAACAAGTGAACAAACATTTGTATAAAATGCTTTACCATCCTTTATTGCATTCAACTCTCTTAACTTTTTTTTTGTTCCTTTTTATCAGTACCGGGGATTGAACTCACGATGGCCTGCTTGCAAGGCAGGTGCTTATGCCCCTGAGCTAAATCCCCAGCCCCTCTCTCAACTTTTTAAGGTTGGGTTAATTGTAAGGGCTTTACAGATCAAAAAACAGCTTCATAAAGGTTGCAGACTTCATCACTAGAAAGGTCCTGTTTTACCCTCATCAAGGAATGCTCTGAGGAGATTAATTGACCCTCCCTGCTCTCTGCAGTTGGTCAGGCCTTGGGGCCCATTCTGGAATAATCATAGCTTTTCATAGTTCTAATCCTAAAATCAATAAAGAATAGATTCCACCTCCCTTGAGGTTGAGCTATTGTTTTTGTGCAGTTTGTTTTATTCTAAAACAGTTGAAAAACCAGGTGCAGTGGTGCACCCCTATAATTCCTATACTCAGAGATTGAGGCAAGAGTTCCAGGTTAAACTGGGCTTCATAGTGAGTTTCAGGCCAGCCTGAGCTATACATACGGTGAGAACCTGTCTCAAAAAAACAGACCAAACCCAGCCAAACCAAAACAAACAAGTTTGAAAAGAAGCAGCCCGGTGGCACATGCCTTTAATCTCAGCACTCTGGAAGGCTGAGGCAGGAGGATCACAAATTCTTGACCCATCTGGGCAATTTAGTGACTTAATGAGACCCTATTTCAAAATAAAAAATGGGCTGAGTATGTAGCTCAGCGCAAAGGCCTTGGGTTTAATCCTCATTGCTAGGGAAAAAATAGTTTAAAGAAACTCAACAAGGGGCTGGGGATTTAGCTCAGCGGCATAAGCGCCTGCCTTGCAAGCAGGCAGTCGTGAGTTCGATCTCTGGTACTGATAAAAACGAAAAAAGACAAAACAAACAAACAAACAAAAAAAAAAAAACCTCAACAGAATTAACATTTCATGATATATGAAAAAAATCATATGAAATTCACATGTCAGTGTCCATAAGTGCAATTCTAGCAATATACAACCTTGCTGGTTAAAAACTGTGTATGGCTGTATTGTATTGTTTTGCTACAGTAGCAGAGTTAAGTACTTGAGGCAGAAGCTAGTAAACTTAAAATATTTTCTCACCCTTTATAGAAAAAATTTGCTCACCCATACTTTATAGAATTGGTCACAAAACCTCTTACATCATGGGAGACCTTAGAGGCATGTATGAGTAGACACACTTCTGTTTTAGCTTTGCGGAGGAGTTAAACTGTATTTCAGTCTAATGCCAAATGTCGCTTTGAAGGGTGGGCAACCTGACCTGGGCCCAGGGTGGGCAGGGAGCTGGATTCCAGCCTGAGTTCTGGGTGGCCTCAGGCAAATCACTACTCTGCCAGCCTCAATTTTATTCCCCGTAACTTCAGGAGTAGACAGGACCACTCATTCTGTACCTGGAAGGCTCTGCATCCCAGAGGCCCCAGGCAGGCAGGCTGATCTGAGGGCCTCCAGTGACTTGGGAGACTGAGGCAGGAGGACATCAAGTTTGAGGCCAGCCTGGGCTACTTAGAGGGACCCTGTCTTGCAACAATGAAATGTAAAGAGCTGGGGTTGTAGCTCAGTGGTAGAACACCTGGGTCCAGTACCCTTCTACACACACACACACACACACACACACACACACACACACATACACACAGAGGAGCAAAAAAGAAAGGAAAGGACACCACGCACTCATGTGTTATCCTTCATCTTGCTGCCTCTTTTGCTCTCCCTGAGCCCCAGCGGAGGTGGAAGCACTGTTATGGATGTTATGGAGTAGGTAACTGCATATCCCCTTCCAAAAGCAGCAGCAGTAGAAAGGAGAAGGGAGTGCTCTCCCAGAGCCCAGGTCAGAAGGCCAGTCTCAGACCATTCCCCTCCTGTGGGGATAGGGTGCTCCATGTACAAAGACTAGGACGCAGCCCTGTATGTCAGCCCTGGGTGTTCTGAGGTAGCTGCTTCGAGACTGCTTTCCTGAGGGAGGGGGAAAACAGGATCAGATGGCACCCACAGAGCTGCCTCCAGAACTTGGCGGGGCACTCGCATCTGTGTCTTAGGGTAGATTCCTGTATGCCCATTCCTGATCCTGATTCACAAGGATGTGAGGGGTGCAGAGGCCCTTTGTCCACCTTCTACAGGTAAATCAACTGGCTTCTTGGGAAACCAACTCTACCCACAGCCTTGGAGCAGGAGCCCAATGAGTGAATATACACTATTGCAGACAGTGGGACCACAGTTTTGGGGAGTAAGGATGGCGCTGAGTCCCCACTGGGGTATTTAATTTCTGGGTAGAGTCTCAGCAACAATTGTTTGTTTGTTGTTTTGAGACAGGGTCTTGCTATGTAGTTCAGGCTAGTCTTGAACTATGTAGCCCAGGCTGGCCTCAAACTCAACTCATGGCAATCCTCTGGATTCAACCTCCCAAGAGCTGAGTGAGATTGTCACAGCCTGGGTCTAAGAGTCTTCCTAGGCTGAAATAAAGAATTTAACTCACCCCTTTAACATAAGTACGCAGGTAGCTGACTCCTGTCTGAAAAAGAATTTTCAGCACATGTCAATAAAAGGTGTGAGGAAGATTCATCAGAGGTAGATAGAGAAGGCATTCAAGAATAGAGTGAAGGGCTCAAAGAGGGGGCTGGGGATTTAGCTCAGCAGTGTAAGTGCCTGCTTGGCAAAATCCAATCCTCAACACCAAAAAAAAAAAAAAAAAAAAAAAAAAAAGAAAGAAAGAAAGAAAGAAAAGAAAAAAATGAGGCATGCAAAAAAATAGTAATTGGGGATCTTTCAGGTGTTTCTAAATGTGTAGATCTGTGGATTTAGATAATCTTTAGACTTTGTTTCAGTATTAATTTTAGAGGGTGAGAGTGGATGGCCTACCCATGGAGAGCTCTCCATCTGCAAGTAAAAGGGAAGGAGCAGACCCATTTGCAACTAAAAAGGGAGTGGTCCAGTTTTGCTGTTTTGGGAGAAGGAAAAACAAACACACTGGGTTTCTGTTCTAAAACTTCGATTTTTGGCATAAGCACCTCCTTTGCAAGCAGGCAGTCGTGAGTTCGATCCCTGGTACTGATAAAACCGAAAAAGACAAAAAAAAAAAAAAACTTCAGTTTTTTCTTTTTTGAGGCAGGGTTTCATTATATGGTTCAAACTGATCTTGAACTCACTAGGTAGCCCAGGTTGGTTTTGAACTCACAGTGATCCTCCTGCCTCAGCCTCCGAAGTGTTGGGATCACAAGTGCGCCTGGTTTTTTGTAGTTTTTCTTTAAGGTGTATTTTTTAAAGTTTTAACTTCATTGTGTCTTTTCTTCCTAGTTTTATTTCTTTTGTCCTACCTCAGGACTATGGGTGTATGCCACCATGCCCAGGAGGTCCAGCAGTCTTTTTTTTTTTTTTTTTTCTTTTTTTGTACTCAGGACCTTGTACTGGCCAGGCAGGCACTTATGCCACTGAACTATATCCCCAGCCAACCAATCTTAAAAGTACCCTGAGCTTGGACACTGCATTGGGGGGCTGCTCCTGGAGGCCTGGATCCCCCAGAGAGGCAAGAAAGAGCAGGCAGTGCCCAGGGGTGGACTCAGGGCAGAGGAGGCACTTTAGAGTGGGTAGCAACTCATAAGGCAAATTGTGCTGAGTTCCCCCAGGCACAGGCCCCCCAAAAATTTTTTGCTGGGATGGGGGAGGAATCAGGTGGGTGTGCAAGGGATCACAAAGACTAGGGGCTGTGGCTTTTGACTTGATCTTTGGAGGGCCTTTTTTTGTTTTGTTTTGTTTTTTGTTTTCCCATCCTCTAGTATTAGAAGTTAAATGCAGGGCTTTTACACTGAACTCCATCCCTAGTCCCATTGTTCTTTTTCAAACAAATTTTGAGGGCTGGGGATTTATTTATTTATTTATTTAGACTTTTTCCTTTTTATCGGTACCGGGGATCGTACTCATGACCGCCTGCTTGTAAGGTAGGCGCTTATGCCTGCTGAGCTGAGCCCTGAGGGCTGGGGATTTAGCTTAGTGGGCATAGTGGGCACAAGTGCCTGCCTGGCAAGTGTGAGGTCGTGAGTTTGATCCCTGGTACCAAAAAAAAAAAATTTTTTTTCAGGCTGGGGATTTAGCTCAGCAGTGTAAGTGCCTGCCTTCCAAGCACCGGGTCATGAGTTTAATCCCTGGAACCGGTAAAAAAATTTTTAAAAAAATTGTTTTTTGAGACAAGGTCTCACTAAATTGCTAAATTTACACAGGGATCTCTAGAACTTCCTTTTTCTTTTTTTCTTGCTTTCTTTTATTTATTTATTTATTTATTTTTTGGTATCAGGAATCAAACTCATGATTTTGCACTTGTCAAGAAGGTACTGTGCTGCCGAGCTACGTCCCCAGCCCTTTTTTCATTTTTTGAAACAAAGTCTCACTATGCAGTTGAGAGTGTCCTTAAATTCGCTATGTAGCCAGGCTGACCTTTACTCCTCAGTACTGGGATTATAGGTATGCACCATCACACCCAACTTGGGCTGGAATTTTAGATGCTCCTGCCTCAGTCTCAGGCTGCTGGAAGTACAGGTATGCTCTATAAAGCCTGGCTAATGGCCCGTATTTTATCTGAAGGGTAGGGTTTTCCTGGAGAAGACAGCTAACTCACATGGTTTCAGCTAGAGGAAGTTTCCAGGAAGATGCCAAGGAACAAGGTATTCAGGTCAAAGGAGCTCCAGAAGGGTAGCTCGGAGCCATCAGGAGTACAGAGAGATCCAAACACACTCAAAATAGAAAATTCATTTAGTAGTATTTTAAGAATACTGCACTGGACATGGCACACATCTGGAACCTCAGCACTGTAGAAAGCTGAGGCAGGAGGATGGCATTTTTGGACCCAGCCAGGGCAACTTCGTGATTTACTGAGGCCTGCCTTGAAATAATAAATTCAAAAGGGTTAGAGATGTAATTTAGTGAGAAGGTTCTAAAGGCCTAGAGTTTACTCCCTGGTCTGAAAAACAAACAAATAACTATTGAATTGTGTAACTAAAATGGGTTAAGCTTTTTTCAGTTTTTCTTCTGAGTACGTCTCAATGCATGCAATGATGGAAATACACTGTAATGCATCATGTTACACATAACTAAGACCTTTTATTATTTATTTATTTACTTTTCAGTCTTTTGGAGACAGGGTCTCATTATGCTGGCCTGGGCTCACTTGGTTTTCCTGGAGAAGACACAGGCCTGATTTTGAATTTGCAAGGATCCTCCTGCTTCAGCCTCCTGAGTGCTGGGATTACAGATGTGTTAACACCACACCCAGTTATGCATACCATTTTTAAGTGTATAGTTTGCTAGCTTTATGTGTACTCACAATGCTGTGTAAGCCATCCCTGTGTCTTTTGATCTTGCAAAACTGAAATAATAAACTCATTAAACCAACTCCAAAATGAGTGAATTTTTTTTTTTTCAAAATGAGTGAAATTTTTTTAAAAAAGTTAAAATTGAGTTGGGGATATAGCTCAGTCATATAAGTGCCTGCCTCACAAGCACAAAGTCCTGAGTTCAATCCCCAGTTCCCAGTCTCACCAGAAAAAGTCAAAATGAGTGAAATTTACAGCTTGGCATAGTGGCACATGCCTGTAATCCAAGTACTTGGAAGATTGAGGCAGGAGAATGTTGCAAGTTCTAGACCAGCCTGGGCTATGAAGCGAGTCCAAGGCCAGCCTGAACTGCATAGAGGGGGATTTGCTGGGGAGTTAGCTCAGCAGGCAGAGTACCTGCCTGGCAAGTGCAAGGTCCTGAGGTTCAATTCTTAGTTTCAAAACAAAATGTGAAATTGAAGGTAGATCTATGTAGATATTTTTGTTTTTGTGGTGCTAGAGATTGAACCCAGGATCTCTCCTATGCTAGATAAGCGTTCTAATATGCAAGGTGTGTCTATGCTCTCTCAATAGATATTAAAAGCCTGACATGGTAGTGCATGCGTGGGACACTGAAGCAGGAGAATCTCAAATTTCAGCACAACCTGAATTAAGTTGCAATTTAGCAACTTAATGAGATCTTGTTTCAAAATTTAAAAGGGGTGGGGCAGGCTGAGGTTGTAGCTCAGGCTGAAAGCTCTGGGTTCAATCCCTAGAATAACATCAAGGAACAAGTAGAAGAGCCGGGTGTGGTGGCAGAGCCACTTGGGAGGCTGAGGTAGAAGAATCAGGTGAGCCCAGAAGTTCAAGACCAACCCAGGCCAACCTAGACCCTGTCTCAAGGACAAATAAAATCTGAGGCAGAAGGATCATTGAGTTTAAGTCTAATCTTGGTTACATAGTGGGAACCTATCTCTAAATAACCAAACAGAAGAAGAAAAGTATTTCTACCTAGCAACCCTCCTCTCCCAGCCAAGTTGACAGTTTTGCCTATTTTGAGACCTAGGTCAGTTGTCACTTCTGGAGATGGAGGCGTAGCCCACTGTGGTAGATGGAGCACTTGGCAAGCATGCACTCAAGCTGGGTTTGAAACTTAGCACTGCAAAAACACAGCCCAGCCCAGCCCAACCCAACCCAACCCAACCCAACCAAACCAAGTGCTATGTATTCCAGGGGCGTTATACTCTCAGGACTCCCATCCTCAAACCAAGCACTGCTGTGTACAGAGTCCTTTTGGTCAGGTGTCAATGGTAGGGGCTGCAGCCAGGTTGAGGTGGAGGACCTGCTTTCTCCTTCTTCTTCCTCCTCCTCTTCTTCTCCTTCATTGTTGGGGATCAAACCAGGGTTGCTCTACCATAGACCTATGTCCCCAGCCCATTTTTCATTTCATTTCATTTCAAGACAGGGTAACGGTAACTCCCCCAGGAAGGACTTGAACTCTCCATTCTCTTAGCTCAGCCTCCTTGAGTGCTGGGATTACTGGCAGGTGTCACTGTGCCCTCCTTGGTCCCTGCTTTCGAATTGTGTGACCTTGGGCAAGAACTCCTGCCTGGGCTTCAGGCTCCTGGCATGGCTGCAGGAGGCTTTGGAGGTCCATCTCCTTCTACGCTGTTCAGGAGGCTTTTCACCTCTGGAGCCTGGGAGGTGAATAAGGGATTCCCGTTTGGCAGATAAGCCCCCGAGGTAAGGCTACTGAAGGTTTCTGAGCAAGGGATGCAGTGGCCAGGTCTCCAAGGAGATAGCCTGCGATCCGAGCCAAGCTGACCCTTGGCCCTCTGTGCAGTCCTTCAGTTTCTGTTGCTCAAGCAGGTGGGCACCTCTTGGGCACCCAGGTTTCCTCTTCTGCACCGAGTGGACACCAGAGCCCAAAGCAGGATGGGGCAGACTCTGTAAAGGGCCCCAGGCCCCACCCTGACTTCATTGCCCTCTCCTGCAGCTCAGCACGGATGAGTTTTGCATCCAGAAAAAAGTTCAAGGTGGAGATTTTACAGCTGTTCAGGAGAATAAAGAGTGCTGGAGCTTCTGATTCTGGGACGGGGCACAGGACTGCAGGCTGGAACTTTGGGCCAGGATGCCAATTTCCTCCCATCCCAGCTGTGCCTTGGATGGCCATCGAAGGATGTCATCACAGAGCTCCCCTGCCCATGGTTCAGCACTTGCAAGGCCACAGGGGCTCGGAGGTCCCACTGGGCAGTCCGGCTGGCAAGGGTGGGTGACAGCTCTACGGGGGTTTCTTGCGCTCTCTTGCTTTGCCTCTTCCGGCTGGCCCTTTAAACCAGAGACCATGATGTCACCACAGACAGCAAGGAACAGGAGGGGGACTGCAGGTCTGAGAAAGGACTGCATTTCCCAGCAGCCGTGGGCAAGCCACAGCCCTCCCAGCAAGCCCTGACTCATCGCAGGCTATTAACTAGTCACGTGCCAGTTTTCAAGGAGTTTCTGGAAGTGTTGAGCCATTCTGGAGGAAGCAGGGGGTTCCCACTGGGGGCACACGTAGTCCTGGCCAAATCCATGAGGTGGCATAAGCACCGTGCCTCGTACACACCAGTGTCCCGGCATCACTCCCACGTTCCCAGAGCACACTCCGGAGTCCTCTTTCCCTGCGCGGTCTCCCCTCAGGAATCCAGCAGCGCACATCCCCGCCGTACCGCCTGGCGCCCCTAGCTTCGAGATCCGCAGCGGGTTACCCTGGAGCCGCGTTCTAGGGTGAACGCTGCGCTCCTGCTGCTGCCTTTAAGAGAGGCGAGGACTACATTTCCCAGCTGCCCCGGGCCTCCCTGACGCAGCGCCCCCCTCCCAGCCGTGAGGAGGTGCGGGCCGGGCGGGGGGAGGTGACTTGATGTCATCCTGAGCAGCTGGGCGGCGGGTGCTGGAGCGCGCATAGCCCGGGCTCCCTCTGCGCCGCGCTGCGCCGCGCGGGGTCCGAGTCCCCGACGTCCGCGGAGGCGCGTGCCGATCAGACCACCCGGAGCCCGTCTTGCGCCCGGCCCCGAACCGGGGCTGAGTTAGGGGCATGCCCCTGCCCCCCCGGAGCCCGCGAGGGAACCCAGGAGCGCCGCCGCCCAGCCCCAGCGCCCCGAGCGGCCGGACTGCTGCGGAGGAGCCCTAAACCTCCGCCCCCTCCCCGCGAGCCGCCCTGGGGGTCGGAGACCCAAAGTCTGGGTTTCTGAGAAGTGAGTGTCCCCCCACCTTGAGGTCTGGGGGGCTCTAAAGGAGGCATTGAGGTGGAGAGGGTGCTGAGATGAAGGAGGAGGGCGGTAGGGGAACAGGGGCCCCCGTTGGAAGTCTGAGGTGGCTGGCGTTAGTGGAGTGGGGCAACCCCGTTCAGGTAAGGGGTGGCCATGAGGGATAAGGGGCCCATTCTGAGTAGGACTGGCCTGGGGAATAGGCCCTATTTTGGAAAAGGTTATTTTAGACCCTGGGGCTTTCAGTCTAGGAGAAGTGAGAAGCAAGCCCGTGGAGCAAGAAGACTGCACCCCTAAATTGGGGTCTTGGAGAGGGTAGGAGGGAAAAGAGGCAGGGTATCCAGCTGCCGCAAAGTGCTGACCGCTGTCTCTGCCTTTCCTGCTGACCTTTCTGCCCCGACTCCTTTTCCCAAGAGCCGGAGTGGGAATCTGGATTGCACTCTTCTGGAACCCGAGGAAGGACCCAAGGCCTGAGCCATCTCCTTTCCAAGCTGCCTGCCCCCCAGGACTGGGCAGTTGCCGAAGGCCCTGGGGGGGGGGCCCAGGACTGTGTTTGTGCCCCCCCCCAACGACAGGATGGGCCCAAGTTAGTCCACCCAGCTTCACCCTGCATCCTCCAGGCCCAGAGGGAAGTCCAGAGGCTCTGAAAGCTTGACTTGCTGCCTGCCCACCATGGAGACGAAGCTGCCCCCCGCAAGCACCCCCACCAGCCCCTCCTCCCCGGGGCTGTCGCCTGTGCCACCACCGGACAAAGTAGATGGCTTCTCCCGACGTTCCCTCCGCAGGGCCCGGCCCCGCCGCTCCCATAGCTCCTCTCAGTTTCGCTATCAGAGCAACCAGCAAGAGCTCACGCCACTTCCCCTGCTTAAAGGTGAGCCCAGGCTGGCTGCCAGGGTGCCTGCCATGGAGGAGGCCAGCAAGGATGAGGGTGGAGAGAGGTGCATCCATCAGAGGGAGTTTGCAGGATGCTTGCAGGGGATTCCATCATCGGAACTGCCTACAGTCTGACGCATGGCCTGACAGGCCTGTCATCGCTGGAGGTGGGGCATCTGGAGGTGGCACCACCCTGGGGGACAGGCCAGGGCCCAGAGCGAGGCCCACAGCCCTGCTCAGGAGGTCACTGTCAGCCCAGCTGGCTGCCTGGGTCCTGGAGCTAGGTCCTGGAGCATGGCTTTCTGTGGTCACCATGTCGGTCCTGCCCTTACCTCTGAGCCTATTTCTGACTTATAGTAAAAGGTGCCACCTAGGAGAGGATGGCAAAGGCTGTTTTGGGGGAATTCACACATCCAGGCTTTATGATCTTGCTTTAAAATCTTTAATTCTCTGAGTCTGGATTAGGAGAAAGACAGGAAGATCCTCCCCAACCCCTAGGGGTGAGCAGAAAGGACCCAAGTTGTTTGTTGTCTGCAGGGAGTGAAAGATGGTGGAGCAGAGTGTGGGATCTAGGGTGAGCAGAGACTGCCTGGAAGTTTGGCCCTGCCCAGAGCTCTGCAGCTGGCACCAGGTTCAGCCCCTTGTCCTCCCCAGATGTGCCAGCCTCTGAGCTGCATGAGCTGTTGAGCCGGAAGCTGGCCCAGTGTGGAGTGGTGTTTGACTTCCTGGACTGTGTGGCCGACCTGAAGGGGAAGGAGGTAAAGCGGGCAGCACTCAACGAGCTGGTGGAGTGTGTGGGAAGCACTCGGGGCGTCCTCATTGAGCCTGTCTACCCAGACATCATCCGCATGGTGAGCACTGGGCCCGGCCTCTGGGGGATTGCTTAGGGGACACATGAACTCTGCTGGCCCACTTCGGGACCCCTGTACAAAGGCCTCAGCGTGTCTTGTACTCCCTGGGAGCCTGCTGTTGCCCACTACCCACTCAAGGCCTCCTCAGCCAGCCCACTCCTGTGCCTTGGCTGAGGTGGGCTAAACCCCAAGTGCCCTCCCTGCCTCAGGTCCCCTCATGGCCTGGCTCTGGTGCTGCCTCTTCGGGGAAGCTCCTTGGCAAGGTCCATTTTCTCCCCAGAATGCCTGGGAACCACATGGTTTTCAACTCCTCTTTCCCTTTGGACTACACCTGCCTAGGGATGTGGCCCATTGTCCTTGTGTCTCCAGCCACTGGCCTAGGGCTTGCACGAGCTGGGTGTTCAGGTGATGAGGAGTGAGCTATTTGCTGGCACCAATGCTGAGGTTAAAGCATTAGAATTTTGGATGAGGGATCCCTCCAGTTTCTGCCTTCAGAGGATCTTTCTTAAGGAACCCTGCTCCCTGCTCTCCCCTAGATCTCAGTGAATATCTTCCGGACCCTTCCCCCCAGTGAGAACCCTGAGTTTGACCCTGAAGAGGATGAGCCAAACTTGGAGCCTTCATGGCCACACCTGCAGGTATGAAGAGTGACAGGGAGATGGGTGACCTCTTTACTACAGAGGTGATCAGAGGGCTGGGAGAGGGTCTGCTCAGCCTATAGACTGCTGGCTAAAGGCTGGAGGAAGGGTTTAAGGCTGTGACCAAACTCACCGCTTTTGTCTGTGTCCCTCCCCCAGCTGGTGTATGAGTTTTTCCTGCGTTTCTTGGAGAGCCCAGACTTCCAGCCCTCTGTGGCCAAGAGATATGTGGATCAAAAGTTTGTCCTGATGGTGATGTGGGGAGCGCAGGCTGGGTGGGGTGTAGAGCAAGGGGGCTCTTGGAAGGCATGCGGTAGGATAGGAGGAACCTGGGGTTGACGTCTCCCCTGACTCCTGGCCCCACAGCTCCTGGAGCTGTTTGACAGTGAGGATCCCCGGGAGCGAGAGTACCTTAAGACCATCTTGCACCGGGTCTACGGCAAGTTCCTGGGTCTCCGGGCCTACATCCGAAAACAGTGCAATCACATCTTCCTCCGGTGAGTGGCTGCTGTCCACCCAGCAGAGACTTGGGGAGGGAGGGGGTGAGGGGGCCTTGAGGGATGACAAAGATTGGGGTTCCTGGCCTGTGGGGGTCATGTGAGATTCCAGTTTACGAAATTCTTTTTCTGTAATACAGTATTGATCTCTGCAAAGCCTGTAAAGTCAGCAGAGAATGAATGTTTATTTCCATTTTACAGATGGGGAGGAGGAGGCCATCAGAGTAGTTTACAGGGCCTGAAGCAGTTCAGGGGAGCCCAGGATCTAGACTTAGAGTCCTTGTGGCCCCAAAGAAGGATTGTTTCTGCAATCATGAATTGCACATCAGCTCCCATTGGGAGCCGCTTGTAGTTGAGACCGTGGCTCTGGTGTGAATCAGCTTGCATCTGAGTCTGGTTCCCCTGTTTGGGGGAAACATGAGCAGAACACTTGCTTACACACTGTCTAGGCTTCTCATCCTTGAAACAGGATGCTGCCTGATATAAGGCAGCGCCTCCAAAGCACTCTGTAGTGCCTGACCCTGGGTGGTGACTCTGAAACCTTAGCCCTTATTGTTCTGAGCAGACAAGTAGGTAAGACGTGATCTGAGTCCTCCAGGAGCTTGGAGTCCATTAGATTCCCCACTCATTAACTTCAGAGCAAGTGTAATTTAACCACCGGGTCTTGACTTCCTCATCTGTGTAATGGCTTTAATACGCCCTACTTCCCAGGAGAGTTTTGAGAATTATAGAGTACGGAATAGCTGCGCTAAGTGTATGTCACTGCTTTGGTTGAGTGTGGGGAGAGCCAAGGTCATGGGCTGACATGGGGGATGAGGTAGGGTGCTATGGGCTGGGAGAGAAGATGAGCTGGAATGCTGCATTGAAGAGAAGCAGAGTGCAGTGCTGCACACTTGTAATCCCAGCTGCTTGGGAGACTGAGACAGAAGCATTGCAAGTTCAAAGCTAGCCTGGGCAACTCAGCAAGACCCTGTCTCAAAATAAAAAAGGACCAGCAATGTAGCTCAGTGGTAAAGCACTTGCATAGCATGTGCCAGGCCCTAAATTTGATCCTTGGTGCTGGAAAAAATTTAAAAAGTTGTGCTGGGTGGGAAGCAGTGTGGCTGGGCTGACAGTGGGGTTTTGGGGCTTTGGGAATAGAGCTCCATGCGGCCTGGGGAGACAGTTGGACACTGGGGAGATGGTTGCTGTGTTGAGGGATGGGTGGATGGATGGGTGTGCAGGCAGGTGAGGTGAGAGGGAGTGTCAGGATGGCTCCCAGAGATGCTGGACCTGCTACCTGGCTCTGGTCCTCCTGCATTCTCTTCTTCCCTTGCAGGTTCATCTATGAACTTGAGCACTTCAATGGTGTGGCCGAGCTGCTGGAGATCTTGGGAAGGTGATTGGCCCAGGGCTCTGAAGCTCAGGATTCTGCGGGGAGGAAAAGGGACCTGGTCATCTGAGCCCCACTCTGGTCTTCTATCCCCTCCCCAGCATCATCAATGGCTTTGCGCTGCCCCTGAAGACTGAGCACAAGCAGTTCCTGGTTCGAGTCCTGATCCCCCTTCACTCCGTCAAGTCGCTGTCTGTCTTCCATGCCCAGGTGAGGCCCGCGCCTGGCCCTGCTGAGCAGGCACCCCTGCCAGAGTCTGGGCTGCCAGTAGGCCCAGGAGGTCAGCCTGACACTCCCAGATCCCATCTGTACTCATTTTGCACCAGCCACCTTAGAGAATTTCCACCGTGGACATCCGTCCAGGCCCTTCCCTCTCTACCTGGCCTGGGCAGGATGAAATTCTCCTCCTACAGTCTCAAAGATTACAGGGATCTATTAGGGACTCTTTGGCAGAGTTGCCAAAGATCAGCGTGTGGGATGTTCTCCGTGAAGTCATCAGTGTGTCCCCACGCCCTGTGTTTGTGGTGGCTCGTGCTTCCCAGGCAGCAGTCCAGCCCGGAGAACAGGGGGAGAGGCAGTAAGTGGGCAACCACCTGGCACCCATTCCCCTCTTGACTACGAGTCTTTCTCCTCTACCCGCTGCAGCTGGCCTACTGTGTGGTGCAGTTCCTGGAGAAGGATGCTACCTTGACAGAGCATGTGAGTACCCCTGGGGGGAAGGAGGGCCCCTCACTCTGCAGGGGTGACTCCCCTCTGCCTCTGTCCCACAGGTGATCCGGGGGCTGCTTAAATATTGGCCAAAAACCTGCACCCAGAAGGAGGTAGGAGGAAGGTTTCTGATGCCCACCAGAGGGGGGCGCCAGGCTCAGCCTCCTGAAGGCAAGGGCAATGTGTGTGTGGTTCCGGGGCAGACATGAGCTGTGGTCCTCTCCTCACCCTGCAGGTGATGTTTCTGGGGGAGATGGAAGAGATTCTTGATGTCATCGAGCCCTCCCAGTTTGTAAAGATCCAGGAGCCCCTCTTCAAGCAGGTGGCTCGCTGTGTCTCCAGCCCCCACTTCCAGGTATGGGGCTGGGCCAGATAGGTGGGACGAGTTGTACCTGGCACGGTTGACCAGTTGACCAAAAGTTCTCTGCTCTCACTTGTCCTCCAGTCCTGGGTCTGATGATGGGGAGGTGCTGGGCTTGGGATCAGGACCCATGGGGCCAGGCTCACATCTGCCTTTGATGCCAGAGGGGCCTTGGGCAAAACTCCTGTAAATTGGGGCAACAATTTCTCCACAAGATAGTGACAGAACTGAAGGGTCCAGGAGTATAAACATGTTTGGTTAATTGAGCTAGACCGGGAAGGAGTGGTGGTGTTACTTTGCCCTGTTTGTTAATGGCTTTCCATTATTTCCCTCTGATGACACAGCCAGTCTTCTCTACCCATCCCAGCAAGCTGTAACTCACTTTCCTGCCCATTGTTCATCCTCCTCCTCCTTCTCTTCCTTTTTTTTTGCAGTGCTAGTTATTGAGCCCAGGGCTTCACACATGCTAGGCAAGTGCTCTACCCCTGAGCTACACCCCTCTCTCCTGTTCTTGTGAACCATAACTGCAGTGAAATCTGTTCTTCCTCATAGGTTTTTGATACTTCTTTGTCTTAAATAGCTTAGTATCTCATTTTATTTTTAAAACACTCTGTAGGAAAAGGCACGATTAACCCCATTTCACAGATCAGCCACCTGAGGCGGAAAGGTCAAATGTATTGTGCAAGGTCATGTGGGCATGGCAGTGTCTGTAGTAGGCTTAGGATTAATTGCCCCGGTGTTGGACTCGAAGCCCAGGGCTCTTCCTCTTTTCCACCTCATTTCTTTCCTCCAGGGGTCAGGGAGCTCTCAGGATGGGGTGTGGGGAGCAGGCATGGTGACCGAGAGCAGGGCTGAATGCCAGCCTCCCACACAGACATTCTGCTGCCTCTGCTGCCCCAGGTTGCAGAGCGGGCTCTGTACTTCTGGAACAATGAGTATATCCTGAGCCTCATTGAGGACAACTGCCACACTGTGCTTCCTGCTGTGTTCGGGACCCTCTACCAAGTCTCCAAGGAGCACTGGAATCAGTGAGTGCCCAAGTTTTGACCTAAGCCTCAGCCCACCCCCACCTAGCCTCGGAGGAGCAGAGAAAGTGTCAAAGGGTGGGCTCGGGGCCCAGGGGAAGGGGAATGGTGGCATGGAGATGTTTGGGGAAGCAGGGGGTGGGCCCAGGATGGGCAGTGCCTGAGGGATGCTGGGCCAAATAGTTGTTGCTTTAAAAACCTCTTTGACCCCCTCCCTCGACCATGCCCAGAACCATCGTCTCTCTGATCTACAATGTGCTCAAGACCTTCATGGAGATGAATGGGAAGCTGTTTGATGAGCTCACGGCCTCATACAAGCTGGAAAAGCAGCAGTGAGTGCTGGGAAAAGATCAGGGGTCTGGGCCTGGGATTGAAGAGCACAGAGCAGGCGCAAGCCTGCAGTCAGGTGTCCCATCCCCATCATGTCCCTGCACGTGCTGGCCAGGCCAGCTTCTCGGCCACATGAGTGCAGGCTGAGAGTGGTTTCCGCTCAGCTCAGCACTGCCCTAACCCAGTTCCCATGGTCTTCCAGGGCAGTGTGCTTCTGAGCCTCACCCTTAGTGGCAAGGTGGGAAGGGGGTTGGATTTGGGGGCCAGTGTGGGAGCTGCCTCGCCCTCTCTCTCTAGGGAGCAGCAGAAAGCCCGGGAGCGCCAGGAGCTGTGGCAAGGATTGGAGGAGCTGCGGCTGCGCAGACTACAGGGAACCCAGGGAGCCAGGGAGGCCCCCCTCCAGCGGCTCACACCACAGGCAGCCACTAGTGGGGGTCAGAGCTAGAGCCCCAGAAGGGGAGAAGCTGAGCCCAGAGCTTTCAGTCCCTCTGTCCCTTCTCCTGCCCAGGGGCCCAAGAGACACGCGTCTGGCCCTGGCCAGCCAGTGTGGGCAGCCTGCGCTGGGGAGACAAGAAGATGCGATGGTGGTCTTGGCAGCAGCACTCTTAGGCCCTGTGTTAAGATGACCAGGGCAGGCACGACTGGGTAGCTGCTGTCAGGGCTCTGGCCTGGCCATAGCGCTGAGCTCTGGGGGCAGCAGGCTCCCGCCCCTGCTCCAGCCCTGGCCCAGGGCTTGGGTGCAGAGCACCTCACCTGCCCTGCCTTGGGTGGGCCTCAAGTCCTTCCTCACCCCCACCATGCGGCCTGGGGTCTATTTATTCTGCCCAGCTCACCCCCAACACAGACACTGACTGTCCTGGCCCTGGGGCATCCTCCCTTCCACTCCCTTGCCCTGTCCTTCCTTGTCCCCTTTTTATTTATTGGGCAGGGGGAGGGGTGAGGGCACAGGCAAAGAAGAGATTCACAGAGTCCTGGGGTGAGGGGGGTCACAGTAATCACAGTCTATCCTCTTCTCATGCCTGGGGGTAGACTTAATAAAGAGAGAAACTCAAGAACTGCTTGCTTTATTGTGGGGCAGGAACAGAGAAGGGCAGGAAGGGATGGGAGACTGGATAGAAGGATCAGGCAGAGGAGATGAGGAAGAAACAGGAACCCCCTTCTCAGGAGGCAGCCACTGCGAGTTACTCAGAAGGTCAGAGCTGGAGCAGCTCCTGTGTAAACGATCTCGTGCAAGTGGACAGCAGGACTAGGACTCCTTCTAGCGGCTAGATGCGTGAGAGGCGGCACATGTCACACCGGCAGGCCCTGGCCGTGAAGATCTCAAGCTCACCGCTCTGGCTCCCTGTGCACTGCAGCTGTACCTTCACCTGTTGGAGAGGGAGTCCGCCCGGTCCGCTCCCAGGCCATCTTCGAGCCCAGTCTCTTCCCTCTGCCTGCACCCCTGGGCTCAGGTGCCCCTCACCTTCCTCAGGCCATGGATGGTGCAGCACTGAGACACGGAGGTGATGTTGTGCCGATAACCGCTGGCCACCAGCACAGAGTACCGGGAGGGGAAGGCGCTGGACTCACAGTGGCCCACACAGGCCTGTGCCACATGGGACCCCTGGCAGGTGCCTTGAGGGTCACTTCGCACTGTCACATTGAAGGCTGGAAGGAGACGGGCAAGCAGAGATGCTCCTCTGCAAAGGCCACCACCACATGGATCCAATGGCCCTGTCTGGCATCTCTGCTCCCTCCCATCCTCTGACCCTTTGGTCGCTCAGTTACTTACGATGCAAGTGGCAGCCTGGGATGGCTGCCTCCCGACCCCTTCCTTCAGAGACTGCCAGGACCAGTGCGCAGAGGAGCAGGGCTCCGGGGGATGCCATGAGCATCTGAAGCTGGTTGGGAAGGGAGTTGGGCAAAGTCTGAGGGCCTGCAAGTGAGTAAGCAAGCAGGGCCACTTGATATTTGTGACAATATTTGAGTCCACCAGATCAGCCCTCTGCCCTGGGATTCTCCCCTGGAACTTGCTGAACCATCCGGACCTCCCTACACCCGTGGGCGTCTGCAGGGTTCTCATCACACCCTAGCCCTCTGCACCTAAGGCCTGTAGGCACTCACCAGTCTGCCAGCAACTCCAATGACTGGCTGCCCCAGTACCTCCTGCTGGTCTCCAGGCTGCGGGCTGCAGCTCTCCTGGGTTTTATTAGCATCTGTTTTGGAGCCACGCCCTTGAGGCTGAGGCTACAGAGAAGTTCTGTCTGGGAGATCCTGTGCTGACGCATAGTCCTGACGACCGACCGAGGCTCTGCCGCTTTCTGCTATACTCTGTCTTTAAAAGCTGCCAGTGGGCCCTGGCTGCGGGGAGCAAGGTGTGAAAAAACATCCTGAGCTGATGGGGTGTGTGGCATGTGTGCTGCTGGGGAAGAGGGGTCAACTCTCTTGGCTGCCAGATTGCCTTTGCTATATGACCTTGGGCACGACCTTGGGCCTGACACCTGCCTATTCAGGCCCTTACTACCCCAGCCTTAAAATTACTAAACTTAGCCTGCCTGTCTCTTACTGACGACAGAGGAAAGGGACTGAGAATCCCTTCCAGGTTTTTATGGATGGGAAATCACAGGTGGGCAGTGCAAAGCCAGGAGGCCTGGGAGGATGAGTTATGTCAGCCTCCACTCCAGCATTTAGTGGAAAAACAGGGACTTGCTCCTCAAAGAGCCTGAAACTTTCAACCCCAGGAAGCTGGTCATTAGGGGGAAGTTCTAGTTTTGTAAGTGAGCTACCAGGGCTTAGAGAAGGATTACTAAAAGATACACAGGACTGGATATGGTGGTGCCCCAATAATCCCAGCACTCAAAAGGCTGAGGCAGGAAGATCACCACCAGTTCAAGGCCAATTTAGGCTACACAGTGAATTCAAAGGCCATCCTGGACTGCCTGGGGAGACCCTGTCTCAAACACACGTCACACAGCTCATCAATGTTAGGGCTGCTGTAGTGTTCAAATCTGCAGTCTAGTCATGGTGCTAAATCACACTTGGGCCAGGAATGTGCAAGCTGGGGAAAAGCAAGTTGGCAGTAGCTAGAGGGCAGGGCAGAGTAGAGATCAGAAGGAAGCCTGGGGTGTTCTGGGCAGCCCCACTCAGGACTTGCTTCATGACCTGCTCCCTGCTCCCTGCTCCCTGTGCCAGCTGGCTCCCTATGGACAGTGAAGTGCACCAATTCCTGCCCTCTCGTTTTCCAGTTCAGAAAATAACCAGAGAGGAAAGCAGCGTCCTAGGCCTTCACCGTGAAGGAGCCCGGCCAGGACTGGCACCAGGCTCTTCAGACTCTGCTGCCCAGCAGACCAAGCTTGGGGTAGCGGCCTTGGGCAGAGAGCAGGGATGGATAGGAATTGTTCCCGATGCTGCTCATCTCAATCTCTGCACCGTAAGGCTTCCCCTCCAGTGCCAGTTCCTCCTGTCAGCTACCTCTTCTTGCCAAAGCAGAGGCAGCCAAGCAATGGGCCTGAGAGGGGCCTCAGCAGTCCAGCCCCCCTGACCTCCCCTCATGACACCTGTTCTGGTACGGGAGAGAAGGCTGGGTAAAAACCTTTGGAAAGTTCGTTACCTCACAGGCCAGCCTGCTCTAATACTGGATATCTCTAACTGGCAAAAGTGACTCCTTTGTTCTGAGCCAAAATGAATTCCCCTAAGTTTCCACGGATTGTTTTGCTTCTCTGAGGTCACACTGGCTTCCAGCAAATCTGACTAACTTGTATTACTCTTTCTTTTTTTTTTTTTTTATTGGTACCGGGGATTGAACTCACGACTACCTGCTTGCCAGGAAGGTGCTTATACCGCTGAGCTAAATCCCCAGCCCAAACTTGTGTTAGTCTCAAGGAATCCGAAGGAGAAATAAGAACCACATTCTCTATGGCGCGGCAACACTGGGGCCTTACCAAACTGGGCTGGGACAGAGATCATTTCTCTGGGGGCAGCAGGGCTTGGGGTGATAAGAGTCTTGTGTAACCTCATTCCCTGTGCCCTGGTGGCAAAGTTAAGGTTAGAGGTCAGGCAGAGACTCAGGCACCCAGTGTGACTCTAAGGGGCCACCAGGTGCCAGGGCAAGATTCACACATTGCGTCTCTGTAGCCTGAGGGGCAAGTTTGTTTTCTCGCAATCTATTTCACTAAATTCAATCAATAATTCCTCATAAATAATTTATTAGAATTAGGATCCTAGACACAAAAGACCTAAACTGACCCTCAGGGTAGTGAAATTCTTAGATTTGAGCATTTTACAAAGTGCCATTCCTTTCCAGTGTTTTAAATGGGGGGGGGGAATCCACTCCATTATACAGGGACAAGGGACAGGATAAACCTAGTCAGGGCTAGTCAGGAGCCATCATCCCGATGATCAAGGGGTCATAGGCAAAGGATGGAGCTGGAGGAGTGCTGGCTTGGGAGGAGTCCCTGGAAGAGAAGTCCCTCTGTCTGTGGCTGTCACCGCAGCTGGGCGGCTCACTGGTGGCTCCTCTTGAAGAAATACCGAAGTGGGAAGAGAGTGCTGTGGGAAGGAGAAGGGGAGGGGGGTAGGCTGAGACCAGAGGTCTGCTCCAGCTGCCTGCTCCCCATTAGTGCCTCATTAGCCAGGCCATTTTGCTCTGGGGAGCCACTGAATGGAAATTCAAGGCTGGAACAATATTTGAGAAGGTACTCAAATTAGATTACTCAGGAGGGAAATAAAGGACAGAAGAATCACAGCTGGGATGACTGAGTTCTGGAGAGACAAAGGGATTTGCTGACTCCTCCGCAGAAAGGACTCTGATGATACCCAGATGCGCAGCTGAGAACAGAAATGAGTTGATAACCAAGTAATTTGAGTAGTCCAGTAAAACAGGACTAGTCTCTGGCTAGTTCTGTAAACTACCAATGCTTACGGAAGCAGGCCTTATCCCGGGCACATCGGGGTGGGGGTGAGATGTGCAAAAGTGAGTGAGAGCCAGATGTGGTGACGTACACCTGTAATCTCAGCACTCCCTTGGCTGAGGCAGGAGGATTGCAAGGCTGAAACCAGCTTGGGCTACACAGTGAGCTCAAAACTAGCCTGGATACACAGTGAGACCTTGTCACAAACCAAAGGATAAGGTACACTATTAAACTCACAGCTAGGGCCCTTGTTCCTAGTCTCATTTGTATCGTCCATATTGGATATAATTGAGAGATCTCTGCAAGTGATCAGCCCCCCCCCCCTTCTCATTTCCTGAAAGACCCAGCAAGGCAAGCTCTGGACTGTGCTCCCATTCGGGCCCTGGGGCTCTGGGATGGGGGGAGGGGCTTGTCTTACCTTAGAAAACCAAAGAAACTGCGTGTCCCTGGCTCCTGTGGTGGAGGCGAGCTGCTTTGCTGCAGTGCTGGAACCATGGCCCCTGGGAGGTTGTGCCCCCGTTTAGAATCTGTAAGGAAAACGCAAAGGCAGGAAAGAGGTGTCTTCTGTGGAGTACTTTTCTGTGCGTAGGAGGTGGCAGAGCAGCCTTTCACCAAGACTCATTTAAAGGGAGGTGAATTGTTTTTCTGACCTTCCCAATTTTATCTCAGCTCAATATGATGCTATATTCTGACCTTAGCATATTTTCAAAGTCAGATTCCTGAGATACTTACACAGCTCAGGTCCCAGCCACCCATCGTGGCCAGGCTGCTTTCACATGGAATGACACCATGGGATTCATGGGCTTATGTTCTACTTCTGAGGTAGCTGCGGTCCACACTGAATCCTATGCTGGGTGAGAGATCAGCCAGCTGGAAGCACAGCACCTCGCTGTGCAGTCTCAGGCTTTCCAGAGGAGCCACACTATTTTTTAAAAATTAAGACAGGGTCTCCCTCTGTAATTCAGGTTGGCCTTAAATTCATCATGTAGCACAGGCTGATCTTGAACTCATAGTGATCCTCCTGCCTCAGTCTCCAGAGTGCTAAGATCATAGGTGTGCACCACCATACCTGGCCAGGAGCCACAGTCTTAACACTAAGCTCCAAGGGAAAAAGTGCTTCCCACAGATGGGTCTCCAACCGCACAGAGAAGGGAAACATACCCCTCCCAACTTTTCTGTTACACTTCCCACCTGACTGGGGGAGCATCCACCACAGGACCAGAAGCAGCGCAGGAGGAAGGGCGTGTGCTGCCCACCTGCCCTCTTTTTGGCAGCCGGGGTGTGGGGTCCACTCTCAGGCTAGAGAGAGTCAGTGGTGCCTCCATGGGAGCAAGGCTCCCACATGTCCAAGGTGCCTGGACTCAGCGCTCTGTGCCATTCTGCTCAGCGGAGCACTGAAAGGGGCAGGATGGTTACTAAAGGAGACTAAATGTGAGTTTCCCAGAACCTACCCTGTGTCTGCACATCAGTGGTGTCAGAGGTTACAGTCTTCCATGTCTCTTGCTGGGTTTTTTTCCTGTTCTGATTTAAAAAGATCAAGAAAAGTCTTAAAGTTACTCTGATCCAGCTTGTATGCTATTTTTGAGGAACTGTTTTCACATCAGCACTCTGGGGCAGGCCCTATATTTCTTTTTATCTTTTTTTGCTTTTGAGACAGGGTCTCGCTATGCAGTTCAGGCTGGCCTTAAGCTCACTTTGTAGCCCGGGCTGGTCTTGAACTTGCAACGATCCTCCTACCTCATCCACTTGAGTGCTGAGATTACAGACTTTTACCACCACACCTGGCTCCTGTATTTCTTTCTTTAGGACTGTTTTTTCATTTCAGCTTCTAACCTGTCTTCTCTAAGGCAAGAGGACATAAGAGCCAAGAACAAGCCAATCTAGACCTCTCTGTCTTTTGTTACTGGGAATTGAACTCAGGACCTTGCACTTGCCAGGTAGGCACTGTGCCACTGAACTATATCCCCGGTCAGTCTAGACTTCTCTCGCCACCCCCTACTACTCAGTGCCTGCTCCTGCTGACAGAATACAGAGGTTGGAGAAACCAGGACCTTCGTGGCATACTGGGAAAAGTATGCTTTGCAGGGTAAACAGCACCCAAGATGGTATAATCAAGCTACCCCACCCATGTCTGCAGTGCTGTGGTTACTGAGGATGATGTTAGCAGAGTGGGTAGCTACTGTCAGGAGGCCTTTCCAGGGGACGTAACATGCAGACGGGCCCTTGAGAGATGAGTGGCACTTGCCACAGTGGGAGATGAAAAGCTGGTCTGTGAGAGCAGGGCATTCTAGACAGGGACATGACAGAAAGGGCACAATGCCACTGAAGAGTAAATATGACCAGCATGGCCAGAGCTGCATCCGGCAGAAATATGACTATGGTGTTAGAAGCCAGCGCGATATAATAGTATTTCTCCATGTGCTACTGTGTGCTAGAGACTCCTCTAAACTTTGAAGAGAACATCCTACAATCTGGCTACAATCTCCTCAACAATTCCAGTACATGCCCTCATGGTCGGAAGCATGGCTTGCTCTGGGACTCTGCCAGCTGCCTGCTGTCTCCACCCAGCAGGGCCTGAGGGCCTGGCTACTGGTGGCACCGATGGTAAGGCCACTGCTGGGGAGAGGCCCATATGGGAGTGGGCCACAGGATGCAGACTGGTGCTGGGCCCTGAGGAAAGCGAGGTTGGGCCCTCATCCCAAGCCGAAGCCTCAGGTTATGATGGCACGTCTTTCCGAAGTGAGCTTTTTGAGAACTTGTCAGGAGCCAGCCCCTAAGTCCTATTCCTAAAAAGGTGAGAAAGAATTCTGGGGAGAAAAGAGACCATTCTTAGCTTTTCTAAACAGAGTGGAGATTAGTTTTAGAGAGCCCAGCTCTGGTTTCTGGCTTATGAGGATGGTTTTTAGCCATTTTGTTTTGTTTTGGTAGTACCAGGGGTCAAACTCAAGACCTCTCGCTTGCCAGGCAGACGCTTATGCCACTGTGCTGTATTTTAGGCCCAAGGGCATAGTTCTTACAATTTGAATTAAACCATGCTTTTGGGTTTAAATCCTGATACATAGCATGATTCTAATGACTAGTGAAGTGGCATCTATTAGGATTGGTAGAGGGACCAAGAGCAAATGCCCAAGGGCAGAGGTGATTGGAGGACTCTACTTCAGTGTAGCTTCTGTGCTTTCCTGAAAAAAAATTTTTTTGTACTAGGGGCTGAATCAGGAGTAAAACCCAGAGGCATTCTACCACCGAGCTATGTCCCAGCTGCTTTCATTCTTGAGATGAGGTCTCCCTGTGTTGCCCAGGGTGGGTTCGAACTTGCAATTCTCAGCCTCCCAGGTAGCTGGGTTTACTAGATGTGCACCATTATGCCCAGCTCCTGGACTCCAAGGCGAGGTCTCCTCAGGCAAATCTCTAGAGAGGCAGGTGGCACATGGCTTAATCCCAGCACTTGGGAGGGGAGGTGGGAGGACCACTGTGAGTTCAAGGCCAGACTGGGCTACACAGCAAGACCCTGTCTCAAAACAAAACAAAACAAAACAAAACAAAACAAAGCAAAACAAAACAAAACAAAGCAAAAGTTTCAAGAGAAGAAAAAGCCTTAATGAAGACCTTGGGTATCACTGAGGACATCAAGCAGAGCCTTACATCCTGAAAACCCCTGTATGTGCTGGGCCACACCTGTGTAGATGTAGAGTCCAAGCAAAAGAGATTCTACCAACTGTGTACAGTCAGCCTGTGTCACCCCTGGACCAGCAGGCTGCCCTTCACTCCAACTGCTCCCTCTCGTTTCATCCTACTAAAGTCTGGGTCTCTAGGTCTAAGACCTAAAGAACACAGGGAAAAGGTCTTCTCTTCCTTCTTATTTTCTCCAGAGCACAGAGGCCATGAGCTCAACACTGTGCTCTCTTATGCTTTCCCCACGCACAAGCAGATGTGTATAGTCTACGCCAGCCACAATCTGACACCCTTCCTTCTGCCAAAGCCAGGGAAGTATTGAGCACTGGACCATAGGAGCAAATTCAGTTTTTCAGCTCAAGGGACTTACACCGAGGAGCCACTGTGATCACCTTATTTTAGGGAAAGATCCTCTCCCTGGGAACAGAGTCTACAACACAGGCTGATTCTGGGCTTGGAGTCAAGATCAGTAATTACTTGGTTTTGTGTGTGTGTTTTTCTAAATCCAGAATCAGGTTGAAAAGGTAATTATGTTGAATGAGAAGCTGTGGGCACTGTTTTTGAGGGAGATGATGTGTCAAACTAAGAATAGGAAGGTAGGAAGGGTAGAAAGGGAGGAAATGTTCCTCTAACGGCAATTATCTCGGTGTACAAAGCATCTTTGTTCTCCAGAGCATCATGTACTCTTGTACTTTCTTATTGCTTCTTCTTACCTTTCTAAACTGCAGGAGGCATAGAAGGGCGCAACTCTGCCTAAAATCAGCCTCTGGGCTGCATGGCCATGGCCAGCAGAGGCCCCGTCTTCTACCCCTGCCCCTAGGGCACAGGTCTAGATCCCTGAGGGTGCCCACTCCTCCCAGAGAGAAGAAGCAAACATGTGTTCATGTGTGCCCTAGAGCTCAACATAATGCCTGGCAAACAGGAGGCAGAAGAATGGTTTAGATATGAAAATTACTCCATTCCTCTCCTTAAAATATTTTAGGAAACTTCTGTATTTTTTTTTTTCTTCAGTACTAGGGATTGAACTCAAGGCCCTCACACTGAGCTACATACAACCTCATCTCTAAGTTTTCATTTTGAGACAGGGTCTTGTTGAGCTGCTGAGTAGCCCAGGCTGGGCTTGAACTTGCAGTCCTTGGGGATCACAGGCATGTGCCACCAGGTCTAGTGCAATCCTGAAAGTGGCCTCACAGCACTTTATCATTCAGGATGCACTGTCATGTCCAGCCATGTTTCTCAGTCCCGGGCCCCAGGCTGCTCGGCCTGAGCACCTTCAGCTCCTCTGAGCTCCTCTCACAGCCTCCAACGTTCCCTCTGCATCCTGTGCTTTCTGAAGCCACTCACAGTGCATTTATTGGTAACTGTCTGCCTGGCCTAATGCTGCTGGTGGTTTTAGGGTACAGCATGATGCCCCTGAGGTAGACATTTAGTGGACATGGGCTGAATGAATGCAATCGATCATGCTATGTGTCCTGAGAGCGGGAAGGTGAGTTGTTAGCATCTGGGTACCCAGGGGCAGAGCTACTTCGGAGGCATAAACAAGTGAGAAAAAACGTAGGATCTGTAAGGAATTGATAAATAGCTAACAGTTACATAAAGGGAGGAAACCAGGAAGGGCACTGCTTTAGGAGGTGCCATGGAAAATAAGCTTGGAAACAGAGAATTAGTTGATACGTGAAGCTGGGCATGGTCTACACTCAGGAGACTGAGGTAGGAAGGTCACTTCCAGTTCAAAGCCAGCTGGGCCTACAGAACAAGATCATGCCTATATGAAAACATAAAATGATACATGAATATCAAAATAACAGACTCCAGTAATTAAACAAACTCAAATAATAAAGGACCAACTCATCATTGCTCTAGAAGTTTTTTCTCACTGATTTCTAGTGCTGGCACGTGCCTTGCTCATGCTAAATTTAGCTGTTCCTAGACTTTAGACCCCAGCGTGGATAAAGTCAAAGTTTTCTAAAGAGGGACTTCTATACTGCATGTTACTGCTATTCCGTAGGACTTTTTTTTTTTAAACTTCAATTGTAGAGTACAAGAAGCAGCCTTTTAAGCTGAGAAGACCTTTTGACCAGAGGATTCATCCATGTGTGTACTATGCAGCCATTTCTGGGACAAGTTGCAGCAGGGGTGGAACAGTATAATGCTGCTCTGCAGACAGCGAAACCTGAGATGGTGCTTGGTCCTTCCAGTCTGCGGTAAGGGCCAGGACGCGCAGGTAACAGGTAAGGGCCAGGACGAGTAACAAGAATCATAACCTGCAGCACAGCCTCAGGGCCTCGGCCCAGTGCTTACTCTCGTGGTTTCCATAGGTGGCTTCTTGCTTCGAGCTCTTCGACTGGGAGACCCCATCTTGGCCCTGGGGTGAGGGAAGAAACCCATGGACATTACTGGCAGTGACAATGTTCTGATATCCCGACACACGGAGCCTCAATGAATATTTCAGCAGACTGGCTATTTTTATACTACTCTTGGCCAGCAGAAAAAAACTGTGTGGCCAAATTTTCTTTATTTCACAATAGAATCCTAATTTCAGACAGTTCAGCATATGGGATTTGAGAAGTGGAAAATATGACTGACAGTCGGTTATCAGATTCTGAAACACCTGATTATGCAACAAAGCCCAGAAAGGGGAGATGAGAGTTCGTCTCTGTGGAAGATTCAGTTGAATGAAACAGACCAAACACTTCCAGCCACCACACACTGCACCAGTGCAGAAGAGAGCTCCCCAACTCCCCTGACATACGCCTCTAGAAGGAGCCGCCTCACTGCCCCAGCATCAAGGGGCCTACAGGGTCCCAGGAAACTAGGAGCTGTCTTCTGTGACCCTGGGATGAAAGTACCTTGGGCTGGGTAGCAGGACTCACCTACAACGATCCCAGCAGGCCTCTCTGTGGTATTAAAATCATTTTGCTCCTGATGGTGCCTGCTCATAACCCCAGCACTTGGGAGGCTGAGGCAGGAGGATCACCATGAGTTCAAGACCATCTGAGCTACATAGTGAATTCAAGCCCAGCCTGGACTACATAGTGCAACCCTGTCTTGTGTGTGTGTGTGTGTGTGTGTGTGTGTGTGTGTGTGTGTGTGTGTGTCTTTTTCCTTTTTATCGGTACCGGGGATCAAACTCACGACTGCCTGCTTGCAAGGCAGGCGCTTATGCCGCTGAGCTAAATCCCCAGCCCCGTGCAACCCTGTCTTAAAAAAAGAAAAAAAGGAAAAAAGAAAAAAAGGGCTGGGGATTTAGCTCAGTGGCATAAGCTCTTACTTTGCAAGTGCATGGTCATGAGTTCAATCTCTGGTACCGATTAAAAAAAAAAAGAAAGAAAGAAAAAGCCAGGTGTGGTGGGTCACACCTGTAATCCCAGTATTTGGAAAACTGAGGCAGGAGGATCCTCACAAATTCAAAACCAGCCTAGGTTACTAAGTGAGCTCAAGGCCAACCTGAACTGCATAGCAAGACCCTGTCTAAAAACAAAACAAAACAAAAAATCCAAGAAGAGTCTAAGTAGCTTCTACAACACCAACCTCAACACGCTGGATATATGCTCAACATTCCTCCAACAGTTGAAGCATTCAACATTTTCTCTCATAATTGATGTATTCCATATTGTAATACTAATTTTAAAATTTGTAATAATCAGTGTATTCAATAGGGTTTGGTGGCTCAGGAGTAAATTCCCAGGATTTGGCAGGCTGAGGCAGGAAGATTGTCTTGAGTTCAAGGCCAGCCTTACCTACCTGGTGAGACCCTGTCTCAAAAAGACAAAATATCCTAGCACTCGGGAGGCTGAGACAGGAGGATCATTGTGAATTTGAGATCAGCCTGGGTTACAAAATGATTTGAAGGCCAGCCTGAGCTGCATAGTGAGACCCAGTCAGAGAGAGAGAGAGAGAGAGAGAGAGAGAGAGAGAGAGAAACATTGTGTTCGTCATTCCCCCCAATAAGCAGTGTGTACAGCATTCCTCTTACTAGCTGGGCATGGTGGTACACACCTGTAATCCCAGCACTTGGGAGACTAAACCAGGAAGATTGTCTCCACTTTGAGGCCAACCTGGGCTATATAGTGAGTTCAAGGCCAGCCTGAACTGCACAGTGAGACCCTGTCTCAAAAAGACAAAAAAAAAAAAAATTCCTACTAAGTCAATGCACTTGATAGTCCCAATAATTGGCACTTCACCTAATAACGGATATACACAGTCTTGCAAGTATTTGTATTTCCTCTGGACTGCTTTTAGGGTTCCAAAAGCTTATTGCTCACTGGCTAAAATAGAATGTTTTATTTGCTCTTATCCTTTCAAGGTTTTCCTTCTGTTTTTCTGTTTTGCTTTGCTTTGCTTTTGACTTTTTGAGGCAGGGTCTCGCTATACAGTTCAGACTGGTCTTGCATTTGCTTTGTAGCCCAGGATGGTCTTTAACTCACAGTGATTCTCCTGTCACAGCCTCCTGAGTGCTAGGATTACAGGCGTGAGCCATCACGTTAAGCCTTGGAGACTATGTTTTGTATCTCCTATAATATGATCATAGTAAGGATACATTGACTATGGTTTTTTGCGGAGGTAGGGAGAGGTACCAGGGATTGAACTCACAATCTCGAGCATGCCAGGCAGGCGCTTATACCACTGAGCTAAATCTCCAGCTCCCCACATACACATAATGTGAGTTTATCATCTTTTTTTTTTTGTCCTTTTGAGATAGGATCTCGATATGCAGTTCAGGCTGGCCTTGAGCTCACTTTGTAGCCCAGGCTGGTCTTGAATTCCCAATGATCCTGCCTCAGCCTCCCAAGTACTGGGATTACAGGTGTGCACCACCATGCCTGGCTTCATTGACTATGTTGAATTCAGTTCTACACATCTGAGTATACTTCTTCTCAGTCTTCACATTATTATTATTTTGTTTTGAGACAGGCTCTTGCCATGTAGTCTGGCTTCAAACTCACTATGTAGCCCAGCCTGGCCTTGAACTTGCGCTGATTCTCCTGCCTCAGCCTCGGGAATGCTGGGATCACAGGCATGCACCACCATGCCTGGCTCAGCTTTTACCTTGATGAAAAGAACAATCCCAATTCCACTTCTCAGAGAACAGGACTATGCTTAACCTGCATCCCAAACCCAGTTTGCCTCTTTTCCCTAGCCCATTTCCCAGAACAGGCAGATACTACTGATAAAGCCCAGAAAGAGGAAGTGACTTGTTCAAGTGCAGAGGAATCCAGCCTAACAGGTGGCAAAGTGTGACTAGGAGGGAGACTCAGCCTTGCCCTCCGCCACTGACCTGGGCAGTGCTGTCCCCCTGGGGGAGCCGTGCTCCTCCACAAGTTTCCGCTTCTTCCCTGCATCTCCTGCTGCTTTCTTCTCTGCTACAGCCTGCAGGAGGAACAGACTTTGTGATCCCCCTTGTGCAGAGCACTCAGTGCAGGGAGAGAAGGCCCATCTCTAGCCCACCAAGCCCCTTCAGCATCAGCTTGGCGGCAACAGAAGTTCCGTTAGAGTCATGGTTTCTGACATGGAACCAAGGGAAAAACATGGGCTCGGGTTTGTGATTCTGCTGGGATCTGGGCAGAGCTGAGGGGCGAAGTCAGAGAAGGACCCAAGGGCAGAGAGCACCCTGGGGACAGCAGGAGGTAACAAAGGCGATTTTCATTTTGTTCAGAAATGCAAACTTACCGACCCAAGAGGACTGTCGTTTATTGGTTTGCCTGCAAGAGGAAATTGAAGTGTTAGAGTGGATCAAGATTCTGTTTTCGCTGAACTTCTGAGTACTCTATTTCCCAGAACTGGCTCCAGGCGCCCTGCCCCGATGTGCCTTTCTCCCTTCTGTCTGGTACCACTTTCCCTAGACACAGTGTCTTTAAACTCCCATTTCCTCCAGTTTCACAACTGTCACCTACAAGCTGAAACATGTCTGAGTCACACCATGCTTTAACAATATGCCACTAAAAAGGGGATGTGACAGCTGGGCATGGTGGCACAGGCCTGTCATCCCAGCACTTGGGAGGCTGAGGCAGGAGAATCCTTATGAGTTCAAACCCAACCTGGGCTACAATATGAGCTCAAGACCAGCTTGAACTGTGCAGTGAGACCCTGTCTTACAAAGACAAAAACAAACAAACACACAAAAACTAAAATGAAGGAGAGTATTTTGAGGGAGATTAACGGCAATATATCTTTTACTATATTTTAAAATTTAAATCTTGAATGTATTATTTGGTCATCCTGTGTTTCGAAAAGCAGGCAGAGAAAGATGACACACGCTGCAATTTATCTGAAGTCAAGCAGCTACTAAGTGGCAGAGCCTTGGGGATTTGGAGCAGGCTGGGGCCATGTGCTCCTGACCTCCACCACATGTGTGGCTGGCTGAAGCCCGATTCATCTGGAAGTCTACTTTACTCCACTCCCCGGGTACCACTAACCCTTTCTGCCCTTCGCTGGCCTCACTTCCATCACGACTTACCAGGTGGCAAGTTTTCATGAAACCATTTCATCTCCACATACAGAGTGAAAACGAATGGGTAAGGGATCAAGACGACTTCCTCATGTTTGAATTTCAAGTGAGAAACTCTCTCCCACTTGCTTTTATCTGGGGATGGAGCTAAGGGCTGAGGAAGGACACCAACATGCCTCCCTGAGAACTGTTTTAGGCATGAGACTCCACTTCTTCCCCTGACCTACTCTCCAAACTATCATTCTTTTCATGGGCACAGAATTCAACTAGACCAGAACTTCAGGTCTGTTAGGTAAGGCCTCTACCACTGAGCTACCTCCTTAGCCCTTATTTTATTTATTTATTTATTTATTTATGTCTTTTTCATTGGTACCGGGGATCGAACTCACGACCACCTGCTTGCAAGGCAGGTGCTTACGCCGCTGAGCTAAATCCCCAGCCCCATTTTGTTTGTTTTTGTGACAGGGTCTCATTCTGTTATTCAGCCTGGTTTTAAACTCACTGTGTAGCCCAGAGTAGTCTTGAACTCACAGTGATCCTCCTGCTTCAGCCTCCCAAGTGCTGTGATTAGAGATATGTGCCACCATGCTTAGACCTTATTTTATTTATTTTTGAGAAAAGGTCTCACTATCTAGTCCAGACTATTCTTGAATTCACTTAAGTACTCCAGGCTGGCTTGAAACTTGCAGAGATCTTCCTCCTGTCTCAGCCTCTTGAATCCTGGAGTTACAGGTATGTGCCATTATGCCTGGCTTCCTTATTTTGAGACAGAATCTCAGTAAATTCCTAGGCTGCGCTCACACTTGTGATTGTCTTGCCTCAGCCTTTGAGTACGTAGGCTTATAGCATGGTCACCATGCCTGGCTACATCTATGGTTTTGCTCCTTCCATTTGAATTTGCACGTGAGTTGTAACTCAGTAACTGGGAAAGGATACAGGGAAATACAATGAAGTGTTCAGTAATAAATGGCTGCAGATTGTCCAAGTTTCCCAAGACTGCACGGATAGAATCCTGAAAAAGATATTTGAAATGACTTTAAGTGTTCCAACTTAGCCAATTTTTCCATTTATATTTTTCACTGCTTTGCACACACACCCCCTTTTTTTGAGACAGTGTCTGAACTCTTAACTCAGGCTGCTCTTGAACTCACGGTGATTCTCCTGCATCAGCCTCCTGAGTGCTGAGATTACCACACCTGGCTCATATACTCCACATTCTAATAAAACCAAACTATTTATTGTTCCTTGAGTGTGCTCTGTGCTTCTCCACTTCTGTGATTTTGCTGTTCTCTCTGCCTGAAATGTACTCTACCCATTAGCACCTGTCCAAATCTTACCACTTCTATAAAGTATGGTTCAATGGAGTCTTGTCCATAAGGTTCCCTGACTCCCAAAAGTATAATTAACTCTGCCTCAGACCTTTTAGTAAGTGGGGCATGGGGCGGGGGGCGTGGTGGTGGGCGTTTGTAATCCCAGCTGAGGTAGGAGGATTGTTGCAAGTTTGAGACCAGCCTATGCTACCAAATAGGCTCAAGGCCAGCCTGAACTGCATACACAGACCCTGTCTCAAGAGACTAAATAAATAAATAAATAAATAAAAGAAGGCTTAGCTCAGCAGTGTAAGCGCCTACCTGGCAAGCAGGAGGTCACGAGTTCAATATCTCGTGCCAAATAAATAAATAAAACAGCCTCTCAGTAGTTAGCCTGAGACCGTTATTATATTTGCACAAGTTTTATTTTCTTCTAGAGAGACCAGCTTAAAGAAGGATTTACCTAGGAGTTATCTTGCCCTCTCTCCTACACTATCACAGTGAGTCCATATGGAGACCCAATGAAGGACAGGTAACACTGGTATTTACTGACATAGTTGTTTTGCTTTTCCTCAAATCATCTCCCCCCCCCTTTTTATGGGTACCAGGGTCTAACTCATGACTGTCTGCTTTGCAAGATAGGAGCTTATGCCACTGAGCTAAATCCCTAGCCCCCCCCCCCCCCCGCTTTTTTTCCTCTTTAAATCTTAATTGAAGCCAGGCATGGTGTTGTACACCTATAATCCCGGCATTCAGGAGGCTGAGGCTCAAGGATCATTGTGAGTTGAGACCGACCTGAACTGCATAGTGAGACCCTGTCTCCAAAACAAAACGAAATTTTTAATTGGTCAGTCAGTCTCTAATTAATCTATGCTTGTTAGCCTAACTAATCAGTTTACTTTTTGAGACAGTTTAGCTCAGCGGTAGTACAGCACTTGCCTAGTAGGCCCAAGGCCTGGGTTCCATCTGCAGTACTCTTGACCCTCAAAAAAGGAATGGTGGAGCTAAGACCCAGACCCACACAGTAGTGTTCCAGAGCTCATGTCCTTAGTCATCAGGCCACATTGGCTTTCAAGTAATTTTTTTGGGGGCGGGGGGACAGGGTCTCACTGTGTAGTTCAGACTGGCCTTAAACTGACTATATAGCCCAGGTTGGACTGTACTCGACAATTCTTCTGCCTTAGCCTCCTGAGTGTTAGGATTACAGATATTCGCCACCAGGCCTGGCTTCAATTAAGGTATTCTAAAGGAATGATAACATCTACCCAAAAACTAAGAGTAGGAGAACACATAAAAAGAATTTTGCAAACTTTGATGATATGTAAATGTATGTAAATTCCCTCCAGCTACCATCTACTGTGTGGTGAGCCTGCACACATCTGGTTTTTTTTTTTTTTTTTTTTTGGTACTGGGGATGAACTCAAGACTGCGGGCTTACAAAGCAGGCACCTATGCCCCTGAGCTAAATCCCCAGCCTCTACACACATCTTCTTTTTCAGGATCTTGCTATATAGCCCATGTTGCCCTCAAACTTGCAAACCTCCTATCTCAGCCTCCAAAGTAGCTGGGATTACAGACATGCGCCATCACCTACAGCAAATAAACTTAACTGTACAGTAATTCTTTGCAATGTGGAAGCATATGTGTTAGTATCACTAGTCATGTATCACTGCAGTGGGAAGGAGAAGAGCAGAAACTAACTGAAACCTCTCTTTGGTATAATGACACAACTGAGACTCAGGCTGACAGATGATTTGCCGACTGACACAGCTTAATAGTGTGATAATCCGTGAGATAGGACAGCAGGACATGGCAAAAACTAGCTGGGGAAGTAGGAGTAACCTGTTAATTACAAAATCCAGGACACAGCACAGAACGGTTCCCAAATTCCTGCAGGACGTCTCAGGAAAATTCCAGCTGATCTTCCAATAGCAAGACCTACCCATGACATCAGTCTGAGGCCTGGGATCTCAGCACCGCCTCTTAGGACCTGAATCAAGAACTCTTCATGGTGGGGGCTGGGGATCTAGCTCAGTGGCATAAGCACCTGCCTTGCAAGCAGGCAGTCATGAGTTCAATCCCCGGTACTGATAAAGAAAAAAGGGGAAAAAAAAAAAAAAAACTCCTCACAGGTCTCCTGGAGATGGAGACAGCGTAAAAGGACAGATGGAAAGGCTTGGCTATCATAACTTTCCATGGTAGCCCACACTGTCTGCCAGCATGTACTTTTATCTTTGCTCTTTCCCTCTTCTGTTTACACGGCCCATGCCTGCTATGCAGAGCCAGTTTCTCTCCCACTCTTCAGTTTTTTTATACTGGGAATTGAACTTAGGACCTTGCGCTTGTCAGGCAGGCACTTGTGCTGTTGATTTATATCCCTGGCCCTGTTGTCTTGAATAAAGTTTGTCACTGTCTTTTTTTTTTTTTTTTTTTGACAGTCTCACTGTATAACCCCAGCTGGCCTTGAAATCTAAGCAACCCTCCTGCCTCAGTCTTCTAATACTGGGATTATAGGCATGCACCATCACACTCAGTTGCCACTGATTTTTTTGAGTCCTGGGAATTGAACTCAGGACCTCATACTCGCCAGGCAGGTGCTGCGCCACTGTTTTTTGTTCATTTAATTCACTTGTTTTTTTTTGTTTTTTTTTTTTTTTTGTCTTTTTCGTTTTTATCAGTACCAGGGATCGAACTCATGACTGCCTGCTTGCAAGGCAGGCGCTTATGCCGCTGAGCTAAATCCCCAGCCCCTTCATTCACTTGTTTGCTCAGGGTGAGAAGAACCTGGAATTCAACTTCAGCAGAGTCTAGCAATCTGAAACTGGGTAACATATCATTGGTGAGCCACTTTTTAGAAGCGAGCCACTCAGTAACACCAGGACTAGGCTCCAGGGCCGCCCTGTGGAGAGGGCTCTACCTGCTCGGTGCTCTTTCTGTTAGGTTACAAAGCCAGATTAGCTGGCTGGGAAGGGAATGAAAATAAAGCGGAGGTAAAGCAGTCGCAAGTGTTTCCAATTAAAATGAAGCCCCAGCAGCCTTGTCTGTGTGTTTACAGTTAAGCTTCTTGAACGTCAGGTACCAGGCAGTGGCTGGATGGGAGGCTTCCCAGGCTTCTGAAAGCCTTCTCTGTGCCAGTCGCTGTGCAAGACAGCGGCTGCAGTCTGGAATCCCATGGAAACAAAATAACTCACGCCCCAAAGGTGCTGACATCACAACTAGAATGGAGAAAGGATGTGGGCTTTACATTTCCCTGAAAAAGTGTGAAGTTTCTTGCAAAGGAAATCTGGTGGAAAGAAGCCAAGTCATTCAGGGGAGGTTGTGACTCAGTTTGTAGGAAATCACTGAAGTCTGGGTGTGGATACCTGCAAGGCATAAGGAGGAATTTTCCTGGAAGTCCCCTTCTTTCCCTACCTCTAATTCCTGAATGATGACTTCCTTGTCTGTTATCTCTTCTGCTCTAGAAGGCAAAGAGAAAAGACAAAATAAGAAGGGAAGCCAGGCGTGGTGACTCACGGCTGCAATCCCAGCACTTGAGAGGCTGAGGCAGTAGGATCAATGGGAGTTGAAGACCAGCCTGGGCTACAAAGTGAGCTCAAGGTCTACCTTGTCTCAAAAAGACAAAAAAAAAAGAAGGGAAACTAGGAACATGGCATGCACATAACAATTGTGTGCACTGACTCAGTGTCAAGGGGAAGACATGAGATTACCTGGGTGGTGTGTCCCTAGCCTCAGTAGTACAAGGTTGTATGATAACGTCACCTATGGTGGCCAGGTGTAATCCCAGCACTTGAGAGGCTGAGGCAGGAGATAGTTGTGCGCTCCAGGAAAATCTAAAGCCAGTCTGCACTACATAATAAGATTGATCCTGTCTCAAAATGAAAGAAAGAAAAAAGAAAGAAAGAAATCTCTACATTATCCCAACAAAACCTGAAATTTCCACTATAACAGTTCCCTTAGGCCACTTGTACTCAAGGCATGGTGTTGGGTCTCTGGGAGGCTTCAAGACCCTTTCAAGGAGTCTTCAAAGGCAAAACTATTTTTTTTTCAAATCCATTTCATTTCAGAGGAAAAAAAAGGCAAAACTATTTTTATAATGCTTTTATGATTTATATGCCTTTACACTTTAAAAATTATAATCTTTAATGCGAAAGCAGTGGTGAGCAAAACTGCTACTGCCCCGGTACAGATCTAGCTGGTGGTATTAAGCTCTACCAGCTCATATTAATCATTAGTGCCAGGCAGGAAAAGAAAATCTAGTTTCATGCAACACCCTTGAGAAGGCAAGAAAATAAATTATATAAACCAGCGTGGCATTATACACCTGTAATCCCAGCCGAGGCAGGAGAATCGCCTGAGGTACACAGCAAGATTCTGTCACAAAACAAAAAGCCAACTTGTGCAAGCGGAGCTGAGGCAGAAGCAGTGCAAGTTTGAGCTCCTAGGCAATTAGCCATGTAGGAAACTCAGTCTGGAAACAAAAAATACAAAAGGGCTGGGGGGGGGGGTGTAGCACAGTGTGAAGGTTCATGCTCAGTCCTTAAACAAAATAAACAAAGGAAAGGAAAACCAACAACTATACTTGTTAAAAAGTTTGTAGGGGGTTGGGGGGTTTAGGTCAGCGGCATAAGCGCCTGCTTTGTGAGTACGTGGTCATGAGTTCGATCCCTGGTACCAATAAAAAGGAAAAAGACCAAAAAAAAAAAAAAAAAAAAAAGTCTGTAGGAGGATCACAAATTCAACTCGAGTCTATATGAGGGCTGGGGATGTAGCTCAGTCCCCCAGTGCTGTAAAACAAACCAACACACTAAATCTCAAAGCCTTGTTGTTGTTGTTGTTGCTGCTGTTGAAGTACTGGGATGAAACCAAGGGCCTCACAAACGCCAGGCAAGCACTCTATTACTGAGCCACACTCCTACTCCTAAAACCTCAGCTCTTGGCTACACATATTTTTGGGTTTGTTTTTTTTAAACAGGGTATCATGTAGTTCAGCATGGCCCTAAGCTCAGTATGAGGCCTCCAGCACCCAAATGCTAGAGTGACATGTACACCCACATTGTGTGTTTGTGCTTGTTTCTTGAGATAGGGTCTCACTGTATAGCCCAAGGCAATCCTGCCTCTGCCTGCTCAACACTGGAAGTATTGGTGTGTACCACAATGCCAGGTTCTGGTGGGTTTTTTAGGCAAAAAATTTAAACTTCTTCTTTTCAGCTTTTTGAAATATACAATACATAACTGTAGCTTTTAAAATATGTGATGTGATAAACAAGAAATACTTCTGCCAACTGAAACATGATGATAAGATGGTAAGATGGTAAGATAGTCACGCACACACAGTGTGTGACTATTGAAGTTGCAAAGTGAACAAGCTGGTTTTTTCACAGAACATTTTACTTGTATGATTACCTGACAAATAAACCACAGTTGTTGGTTCAGATTGGGGAGTTGACAGATTTTTCTCAAAAATGAATAAATTGAACACATCAAGGCAAACAACTGACAGAATTTGTTGTGAGATGAATTTTGGACTTTCAAGAGAAAATCTGGTTTGGAAAACTTATATCCACTATTGTAAGTTTGACAGCTTCCAAATACTTAAATTTTAAAATATTTTTGGGCAGACTGGGGATTGAGCCCAGGGCTTTGTACCGGCTAGATAAGCATTCTGCCTTCAGGCTATTTTCCTGGTCCCCTTATTTTTTTTTTAAGGCAAGGTCTTGCAATATTGTGCAGGGTGGTTTGAACTCACTTTGTAGCCCCGGCTGGCCTCAAACTCACAGCAATCCTTCTGCCTCAGCTTCCCAAATGCTGGTGATTATAGGCCTGTGCCACCCCTCAACCCCCCACCCACTAGGCTTATTTTATATTTTATTTTATCTTGCTAAATTGTCCTGGTTGGCTTTCCGGCTTCCTGCCTCAGTCCTGAGTACTTAGAATCGCAGCTGTGGGCCACCACACCCAGTTCTTACAAACACTTTTCTAAGATTGATAGTGATATTAACAAATATTTTTGATATTATATAATGAAATGTGTCAACATTTGGAAAGTTTGCATAAGTCAGTCAATCAAATTTTCCAAAGGACTAAAAAAATTAAAAAAATAAGAAAATTTTCCAAAGGACTGATGGAATGCATTGTATTACAAGATCAGACTAGATACAAAGATACAAAACAAGATACAAAACAAAACATAAAACAGGATAGACTCATGAATTTTAATGTAACAGAGTTCAAAATTCATAGTTCCATATTTCAGGTAACCTTTAAAAAAAGTACCAGTTTAAAGAACCAAAACTACCACTTGTTTAAGCTTTTATTTTTGTTTTGTTTTGCAGTCCTGGATATCAGGCCGAGGGCCCTATGCAAACTAGGCAAATGCTCTACCACTGAGCTATACTCCTGAGCCAGGAAGACATTTATATAGGGTCAAAGAGGAATATTTTTGATGACCTAACAGAATTACTAATCTATTCCTACCTTCCTTAATTTAAAATTTATGTGAGCAGGACTTTCAAATTTTGTATTATTTTTTGTTTTTGAGGGAGTATCTCACTATAGAGTTCAGGCTGGTCTTGAACTCATTAGGTAGCCTAGGCTGGCCTGGACTCATGCAATCTTCCTGCCTCAGCTTCCTAAATGCTGGGATTACAGGGGTGCACCACCCCCACCAGCTCCTGCACTTTTTTTTAGATCAAACAAAAGACAAAAAAATTCACAACAGATTGAATGTAGAAGCAGAGATGATAATCTAAATCTTCTCTTAAGATAGACACTAATGAAATTTGCAGCAAAGTGCTATCAATTTGTTTGGAGTAGAATAGATATTTTAAATTTTTAAGTGTTGGGCTGGGGACTCAGCTCAGTGGTATAAGTACCTGCCTGGCAAACTTGAGGTCATGAACTCAATCACTGGTACCAAAAAAAATTTTTTTTAATGTTAATATTTAATTGTTAAATGTTCAATTTAAAATGCTAACTTCATATTTATGGGTGAATTATTATTAAATTAATGTATTTTATTTTAAAAAGTAATGTATTTTAAAGTGATAGTAAAAGTAGATAACATTCTCATTTCAACCTTATTTATTTATTTATTTATTTATTTATTTATTTATTTATAGGCAACTCTCATTGTGTCCAAGGCTGGTTTTGAACTCCCAGATTCAAGCAATTCTCCTGTCTCAGCCTCCAGAGTACCTGAGATCACAGAAACCATAAGGTCTGGCTTTCATTTTAGCCATTTTTAAGTGTACAGTTCAGTGGTATTACATTCACAATGACTCTGTCTCAAAATAAAAAATAAAAAAATGCTGGGGACCTAGTTATGTACAAATGCTCACGTTCACTCCTCTAGTACTAAACAAACAAAAACTTCACAGCTGCGCTCCTCCAGCAATGAGTCTCCATTTTCCCTTCCTCTTATCTCAGCTCTCTAACCTACTTTCTGTCTCTATTAATTTTCTCACGTAAAGGAATCAGACAATATTTGCCCTTTTGTGACTGGTTTTTTCCGCTTAGCATAATGATTTCAAAGTTTATCCATATCATATATATGTCAGAAATCCGCTTACTTTGGCAATTTCTTTTCATGGCTCATTACATTACACTTCACAAACTGGATGTGGTGGCCCACCCCTATAATCCCAGCACTGGGAAAGCTGAGGCAAGAGGACTGCTGTGAATTCAAGGCCAGGCTGGGCTACGTAGCAAGACCCTGTCTCAAAAAAAAAAAAAAAACAAAAAAACATTTCACTGTCCACATATTCCATTATTTTGTTTACCTATCATCATGGTGCTATGAATACTGTTATACAAATTATCTGAGTCTGATTCCAATTCTTGTAGGTATATATCTATAGTATAGACATATGCCATATAGTAATCCCATTTAACTTTTTTTTTTTTTTTTTTTTGTACTGGGGATTGAACTCAGGACCCTGCACTTGCCAGGCAGGCTGCCTTCCCAGTAAGCGCCATCCTCAGTGTTTTTGTTTTTTTTTTTTTCACTTTTTTGAGTTAGCGTTAGTGTGTAGCCCTGACTGATCTTGCCTTTTTTTATTCTTGCTTTGTTTTTAACAGACAGTCTTCTTATGTAGTTTAGGCTGGCCTTGAACTTGCTATGTAACCCAGGCTGGCTTTAAATTTGCAGTGATCCTCCTTGCCTCAGCCTCCTGAGTGCTGGGATTACAGATGGTGCATCACCATACCTGGCTATTATTTTATTTTATTTTATTTTTTGTTTTGAGATAGAGTCTCACTAAATTCCCCAGGCAGGACTTAATTTGAGGATACTCCTGCCTCGGCATCTCATATTGCTGGGATTACAGGCATGTACCACCATGCCTACTTACACTTTGTTTTTTGAAGAATTATTGCAGCCAATCTAGTAGGTATATTTTAGTATGTGTGCTGCCAAAGGGAGCACAGTCAACTAGGTGTGAATTGGTATCTCATTCCTGTTTTGATATGCATTTCCCTAGTAGCTAATGATCCTGCGCATCTTTTTTTTTTTTTTTTTTGTCTTTTTCCTTTTTATCGGTACCAGGGATCGAACTCACGACTGCCTGCTTGCAAGGCAGGCGCTTATGCCGCTGAGCTAAATCCCCAGCCCCATTAGGCATCTTTTCATATGCTGTTGGCCGCTCATATCTTCTTCCAAGAACTGCTTATTCAAGTCCACTCGTTTTCTGTGGCACTGATGATGGAACTCAGGGCCTTTACACTGAGTACATTCCCAAATCTTTTTTTAACTTTATATTTTGAAACAGGGTCTAACTAAATTGCTAAATGGCTCAAACTAAGTTTGAAGTTGCCATCCTCTGCCTGGATAAATTCTTTCTTTCTTTCTTTCTTTCTTCCTTCCTTTCTTTCTTTCTTTCTTTTCTTTCTTTTCTTTCTTTTGAAAGAGCCTTTCTGTGTAGTTTTGAATGGTCTCCGGGATTACAGGTAAATGCCACCATAACCAGCAAGAACTCTTAAATTATGTTGAACAGAACTGGTAAAAGGTAGGCATCATCCATCATTCTGGTCCTGTTCTTTTTTTTTTTTTTTTAAACAGTGTCGCACTATGTAGCTCAGGCTGGCCTCAAACTTACAGTCCTCCTGCCTCAGCCTCTCAAGTGCTAGGATTACAGGCATGTGTCACCACACCTGCTTACTTAGGAAAGGTTTAAATCTTTTATCACAGGTGAGCTGTGGGTCATATACATATACATGGCCTTTATCATATAGGAAGCTCCCTGTTATTTCTACGTTTTTTGATCTTTCTTTTGAGACAGGGTCTCACTATATGGTGGGTTAGCCTTGAACTCCTGGCATTTCTGCTGCATCAGCGTCCCAAGTGCTGGGACTACAGGCAGGTACTACCGTGCCTGGCTCCAGTGAAAACTTTTAAGACATATTCCCTTAAACGTATGTTGCTACTAACTTAGAAATTTGTATGAATAATAAATGTACTGAACATTTAAAAAATGTATTGAACATGAAACAACTGAGAAAGAGGCCTACAAAGAGCTACAGAAGCCAGTTTTCTAGGCCGAATGAAGGCAAACAAGGGATGAGCAAGTGGAATACACTAATCCATGCCTGCACAGGCTTCCCTCCTGCTTTTAAAATTACCTGACACTGTGGCCATATCTGATTTTGAACTTATACACACTGGGTCCTGCATGAAGAAACCTCGTCTCCGGAAATGGGTAGGTAAAGGGTTTTAAACTCATCACATCCAAACGGTAGCCTAAGTAAAGTAGAAAGAATGGAGATTATTAAAGATGATCTGCAGCATCTTCTCATAAGACACACACTTAGCACTCAGCACACTGCTCATGTAGCAGGCTCCACTCTGCTACTCATCACTTGGACCATTTTTTTCCCTGCCTTTACACTGCATGGGGCAGGAACATGGTGTGTTGGGAGAACTTCTGTGTTTGAAAGCAAACAACCAGAGTTTAAATTTTGTTTACTTGTTTGCTTGTAGGTGGGGTCTCACTGTGTACCAAAGGCTGGCCTTCCTCAGGGCTATCCTTCTGCCTCCCAAATGCTGGGATTATAGGTGGGCACTACCATGTCCAGTAAGAGTTTAAATTTTATTGCTTATTTTTAAAATATTTTCTGGTACTGAGAATTGTACCCAGGACCTTCACACTGGACAACATCCCTAGTTCTTTTTATTTTTATTGTTTATTTATTTATTTTTGGTACTTTGGAGTCAAGGTCTTGCTATGTAGCTCAGGCTGGCCTCTAACTCAGCAGTCCTCCTGCCTCAGTCTCCCAAGGGCTGGGATTGAAGACAGGCACCACCACATCTGGCTTATTTTTTTTTTTTTTAATTGAGACATGTTCTCCCTAAATTGCTAAATGTCCCAGGTTGGGCTCAAACTCCTAATCCTTATGCCTCAGGCTCTCAAAAAGCTGGAATTATAGGCATGCACCACCATACCTAGCTTCCCAAATACTTAGACTCTATTCTCCTTGTCCATTTTACTTTCCTGAAGCCTAGGTGGATGTGAAGAGGGCTTCATTTAAATGATGAGACATTACAAAGGATATGCAAGTAAGAGGCATAGTTAGGAGGACCTCTCCCATCAACACCACCGACCAAACAGCACAGCTGCCAGACACAATCGATGCACCTGTAAGAATGAACACCATTTCCTAGTGGTGCCAAGGAATCCCTTACTTTCCCTCCCCCCAGTTATTCTTCCTCTCCACCAACCATGAGGCTTCCATGAGCCCCTAGAGTGCCCCTACACACCTAGTACTTAGTACAAATAGTCATATTTTTCTAATTCCTGAATTTTAGGCCCTTTCCATTCAACAAATGAAAGAACTAGGGAAATGGCCTGCACGTCTCTCCTGTGAGACAGATGGCATTTAGCGTGTCAGAATCAAACACATTGTGAGTTTTTGTCACTGGAGCTTTTTTATGCATCTCCTTATTTGTAGAAGTCATCGCCTTGTACTCTTTTTGTATCTCCAGTGGTGCTTTAAATAACTAAGAGGTCCAGAGTTCCAAAGGACCAAGGCTACTTATAATATGACATACTGATTTGAGAGGCAGCCAAGAGGTAGTAAATGTAACAAGAACCTGGGTTTAAATCTCAGCTCAGGTGCCTCTATTTAATTTGTCTAAGACTTGTTTTTTTTATGTAATAGTAAATTTTTGTCATACCCTAAGTGAGATTATATATATATATTAATGCTCACAACAAGCCTACTTAGTAAGTAGTCTTGATAGATGAGAAACTGAGGAGCTGAGAGCTGAAGTAACCTGCTCATAGCAATCAATGTTGGAATTTGGATTCAGACTGAAGCATATAGATCCATTATTCCTGCTTCCATTGTAATTTCTGGGGTTATACAGGGGATAAAAAACATAATCCAGGAGTGAGAGCACACACCTGAGAGGCTGAGGCAGGGCTACTACAACTTTAAATCCAGCCTGGAAAACCCAGTGACTTGGCAAGACTGCCTCAAAATAATAATAAAAAGAGCTGGGGACATAGCTCAGTATGAAGGCTCTGGGTTCAATCCCTAGATCACACATAAAAAAATACAATTTTGTAAGTGGTAAAATATCTTGTACACTAAAGGACTATTTCATTGTTCTTTTCTTCACATTATCTTAAAACCATTTCTAATCAGTAGGGAAAGGTTATACAATAGAAGATCCATGTGCCCCCCAAAATGAAATTTCTCACAATTTTCAAAGTTGAAGACTGGGGCTGCCAGTAAGAACATTCCCTAGTGTCTGATCTCAGCTATTGGGATCAGAATGACAGGAGGTTGGATTATTTAGACTATTGGACTATTTAGACTAGAACTGCAGTCAAAAGTTATTTTAAAAAAATGCAAAGTCATCAAAGAGGAAATATTTTTCATATCCTGAGAAAAATCTTGCTGATACCCCTTGTCCAAGACATGGCAGGAACCCAAGCTAGATCTGTGAACTATTTGGTGCCAAGGGACTTTTTCATTTTAAGTGGGCAGGGAGCCCGTCTGGTGAGACTTAGGTTGTTGACACAGAAATTTAAGTGTGTTATTCTGAGGGTCATTCTGAGATGCAGGCACTTGCCCCCAGACCAGGTATCTGGGGAAAAAAGATTGAAGAACTTTTGCTGGAAGTTACAGTCTAGAAAGGAGACTTCATGTACCATGCCAAGGCTGGCCATCTGACAGAAGAAAGAAACAACCCTTTCTAGCTGGGGCCTGTTTGTGTTAATTGCTGGCTGCCTGGTTCAGAAAAAACACCACATACTAATTATCTAATTTTAAAATGAAGATTTGACAGCATTACCCAAAACAACCACATAGTAATAGGGGCTCAAAGATTTCACAGGGTTATTTTCCAAAATTGACTACTGTAGCCATGGTGATGCTATGTCCTACTAACTGCCATTAAGTTGATGGAGCTTGAAGAAAAAGGTCAGATTCTCAAGTCATTTTTAGGTGACCACAAATCATGATGATTTTAAAATGAAGAAAAGATCTGAGTGTGGAGATGTAGCACAACATGCCCTCCCAGGCAGTATGCTTCAGTTAATTGCCCAGGTCATACTTCCTGTTCCAGTTCTGGTTGTGCCTGTCTGTTAGAAATGGCTGGTCACTATGATGCATAGCTGGTCACTATGATGTACTCTTTATAAAACCAGTTCCCAATGGACAAAAGATTCTGCCTCTGTGCTTCCTGCTTGCTTATAAGAATCCAGACCACCAGAGATCAGGAACTGATACTTTGGGAATGATCTCAACCAGTGCCCTCCGACACAAAATGAATATGCCTCCAAATGTTTTGGTGTTCCTGCTTGCTGTTGCAGTGGCATATGTCTGTAATCCCAGCACTCGGAAGGCTGAGGCAGGAGGATTGTTGCAAATTGGAGACCAGCCTAGGCTACAAAGTGAGCTCAAGGCCAATTTGAACTGCATAGTGAGACTCTGTCTCAAAAGGACAAATAAACAAACAAACAAGGAAAAGAGGAGGGAAACAAATCCCAGTTAGTACAGAAAACCTGAGGCAGACCTAAATGCTATCCTAAGATAAGGATATTGACTTTTGGGAAGTTAAATCCAAAGAGATTTGGAAGGTGGGAAGAGATGATGGTGATAAAAGTAAAGTCATTAAACATTCCTGGCAAGGTTTGGTGGGGACATCCTTCCCAATGCAGAAGAATAAAAGAGCTTCCTAAGCAGTTTTTCAAAATACACTTACTGAGGGCTGGGGATTTAGCTCAGTGGCATAAGAGCCTGCCTGGCAAGCGCAAGGTCTTTTGTTCAATCCCCGGTACCACAAACAAAACAAAACAAAACAAAAACAAAATACACTTACTGGGAAAATATCAAAACAGGATCTGGGACCACCAAGTGTGGGCAGTGACATAGGGAATTCATCTACAGCTCCCCCACTCTGAAGGTGCCCATCTCTCTGGAAACAAGGATCCCTAGAGCCCATGAAACCAACACCTGCGTTTTAGGACTGAGATTGAGGATAAGAAGTCAGCCTCAGGCCATGAGGATTTAGCTCAGCAGCCTATGTGCCTGCCTGGCAAGTGTGAGGTTGTAAATTCAGTATTCAGTCCCCGTAACAAAAAAAAAAAAAAAAAAAAAAAAAAAAGTCAGCCTCTCCTTCCTCTTTCAAAAGTTTTCCATTGACTCAGAGATCTGTCTGTCATTGCTGAAGGAGATTCAGATCCTGAAAGCTTCTGTTCCCAGCAGCAGATTCGTAGATGCCTGCAGTGTCCTTCACTTTTGAGGGGATCAGAGGAAAGTGACTTCATCAAAGAGGAAGGAATTTCCACAGTAACATAATCCAAAGTGAAACAGGATTAACTGTGGTTAGCAAGATTATTGACTATACATTTCTACTAAAAACTATCACCCTGTCATTCATTTTATTAAACTCTAACCCAGGCAGTCTTATGTCTTGGGGTGACTCCCAGAAAACCAAAACATAAACTTTTTTGATTAGTAGGTTTTGCAATTATAATTTGGGGCATAAAGGATTACATTCACATTGGTTTTTGAGCCCCATTCTCTCTCTCTCTCTCTCTTTTTTTGTCTTTTTGAGATGGTCTCACTATGCAGTTCAGGCTGGCCTTGAGCTCACTTTGTAACTCAAGTTGGTTTTGAACTTGTAACAATCTTGCCTCAGCCTCCCAATTGCTGGGATTATAGGCATGTGCCACCATGCCCAGTTGAGCTCCATTTTCTTTTGCTTTCTTTCTTTTCTTAATTTTTTTTTGGTTTTTGAGACAATTTCACTTTATAGTTCAGTCTGGCCTTAAACTGGCAGTAATCCTACTACCTCCTATGGTATACTGGGATTAAGGGTCAAGAAATAAGTTTTAAAAGCCAGTGACATTTGTGCAGGAAAGGATTTGCCCTTGGGACTGTGTCAGGTTTTCTTTTGTTTGAGGGAGGAGGAGTGAATAACTGAATTTAAGCATTAAGAAGATGCCTTGAAATGAAACCAAAAGGTCTTCGTGGACAAACCAAAAAGCAATCTAAACCTCTTAAATTACTTTTGTTGTTGTTTTTGAGAAAGAGGCTCGCCACGTAGTTCAGGCTGGCTTTGAACTCTATGTAACCCAGGCTGGAACTCTCTACAATCTTCTTGTCTCAGCCTCCTGAGTGCCAGGATTACAGGCATACACCACCTCGCCCGATTTAAATTATTCTTTGCATCTAAGTATATCTTCCACTTCCACCTTAACCATCCTAAAAGATGAGGAAAAACTATCTTTAGTTAATGGGTCCTGGATTGGGCTCCTTATTTTAGAAAAATATACATCTCACCACACTATCCAGTAGTCGTGGCTTGTTCCCTGACTTGCCAATAATAGTATTCACATGTGCATTCAATGCAGCTCTCTGGACATCTCACCAGCCCCAAGAACCCAAAAAACATCTGGATGTAAAATTGAAGGCAATAAAGGACATTGTCTTTTCTGGTCATAGCAGTAGGTGGAAGGCCCTGACATAGTACATGCAGGGAAAAAAATTTAAAATGACAGTGAAAACAAAATAAAACAAAAACACACCAGCATCAGTAGTTTCGGAAAGATAAAGTAGTGGGAAAAATATTCTGAGTATCTTTTTTTTTTTGTCTTTTTACTGGTACCAGGGATCAAACTCACGACTGCCTGCTTGCAAGGCAGGCACTTATGCCGCTGAGCTAAATCCTCAGCCCCCCCCCTTTTTAAAATTCTGAGCATCTTTTACAATGTCAAACTGTAAGCTCTGAGTCTCTGATGTACATAACTCAAGGGTCTTAGTGGCAGAAGAAAGATAAAGAAGTAGAGAGCTTCCAAAACACACAGCTTTGTTCTTGGCAAGAAACTGTGGCAAATTCTGAGGAAATTAAGTTTTAAGAAAATCAAGTGACTTTATATAAACACCAAATTTCACTCAGAAATTTTGAAATATTTTACCAGCTTTAATACAGTTCTGGTGGGCACTGGGAGGTAAGATTATCTGATGAGATTATCTGATCTAGCCAAGGTCATAAAATGGACCAGAGTAAAAAGATGTTTTGCTAAAGCAGAGGCCAGATGAATGAAGGGCATCAAGAATGAGGCTACACCCAGACTTGTGACCCCTCTGTAATTCCAGCACTCAGGAGGTTGAGGCAGAAAGAATGACACAAACTGGAGGCTACACAATGAGTTCAAGATCAGACTGAACTACATAGTGAGATTCTGTCTCCAAAAAACAAAACAAAAACAAAAAGAAGCTGCTGTAGTACTTAGGAGTAAGTGATGCCCGTTTGGTTTGGGATTTTACTAGTTAGTAGCTGGATTCGAGGTATATTTGATTGAAGGAATCAAGGATGACTCTTAGCAACTAGATGATAATACACAGCCTTTCTTGATATGGGAAAAAAATCTAAGAAAAGAAACTAGAACCTGCCTTGCAAGCAGGCAGTTGTGAGTTCGATCCCTGGTACTGAGAAAAAAGACCAAAAAAATTTTAAAAAAAAGAAAAGAGACTAGAGACACAGAACTAATAGTTCTACTTTGGTTAAATCTGAGACATTCAAATTATGCTGAGGAAGCAGTCTCCTAGGGATGGAAATATAAATTTGAGTCATTAGTAACGGTATTTGAAGCTATTGGAATGGTTAAGAACATCCACAAAGAAAATACAGAGGAGGGAAAAGTGCTTCTGTAAAAATCAAACTATTAATTGTGGAATCTATCCTATAACCTAAAAGCAATCAGAATATACTGAAGAGTGCAATTTTTACAATTACATTACCAGGGTGTGGTGGCATAATCCCAGCACTTGGGAGGCTGAGGCAGGAGGATCACTGCAAATTTAAGGCTTCGGGCTACAGAGAGCTCAAGGCCAACCTGAACTGCATAGAGAGACCCTGTTTCAAAAAGATAAGACAAAAAAAAAAAAGTTGTGTTTAAAAAACAAACAACCAACTTTCTGGTTGTGAGAGGTAAATCAAGCAAGAACAGATGAAAGGGGACCAGTTAGGAGACTCCTGCATGACTCCCAGGCAGATGTTGCGCATAGCAGAGATGAACAAAGTGGATTGATTTGGAAGATGCCGGTGACTAAGTGACTCCCTGGAGTGATGACAGGACAGACAAGGATGACATCCAGTTGCTTGAGCAACTAACCTAAGAGATACAATTGCTCCATCCTAAAGAGATGAGCCTTGGAAAGTACATTTTTGAGAGAGAAATGTGGAGTCCACTTTTGGATACACTTGATCTGAGATGCCAGGGAGATTATCATGCACTTTTGGAATGGTGGCGGGTTTACTACCTGGATATGTGTCAACAAAGAAACTACAGTTCAAAAAAGTCATGGATCTCCAGCCCAAGATTCAAGATGCCCTAGCCAGGAGTGCCCTCCAATCCCAGCACTTGGGAGGCTGAGGCAGGAGGCTCTCAGAGAGTCGAGGCCAACCTGAACTACTGTCTCAAAAACAAAACACCATCACACCAGGGCCACAGATGTAGCTCAGTGATACAGTGCCTGCCTGAAAAACACGAGGCACTGACTCAATTCCCAGTACCAAGAAAGGGGAAAAAAGGGGTGGGGGATGTCAAGACAAAAATAAAGAAGCACTGAGTGCCATCACTCAACTATTTACTTCAGGGGGTCATCAGGCTTTTGAAAGCCAGAAATTCATTCACATCACTAAGTCCCACGTGACAAGAAACGCTGCGATGCAAGACGCCCTGTTTTCATGGCAACAGCTACGGGCGCAGTACGGCCCAAACGAACACTTTGGTACGGCGGTTTCGGCGCAGGGGCCCGCTCCGCCCGCGCGCCCTCCCTGCTGCTGCCCGCCACACCTCCCGGGCCTCGGCGGCTCTGGGCAGCCCGGGGCACTGCCGCCGGGTCGTTACCTCAGCCCCAAGAGCGCCCAAGCTTGGCCAGGCTCTGTCTCACACTCGGACTAGCGGCTCTCCACGCCTCGGAACAGTGGCCACGGCGGGGACGGCCGGTAAAACCCGCTCCCTCAAAAAGGCGGGAGAAAAACGCGCACGCGCCGTCGCCCGCTCGCCAGCAACCTCGGGCTCCAGACGCACCGCCTCCCGCCAGACCTTCTGCGCATGCTCGCATGCTCGCACGCGGTTCTGCGTCTGTGCCTCCGCTCCACGCCCTCATCCCGGGCTACACGTACTGCCTGACCCGCGGTCTGCGCACTCGAGCCGCTGAGCTCTTCAGAGTCGACTTGGCAGCGCCGCCCGCGAGATCATAAGCAATAGTCGCTTTTTGGTCCTTGCCAAGTGTATCCCACGTGTGTTAATTTCGCCCTGCTACGTGCCTGGTAGGACAGGTGACTTTAGAGACAGGTGGCTGAGTCCCTGACCAGGAATTGTGTGAGGTAGAGTCTGAGCCCGTTCTCGTTTAATTTTCACTGTCAAGCTACAAGGCTGGTTTTTCTGACTTCGGTGTTGTGTTTTGTTTAGAGATAAGGGCTTGCTGTGTAGTTCAGGCTGATTCTGAACTCACTGTACAGCCCTCATTGGTTTTGAACTCCTAATGATTCTCCAGCCTCAGCCGCCCAAGTGCTAGAATTATAGGCGGGCTCTAGCTCAAGGAGTATTGAGGAGACCTGAAAAGGGCAGTGATTTATGAAAGTGGAAGGAATTGAACATGGGTCTGATCCCAAAGGCTGAGCTCCCTCCCTTCAGCTTCCTGTGGGTCAGATTCTGTGCTGTGCGTTGTTAGGTAATTCAGCACCCCTCCTGCTAGTGAGGGCTGGGTGAGATAATGGATTTGCCCTCTTGGAAGACACTCATGGCCTTACAATCTTACTGCATTCGCCTGCCTTTCTTAGGTGCCGGCGCTGGAGTTCCTCAGTGTGAACTGCCTTCCTCAGTTCCTCGAAAACCCATTCCACAGGCCTGGAGGTGGAATCTTGATTCAAAGGTGGAAGATTCAAGATTCAAAGGCGAAATCTTATTCATCTCACAGGACAGCTGAGTACCTGTCAGTTACCTGAAAGGTAACAGCGATGGTGAACCTTTTAGAGCTTTCTATGATATGAACAGCCCGCAGTTTCAGTGGTTCACTGATACAAATAGCTACCTATCCTGGTTCGCCACCACCAGTGGGTAGTACAAAGACCTGGAGAAGTTAAGCAGGAAAAGAAAGTGTGGGGGTAGGGAGAGGTAAGGGGATCTCAGCAGGGTGCTGCCCAGGCTTCAGAGGGAATCTGGCACCCCATCTTCTGCTGAAGGGAGGCCTGTGGAATGGCCACTTGGTCATGGCAAATGAATTTTTCAAGAACATCTGGAACTCTCATATTCATGGAGAAATTGCCTATTGTAATCCAAATACTGAATATTGTGATCCAAGTATTGTAATTCCTTTTCTAATCTTTCTCACAATTTGGAAAGTTATATTTGTAATCCCATTGAGATGTTATTGGAATCCCAGCAAGTTAATTCCAATCTGCCACCTCCAATGCAATCCATGGCTTGAGTAAAGACACCAAGACATAGTCAAAGTTAAGGATAAATCTAATAAATCTAATCCAATTGAGGATATTCGGACAAAGCCCTAATTCAAGGCTTCTCCCGGAATTTGTTATTTTGAATTTATTATGAAGAAGGGAGTGGCTTGAGGATAAATGACAGGAAAGATGGCAGGAACTAAGTGAGTAACTTGAGTTGGCTAGCCAGTTGTGAAGAAAAGCATCTTTGCAAAATACAAAGAGACATGACACACTGAAGGGTCAGTCTGCATAATTCAATTAATGTAGCGTTTGAATTGTTTTAGGAGGCTGTTGCTTCAGTTTCTGATATGTAAAATTCTGTGCCCTGGGGAGTCATAGCCTCTTACTTTGAGGTTCATACCCAGCTGACAGTCCTGGAGCTGAGTGGCTCTGGCATCTTGCTTAGCTCAGATCTTTTTCAGAGAGCACTATGTGAAGAAACAGAATACTGACAGATGGTCTTAAAGATTACACATCAGTACTTCAGCTGGCCTTATTTGCACTGCTTAGAGCCAATAGAAAAGAGAAGGAACATATCACTACATGGAAAGAAGACTTGATTTAACTAATGTTGCAGCAGTTGTACTGGGTGAGGTGTCCATGTAGTCTTCTGCAATCTCCCATTTTAAAAAATGCTGGCAGCTCATCAGAAAGGATATAAGCGGGAGCACTGAAGCTATCACAGTGAAGGGGCAGATGCAGCTCTTGGGCCCAACCTTGCCTGGAACACAGTAAAAGTTGACAGATCAATAGGGCTTGGGTCACTGTGCAGGGCATCTTCCAGCTGCTAGTGGGTGCACATTACTTGTACTCTTTGTACCTCTGACCTGAGAGAAAGACCCTTTGGTGATGCTGGATGATGCAGGGTGAAGGAGACAGGTGTCTGATGAGGTCGGAGGAAACTGCTCTGTGCTTGTGTGTTTATAATCCCCCTCCCTGGAGAATATTCATGCTTCAGATTGTGGTAAAGGTAATGAGACTTAAATAGCCACCCATGTCACATGCATGGTGCTTCTCCAGAGCGGGCCCAAGCAAGATGTTAAAGTACAGAGAAAACAACTGCCACTCGCACACAAATAGCCTTCACTTTTCACATGCCTGGAGAGGACAGGCATGATCACAACGCTGAGCAGCTCACTTTCTGTTATCTACAACCACTCTGTTTAAAGCGAGATGAAAGGATCATGTAAATACGGTGGGGCAGAACTAAAGTGCCTGCTAACCAGCACATGCACAGTGCAGTGCAGGCTGTGGAGCTGCAGTGTCTGTCCTGCTGGAGGGGCCCAGCCCCTGGCCCTGTGTGGTGTGTGTGTGTGATGAGCTGAGGGCTGCTTCATGGAGGTTTTGGCTGAGGAGGATCACAAAGTGCACTGAAAGGGAAGAATCTTCTCTGGGCAAGAGGAAGGGCCCAAGCAAAACCCAGCAGCAATTTTTTTTTTTTTTGGCTTTTTGAGACAGGGTCTCACTATGCAGTTCAGGCTGGCCTTGAGCTGGCTTTGGAGCCTACGCTGGTCTCAAACTTGCAAGGATCCTCCAGCCTCAGCCTGCTGGGATTACAGGCATGTGCCACCATGCCAAGTTTAATCAGCAGGAATGTTAAATGGTGAAATTCTGGGCTGGAATTATCAGATAGAGAGCAGAGATATTTAATAGTGGATTCTGGAGTTTGGAACCAGTGAATTAAAGTGATAACAAATATTTGCTCAACAAATATTTATCCAATAATTATTATTTGTTAAGCACTGTTCTAGGCCCTTGGAGATACCAAGGTGAACCAGACAGAGCCCGCCACCTTCCTGTGTTCAGCTAGGTGGGGAAGTTGCTCAGTGGTGTGTTTCATTCTGTGGCATCAGCTGGGATGTCAGCTGGCCTGAGCCCCTATGAAAGGCATGGGAGTTGATTGAACCTGTCTAAGAGCTGGAGATGGGACAGACTGGGAGGTCACTTTCCATAGATAAAAATCCAACTTTAAAAAATTTATATATAGAAGATGTGTATGGTGGCACACACCTGTAATTCTAGCACTCAGAAGGCTGAGGCAGGAGGATTGGAATGAGTTCAAGGATAGCCTGGGCTAAATAAAAGATCTTGTCTCAAAATAAGAAATTAGAACCAGGTGTGATGATGCATGCCTGTAATCCCAGCACTCAGGAGGCTGAGGCAGGAGGATTGTTATGAGTTCGAGACCAGCCTGGGCTACAAAGTTAGCTCAAGGCCAGTCTGAACTGCATAGTGAGACCCTATCTCAAAAAGACAAGAAAAAAAAAAAGACCAAAAAAATTATATACAGAAATGGGCTGTGGATGTAGCTCAGTAGCAGAGTGATGATTATCATGCATGAGGCATGGTTCAAGTCCCAGCACCATAAAAATACACTGAAGGGTATAATTCTGAGTTTTAGCATATGCCACACATTTAAAAAAATTTTTTTTTTGTCTTTTTCCTTTTTATCAGTACTGGGGATTGAACTCACGACTGCCTGCTTGCAAGGCAGGTGCTTATGCCGCTGAGCTAAATCCCCAGCCCCTATGCCACACATTTTTAACATATCCAGTGCAAGAAGAGATCAAGCCAGGTGTAGTGGTACATGCTTGCAATCCCAGTTCTTGAGAGGCTGAGGTAGAAGGATTACTGTGAGGTTGAGGCCAGCCTGGGCTCGACAGGAGACTCTGCCTCAAAAAAAAAAAAAAAATAGAGATGTATTTTACAACCTTTTGGAATTAGGTTCTTTCTTAGTGTAATGCATTTAGAGCCATGCACTTGGAAATCTCTCTATATAATCTCTCTCTCTCTCTCTCCATATATATATATGTATATATATATATATATATATAATTTTCTTCCTTTTACTGCTGAGTACAGTGCTATCTGAAGATATGTGAACACCAAGAAAAAGAAACAATCAAACATTAAAAGTAAGAATTACCACCATTTGGTTATCCATTTTCCCATTCATTGACATGTAGGTTGTTTCCAATTGTTTTTTGTCTTTTGGAGACAGGGTCTCACTATGCTATTCAGGCTGGCTTTCAGCTCACTTTGTAGACCTGGCTGGTCTCGAACTCACAACAATCCTCCTGCCTCAGCCTCCCCAGTGGGATTATAGGTGTATGCCACAATGCCTGGATTTTTATTCCTTTTCCTTTTTTTCCCCTTTTCTTTCTTTTCCTTTTCTTTTTAAATTTCTTTTCTTTCGAGACAAGTCTCTCTGGTACAGTTAAGGCTGGCCGTGAAGTCACTATGTAGCCCATGGTGACTTCAGACTCACTTGCAGTGATCCTCCTGCCTCAGCCTTCTGACTGCTGGCATTAGAGGTGTGTGGCACCATACTCAGCTCAGTTTTTTGGCAATTTTGAGTGGAGCTTCTATCAGCATTCACTTACAGATTGTGTAAACTTCCTTCTTATATTTTTAGCATAAATACTCAGAGTTTGCTGGGATATAGAGGAAGTATATATTTATGAGACACCACGCTGTTTCCAAAGTGCTTGCTCTGTTCTTCTTTTTTCTTTCTTTCTTTCTTTTTTTTTTTTTATTGGTACTGGGGATCAAACTCACAAC